CTTTGACCGAAACTCTTCACACATTCATGCATGAACAACAGAAGCAAAATCAAAGGTATGATACTTTGCTTGATCAATTGGTTGAAGAAAATAAAGAAATTAAGAGTCAAATCTCCAAGTTGACTAACTTTTTGGCTATTAATGAAAAAGGAAAATTTCCTGCCAACACTCAACCAAATCCAAAATATAAAATTCCTCCAAAATATAAAGACCCTTGAAGTCCTACTCTTTCGTGTGTAATTGGAAATAATTTTATTGATCGTGCATTACTTGATTTGGGCTCCACTGTAAATTTATTGCCTTATTCAGTGTACTTGCAGCTAGGTCTTGGTGAGCTTAAACCTACAAAGGTAAAATTGCAATTGGCTGATCAATTAGTAAGGACACCGCGAGGGATTATTGAAGATGTGTTGGTCTAAGTGGACAAATTTTATTATCTTGTTGATTTTATTGTTTTGGACACTGCACATGTTTCAAATTCTGATAATCAAATTCCTGTGATTTTAGGACGTCCTTTCTTGGCTACGTGTGATGCTAACCTTAATTGCAGAAGTGGAGTCATGAAACTTTGTTTTGGAAATATGACTATAAAAGTTAATGTTTATAAACAGTCATCTGGGGAGGATCTGTGAATTCTATCTCAACTTTATCGCATGATCAATTTGCGAAAACTAGTGTTGTTTCTTGTTCAGAAAAGTTTCAAATTAATTCTAATGGTTCTAATTTATTAAGATGAATTCACAAATGACTGAACTTGATTCTTTACCTTTTTCATGAAACTTAATTTATTAAGATGAATTAAAGGGTGCATTACTCGGATATTTCGGAGCTTATTTTGTATTATAGTTGCATTTTCCATAGTTATTAGCATTTTCAGAGGACCATCCTACCACATAAAGTTCTTAGATGACCAGGGTGGAAGAAAGTTGACAAATGTCATAGCAGTAGAATAGATGCCGTTACTTCTTTCGGCCCCTTAGATTTACAATTAAGACTTTCCAGCATTACTACTCTTATGTAGACAAATCTGACAGCCTTTGAAAAAAAAAAACCAAAACCGGAAATCAACAGATCAACACCAAGAATGTGAGTCCTAACACAACACAATTCTGAAGGTGATCAGGGTACGAAACTCAAAGTAGTAAAATTTCGATGCTTCTTTTAGGTCTTACTAGAACTTCCTTGCAATCCAAAAAAAAATAAAAAAAAAAAAAAAAAAAAAAAAAAAAACAAAATTGTAGCATTCGAGTTTGAAGCCCATAGGAACATATTGTAACATAACACACTAAATTTCTATTTGGCAATTGAAATGATAGACCACTATATATTCTTTTCCTGTATCTACTTACATATATGGATAGAGAAGAGAAGGTACAATTACAAACGAAGAAATTAACTCTGCTGCAGGCCTTCGCTACTACTTGGGTTCAATCTTCGCCGAAACTGCGTATCCACCACTGTAATCAAAGGCACCAGTGCTGTCATTCACTTCCTTTTTCGGCAAGCCATCGTTGTACGGATGCTTAGGAGCTCCTTTTGATGCTGCAAATTCTGTGGCTGATGAAGATGCTGATGTTGAGTTTGTGTTCATGCCATCATTCTGCAGAATGGTTTCAATAGCCTTCACAAGCTCACTCATTGTGGGGCGGTCTGCAGCTGATTCTTCAACGCATTGCAGGGCCAGCTCCAGGAACCTCCCAAACCCAATAAGGGTTCCAGAGTTTCGAATGCTTCGATCCATTAACTCCCTCAAACCATAGTGTTCTTCATCATTCTTGTCCATCATCAATCGTACCTCACGGACGATGTATTTTCCCTTCTCAATAGGCTGCCTAGCCGTTATCAATTCAAGCATCACCACTCCAAAGCTGTATACATCACTCTTCTCAGTTAACTGTTGAGTCATGTAGTATTCAGGATCAAGATATCCCTGCAAGAACAAATCAGAAACTTAAGAGTAAAAACTCAAGAATGTGTCAATGGGATGAATATATGTTGAAATGCTAATAACGTAAACCTTACCAGTGTGCCTTTGACCTGAGTTGAGACATGCCCTTTTCCACTGTCAGCTACCAGCTTGGACAAGCCGAAATCTGCAACCTTTGCAGTCAAATGTTCATCTAACAGAATGTTGGTGGACTTGACATCTCTGTGAATTATAGGAGGATTTGCAAGCTCATGTAGGTAAGCTAGTCCTCTTGCCGAGCCAAGAGTGATGCGGAGTCTCCTCTTCCAATCAAGATGAATACCAGATCTCCCTGCAATTCATATTTAAGCAAAGGTGAAGTTGGTAACTATGTCTATTGCGAACAAGTTATCTCTATGCAATATGAAATAGCTGAGAATAAAATCTTTGAACTAACCTGACAAGCTTTCCCTGAGTGTTCCATTAGGCATAAACTCATAAACCAGCATCTGTTCTCCTTGTTCAAAACAAAATCCCAAAAGGCCAACAACATTTTTGTGATGAACTCGCGAGAGCAACTCGATTTCAGTCTTGAACTCAAGGCCACCCTGCATTGATCCTTGCTGAGCTCTTTTGATTGCCACCACTTGTCCATCAGAAAGCATGCCCCTGTAAACCTATGGACAACCAACCAAAAGGTAAAAAAAAACATCCTTTACCTTGAAGCAGAATTCATAGATGTTACTGAAATACTTGAATTAATATACCTTCCCGTATCCGCCAAATCCTATCTCATTACTGTCAGAGAAATTATTTGTGCATTTCTTAAGCTCATCATAAGAAAACCATCTTGCTCCCTTTAACTGTGGTGCACCACCACTATCTTTTCCGCTTGGTGCCCAAGAAGCTAGAAGATAGAGAAAAGGAGTGATATAAGCAAACCAACTTCTAATGTCAATGACAGAATTTCAATGTACCCAATTATAAACAACAAGAATAATTAATTACCAAAAGGTCGGCTTAATCCAATGGCTCTTTCTGCACGTTTCTTTTGCCTAATGGCATATATTCCCACTACCACGAGGCCCAGTACAAGAACTACACAACTAACTGATATCCCAATAATAACACCAGTGCTCATAGAACTTTTATTCCCACCTGAAACAATTTTGGGTTTTTATTGTCAGTTTAATCAATCTTCTAATGCAGGGAAATGGTATACGAAGTAATGATGCAATTTAAATTACCTGGGAAAGTATAAGGAGCTGGAATAAAATAATAGGGTCCAAACTCCGGCGGTGGCTTGTAAGTTTGGTTGCTCAAATCAAAACCAATCCTTATAATCTCTGACCTATTAAAATACGTTCCTGTAGGTGGAAAGAGTGCCAGGTGAATTTGAAGATAGTCATTAATGTCGAAGAAAGGGTTTTCAAGAGAAACTGAACCAGGAGTGAGGCCAAGTTTATCCCATAGACTAATTTCTAGTGAGTGAAACGTATTCACATTTGACAATTCCCTGAAAGAGGGTGCTCTGAAATACAATGTTCCTTCAAAAGGATATGCACATTGACAACTCTGAGGGCTGAGCTTCTGATTATCGGGGCATGTAATGCGTGCACAATTCGAGCTAGTAGTATACGTTTCTGTATCTTGTTGCGGAAGCTGACAGAATGAATTTGAGCTAGTTCCACTGGTGCAAACTGGGTTCCCTACAAGTCTGCAATATGTAAAAGTGACAACTAAGAATGGTGTTGAAAAATACACAACCATAGAAAATCAAGATCAAGGCCCATGAACTGTCTCACATTAATGTATGTTTGTATTCATAACCCAGAGTTATTTTAGGAATCTGATTGTTCTGCAGATCAACAAGCTGCAGTTGTGGACTGATGCTATCACCCAAGTTCAATGTATCGTTAAACGTATTGTTTTTCAGTTTCCTGTCAAGGGTTAGAAAAAAACATGAATGGCAAGTTTCCTAAAATTACAGTCAAGACTTGATGCTTTCTTCAGTATTCTCCTTAAACTTACACTTGCTGCAATGATGTGATGCTGAACATCTTCTCTGGCACAGTCCCTTCAAGTGCTCCAAATTCTAAAACGCTGTGTTCCGTAAAAGTAGAGAATTTCAACAAAAAATTACAACAAAGTTTTCAGGGTGTCCTTTTCCAGGACTCATTCATGGATACTAAGACATTTTTGTGTAACCTCCTAAGGACTTACATAGTGGTGATTGAGGGTAAGTTTGAGAACCAAGGTGGAGCTTCTGATGGGTCAAATGAGTTGTTACTCAGGTCTCTGAAGTAAAATCATTAGGATTTATCAGTACAACAAAACAACAACTTGCAGGAAACTTGAAACTTGAAATGACAGCTCCATGCCACTACTCACACATAATTGAGGGAACTCATTCCAGTTAAGTCCGGTAGAGGGCCTGACAAATTGTTGTGGGCCAAATTTCTGGAAGAGAACAAAAACTCATGTAAAAGATGGTTAAGAATAATTAAGATTAAGGTAACTGTTAACAGCACATTAGAGTATCCTCTTAGTGACTTCATACTCACAGTTCATTGACATTTGTTAGGTCGCTGATATTTGAGGGAACATTTCCTGTGAGAGCATTTCTATCAAGCCGACTGTTGCAAACAAGAAGGTTTTGAATCCAATAAGTGTCAAGAAGCAGATACTTATATGTGAAAGAATAACAAAATCGAGCTGTTTTTGTACTCACAGAACCTCAAGAGTCTGAACGAGTGCTATGGTTGATGGAATCTCCCCAGTAAATTGATTTCCATCAAACAAACTGCAGTTGAAGAATGACAAGCAGTTAGATAAATAGAAGTATAGATCATAAACTGACAGATGGCATCTGGCCAAATTAAAAAATGATCGATGGGATCAACTTACATGTGTATCAGTATCATCTCAGGGCTGAAAAGTCTGGGTGGAATGGTACCTGAAAGCTGGTTCTTGTTGAAATGGCTGCATGTCCATATTATCAGTTTAATGTTTATGCAATAAGCAATGGCATAATCCCTATTAGAATTTCATTTTTTCACAATGGAGAGAGTTTGGGAAATGGAAAAATACTCACAAGTGTTTAGCCTTCAATAGTTTGTCTAAGCCTGAGGTAACGGGGGTTGAAATTGGTAGAGTTCCAGTCAACTGATTGTCTGCCAGGTCCAACCAGAAAAGTTTGGAGAGTTTACCCAAAGAAGGAGGTATTTTACCAGTAAAGTTATTCGTATTCAGAGCCCTGAAAAGAACAAAAGATTTATATAAAGTTGGGAAAGAAAAAACTTAAAATGGTTTGCACTAACAGTATGATTATCAATTCAATTCTTACAAGAAAGTTAGCTCTCCAAGATTGCCCAAAGCATCTGGAATATTGCCACTGAAGCCGCAGCCAGCTAGGATCCTAAAAGATGAAAAGAGTCTTGTATACTCATCCAATATAAAAACTTATATTGCATATACAAAGTTCAAAAGGTGCAAATATGAAAATTGCTTGCTAATTTGTTCTTACAGGATATTTAACTTGCTCAGATCTCCTAATCGTGGAGACAGAGAACCCGTGAGGCCTTGGTTGAATGAAAGGTCCCTGCAATGTTAACGTTTCTACTTCGTTACAAAAAGGATGCCATGCTAATCAAAGATTGAGTGATAACAAAATAATTGATACTGCAAAAGAAATATGTTTTATGCATAGTTTACATAGTGAATCTGTTGCATTGCATCTGGGTTCAATTCATAATGTGCTGCAAACATAATGCTGGTACAAAGAGGAGCAATTATACTCACAAGGATCTTAATTCAGAGAGTCCCCCGATATCGCCTTCAATTTTTCCTTTCAAGGCCATTGCTGATAATCCCCTGCACATAAAAAAGGTGCAAGGTTGAAAATTTGTGTAAGAAAGTAAGTCACCAATGCCCAGAACTACAAGGATCACATGAAAATTCAAAGATGAACAATGCTCACAATGCGGTCACCCTCGAATTGTTGCAGGTGACTCCTTCCCAGTTCATTCCACAGGGATCATTTGATTTGTCGTTCCAGCTGGGTGGAAGATTCGTCCATGCCCCCTTCAAGGATATGAAAACAGCAACTGGACCAACAGACTTACAAATCAATCTACTACCTTAACACAAAGTTTGTACACACATATGTGCAGGATGTTCAACTTACAATCAAAATTTAGCCAAAACATTAAGAAAAGCTTGCATTAAACACAAACTAAAAGGACTAATTACCAAGTTTGCATGCAAAAACATGAGAAACAGGAGGATCAACATGATATTGCAAAGTGTTTCCTAAGTCAACGCATATCCAGGCCAAAGCTCAAACTACCAAAACCCCAATTTCCCATTAACTAGGAAATCAATAAATGGACAAATAAACATTGATATTTGAGACCATACCATCATCGGGGTTTGTTTCAGAAGAGATCATATGAATCCCAGCATAGCAGAAAGCCAGAAAGAGCAGCAACCGTATGGTTGCCATGGTGGTGAAGGAGCAAGCAAATCAAGAAAACTGGTGTCTCTGTGAGGCTGATCAGCTAGTAAGCAGAGGTCAAAAAAAGCACATTTCTATTTACCCCAGATGGTCAAAAAAGCACTTTGCAAAGACTTCCCTCCTCACAGACACACCCTTCAATTCAATTCCTTCCACTCTACCAACTACACCACTTGAAGATTTTTATTTAATGAGTCCTTGACAGCATGCATGCATGTATGTACATGCGCATGTACATGTTCCCACCAATTCAGAACAAGTTTTGCTTTGAAAGCTTGATTTGGTGAGTCGGGTTTTTTTCAACTGTCTTCAAAAAATACTTGCAGGCACGCAGAGAGAGAGAGAGAGAACAGAAAAAGATTTGGGTTGGCCCCTTTGAGCTTCTTTTAAATGATTAAGCCTTGTCTTAGAAGCCAACCTTTGGCCTTAACAATAAGCACCTTCCACTAGCAAAAAAACCCACCAACCGAAATCATCACACAAAGTCCAAAAAAACATCATCATCTTGCCTCTATCAAAATCATCTGATAGCAGCAAAAAAACAAATAAAAAATGTGGAGGTTTTACCGTTTCCTCCGCCCGCCAGCGCATTTTAGGAGGACAAGTCACATAATACAAACACAGCTAAGCAGAAACAACTCTCTCATGAGCAAAGCTTACATCTTTCGAATGGGAACAAAGCTACACAATTCTGAATATACGCCTAAGAGCATCTCCAAGGGAGATGTCAAATATCAAACATCAAATTTAAATTTAATGGTTGATGTGGCAATTTGACATTTGCATACTTTTACACTCCATCTGATATGTCAAATAAATAATTATTGTAACAGTCAAATCATTTAAGATAAATAAGAAAAAAATAAAAAAGGAAATAATAAATGAAAGTAATAGCCAGCTGTCTTTAAAAAATAATAAAATATTCATTTGATATCTTGCTTTTGGGATGTCAAAAATAACATATCAACCTCTAGCCTTCATTCCACATCAGCTTTATCACATCGGTTGGAGTGATGCGAAATGTTATTTCTAACGGTTAAATGTTTATGTGGTATATTTGACACATCGGTTGAAGATGCTCTAAAGTCTCCACTTTTTAATCAAATTTTAATTAATTAATTAAGTTCCAACTTGCATTGATATAATTTAATGCGTACAGTTGGCTTTAGGTGAAAATGGGTCCCACAAGCTGACATGAAAATCAAGGCTCTCGGGCGTGGCCGGGACCAATTCATGGTTTGATCCACTTACATGTTGAATGGCAGAAAAGGTTTTCATTTTCGTAAGAAATGGATAAAGACAAGACCTTTGTAACTCAATGTTTTGTGGTGGCAGTTGAGGCCATTTTTCTGGTGGTAGGGTCTTTTCCTTAGTTTTACTTGGTATTCAAGCATTTAATTTAAGATGAGATCTACATGATGATTGTTTTCACAAAACAAAAATCTAATTCAAACAGTCAACTTCTATGGTACGACTGTTTCTAAATACAACCAAGTTTATTCTACAAAAGATAAAGTATATTTTTTGTGCCAAGGGGTCAAAGGTTAATAAACAAACGAGCCACAAATTGCCGTCTAGCCATACCAATAAGAATCTCAATTGACGTTTTACCAATTCCAAAAAAAAAAAGAGCTACATGAATCAAAGACTTAATATCCGTCAACTCAATTGATTAAGAGCATTTAGATTTAAACCCGAGATTTTGTGTTAGATTCTCCCCTTCCCAGGGGACACATTGGGACAAATTCTACTTCAGTTTGGATGGAAAAGAATCCTTTGTATCCCAAAGCAAACATAGCCTGGCCTACATCTGGCACACCTAAAATTACAGTAGCAAAACCAACCATGAACAATAATTATGATATCTTACAGCTTCTCCAATTCCAATTGCTGAATTCAGTATCCTTACTTTCCTACTGCCTTCAATAGTGAGTTTGACCTAATTACCTTTGAGAGGGCAATCCCAAAGCTAATAGAATGTTATGAATCCTATGAAACAATTCAATTGGGTATCTCCTTAAGTCGTATCGAGGCATTTTCAGATAACATCCATACAACATGAAAGGCCGAAGATGACATATTTTAAAAAAAATATTAAAAAAATAAAAGATTAATGGATTTAATGTGGCTGTCGCTACTGTTGGTGGCGATTTAGAGTTGACATATTTTACAATGCGCGTGTATGATCAGGACATATTTGCATGTGGGTTGGTTTCGTTTCTTGAGGGTTCACGCTTCACTCATGGCGTTGAAGACGAAAGACAGACTAGCAGAGAGAATGTGTCAAAGTAAACAACATACCGGTGAAGGGGAAGATTTTTTGTCAAATGATCAAAACCACACAATCTCAATTAATTATAGGCGCCAAGGCTCTATGGCCTAGTGGGAACAAAAAATCTCGACTTTTTAAAAGCCAGTTGGGCTGAGGAACTTTTCAAAGCACGATTTCATGACATTGGCTTGTTTGATAGAAGAAGCTTCACCAAAATAAAATCTGATCACACGTAAAGAAAGAACAAATGGGATATCAAGGAGAGAGAATGATTATCCATTTTTACAATATTGACTTGACTTGGATTGGAAGAACTTAGATGAAGCTATACACAGGCATCCCCACTTTTGCACCATTTTCCACTAGTTGGCCAAAAGCTCTCATCTTGATTGACCATTTAAGATTTTGTAGTTTGATGGGGAGGCTGACAGAAAGTAGCATTTGATGCACCAGAACTGCTGCTGCAAACCGGGTTCCCGAAAAGTCTGCAACATGTAAAAGTGACAACCAAGAGTGATGGTGAGGGGAAAATACACAATTATCATAGGAAATCAGGATCAAGGCCCATCAACTGTCTCACATTAATGTATTTTTGTATTCATAACCCAGAATTATTCTGGAAATCTGATTGTTCTGCAGATCAACAAGCTGCAGTTGTGGGTTGATGCTATCGCCCATGTTCAATGTACCGTTAAACGCATTGTATTTGAGCTTCCTGTCAAGAGTTTAAAAGAAATGATCAGTTTCATAAATTTACAGTGAAAACTTTGATGCATATATTCTTGAGTGTTCTCCCTGGAACTTACACCAGTTGTAAATTTGGAAGGCTGAAAAGCTTCTCTGGCACAACCCCTTGAAGTGATCCAAATTCTATGGCCCTGTGTGTGCCATAAAAGGAGAGAAGTTCAACGAAGGATTTCAAATAAAGTTTTCGAAGTTTCCTTTTCTTAGACTTGTAAAGATATACAAAGACTTTTATACAACCTCCTGAGAACTTACAAAGTGGTGAGTGAGGGTAAGGTTGAGAACCAAAGTGGAGCTTCTGATGGGTCAAATGAGTTGTTGCTAAGGTCTCTGAGAGTAAAACATTAGGATTTGTCAGTACAACAGAAAAACAAACAATTTGTAGGAATATTGGAACTAGAAATGATAGCTCCATGTCTTCTACTCACACATAATTGAGGGAATTCATTCCACTTAAGTCAGGTAGAGGGCCTGACAAGTAGTTGTGGGCCAAATTTCTGGAAGAGAATATATAAACCATGAAAAATCTGATAAACAACCAACAAGATGATGGTTAAATAGAACAGTAGAGTCTGCAAAATTGATACTCACAATTCGTTGACATTCGTAAGGTTGTTAAGATCTGAGGGGACACTTCCAGCCAGAGCATTTGTATCAAGCCGACTGTTCAAACAGGATTGTCTTGAGTCCAATTGTTGTCAAGAAGCATATACTTAGAAGTGGAAAATAAAACAAAGAAATTCAAGATTTGGTTTTACTTACAGAACCTCAAGAGTCTTAATAAGTCCTAATGTTACTGGGATAGTACCAGTAAATCTATTTCCGTCAAGCAACCTGCAAATGAAGAACGAAAATCAGTTAGACGAAATAAAAATAGAGAACATAAACTAGTCGATGGGATCAACTTACAAATGTATCAGTGCCATCTTAGAGCTGAAAAGTTTGGCCGGTATGACACCTGAAAGCTGGTTCTTGTTCAAATGGCTGCGTGTTCATAAAATCATTTTAGTATTTATGCAATATACAGTGGCATAATCCCTATCAAAATTTTACTTTTTCACAATGGAGAAGAGTTGGGATATGGATAATTGCTCACAAGTGTTTAGCCTTCAACAGGAGGTCTAAGCCAGGGGAATGGTAGGTCGAAATTGGAATTGTTCCAGTCAATTGATTGTCTGCCAGGTCCAGCCAGTAGAGTTTCGAGAGTTTGCCCAAAGAAGGGGGTATGGCACCAGAAAAGTTATTTGAATTCAGAGCCCTGAGAAGGACCAAAGATTTGCATAAAATTGGGAAAAGAAAAAACTCATATTGACTTGATGCACTAAAAGCATGATTACTAATATTTTCTTACAAGAAGGATAGCTCTGCAAGATTGCCTAATTCATCTGGAATTTCACCATTGAAGCTGCAACCAGCTAGGATCCTAAAGGATGAAAAGTGTCATGAATTCTCATTCAATATATATAAAAATATAAAAAATGTATGTTGCATTTTGCATATACAATGCTCAAATTGGAAATATGAAAATTGCTTGCTCATTTGTTCTTACAGGATACTTAAATTTTTCAGATTCCCTAATCTTGGAGAGAGAGGACCTGTGAGGCCAGGGTTGAAGGAAAGGTCCCTGCACAGTGTGAGTGTTTCAGCTTCAATAATCAAACATTAAGATATCAAAATAACTGACAATGCAAAAGAAATATGTTTCAAGTGTATGCTTTACTTATTTTAATACTCACTTCAAATTGGCAGTATTCTGCAAATACAATGCTGGTAAAAAGAGGACAAATCATACTCACAAGGATCTTAATTCAGTGAGTCCACCAATGTCACCATAAAGTTTCCCCTTGAGGCTCATGTTTGATAATCCCCTGCACATAAAAGCAAAAATTTATGGTAAGGGAAGAAAGTGATATCATTGCCCTTTAACTACAAAGACAGATCAACAGCACCACTCACAGTCCAGACACCCTTGAATTGTTGCAGGTGACTCCCTCCCACCGGGAATCACAGGGATCATTTGACTTGTCCCAACTGGGTGGCGTATTTTGCCACGAATTCTTCAAGGATAGGAGCACAGCAGCTGGATCGACAAGCTTATAAATCAATCAAACTACCCTTAAGAGAGCTTTTAGGCATATATGTGCAGAATGTTCATTTTTCAATTAACATAAAAGAGGAGATCATGCAAGAACATACCATCGTTGGGGTCTGTGACAGAGGAGATCATGCAAATCCCTGCAGAATAGAAGATAGCCAGAAAGAGAAGCATTCGCATGGTTGCCATGGTCAGGATGTCAAAGGCACTCAGCAAAGATTTGGTTTCTTTCGCTTCACCCTTCTTCTTCTGTGTATGTAACAACTGCAGGGTGCAGCCCTTGACTTTTTTGACTTCTACTGAATGAGGACTGAGTTGCATGCATGCATTGGCAAAAACAAAGTCCCCTTCCCAGTAATTTAATTAACAATGCTTTTCTTTCTGAACAAGGAAGCCGCTTTAGTCGATTCATTTTATATAAACAATGTGGACTGTCTAGTGCTTTTACCGTTTCCACCGCCTACCCGCGCATACCAAATTTCCATTGAATTGGTACAAACAGAAGCTCCAAGAAACCTTATCTGCCTCTTGGAAATTAAATTTAGCTATCTTCAACCAATCAGCCACATTGGTTTGATGGATTCAATGATAGTGAGAGCTAGCTAGTTTATGTGACAGATGTTTCATGATCTCTTTACACATTTGAATTTATGTGTTTAGACTTCAAAGACTCTAAAATCCCTCTGTTGGAGAAAACCTGATGTCACTACGGCGGAATTTCAAACCGATAACACATTGCCATCTGTTTTAACTTTTCGACATAATATTGCATGAAGTTTGAGATGATTTCCCCTTGCACAGAAACACTTCTCCCTCAGTTGAGCTACTAGTTGAACCCTTCTCCTAATTGCAGCATAAAATTTCATTCAAGTTTCTAACTTTCATCCCAAAATAAGAGGCTTGGGATCAAAATCTTCCCAACCTTAACATTCTCATTCATTTGACATTGGTAGTCAACTTAACAACACATAACTAATTTTGTGTTTTCCAATAATTCTAATATTTTTTTATGATTGCATTCATCAACAGCAGTATCTATGTAAAGCGTATAGCTGATCGGCTATACTAATTATAATTTTAAAAAATTTAAAAAAGACCACCGTAAAGCCGAGCGGCTATACGTTTTTAAAAAAAATTCCACGTACAGCCGGGCGGCTACACTATTTATTTAATAAAAAACAAAAAGAGGACCAGCCTATCGCCTTGCGATTCGGCATCCACTTGCCAACATTTTTTATAATAAAAAACGTTGTATAGCCGGGCGGCTATACGCTTTTTTATTTAAAAAAGAACCCCAAGTATAGCCGTCTGGCTATACTATTTATTTATTTTTTTTAAAAACCCGCATGGTGCCTGAGCACTCGGGTCACGTGTCGAAAATAGTACAGCCGCGCGGCTATACTATTTTCATATATAGCCGTGCGGCCATACTATTTTTTCAATAATTAAAAGGGAGTTTCACTAAAACACCCAAAATGGGGGCTGAAATTATAAAAAAACCTAGCACCCAAAACACTTTATAAACACACCCAAAACCCATCATTACACACACTCAAAACTCATTTATAAACACACCCAAAAAATATACAATTGTTGATTTTAGAGTTGATTTTAGGTGTGTTTCTATGTTTAAATAATGCTTGAGTTTTTTTATAAATACATGTCTAGGATTGGGTTTATTTATAAATTTGTATAATTAAAAATCGTAGTATAGCCGGCTATACGCTTTTCATAATAAAATATAAATATACAAATTTATAAATAAGGGGACCCGCCTGGGGCTTTGCGCCATTTTGCCACGTGTGGCCGGCTATACTCTTTAAGTATATTAGGATCATAAATGGGCCCACCTGACCCAGTAGACCCCAACTGGAACCTTCAGAAACTGGGAGTAGAAGCTAGAAACTCAAAGCCCAGACGCCTGGAAGACGCAAACTGATACCACGAAGAAGAGAGATCAATGGCAGGGACGTTAGTGTCTCGGGCCTTCCTTCTTCTTACCGCCTCTAACAAGAAGTCCAATCCTTTCCCCTTTGTTCTCAGTAAGCGTCTCATAGCCATAGCTGCAGCCAACCACTCCAACAAAACCATCTCTTTTGCTTCTTCTTCTTCACTCACAGAAAACCACCACAGGAGGTTGCTTCTCCCATTATCGCTATCTCCTTTTCGTACCTTCAATAGTGTTAGGTTCTTCAGCTCCTCTGAATCCAGCACCAAAGTCAATACCAAGGTTAACTTCTCTCTCCCTTCAGACGACGAAGACGATGACGAAACGACGACGAAAACCCCCACCAAAGAGATCGACAAGTCGAAGCTCCCTCCCCCGTACGACCCCTTCAACAAGAAGCCCACCATCGAGGACCCAGAAGACCCAAAAGACCTGCAAGAAGTCTTCCACAAGATGCGCACCGATGGCCTCACCAACAATGCAGTCAAGATGTTCGACGCATTGTCCAAAGACGGCTTAACCCACGAGGCCCTGGAGCTCTTTGCTCATATCAAGGACAAGGGTCATATGCCAGACGTCGTTTCACACACTGCCGTCATAGAGGCCTACGCCAATGCCGGCAAGACCAAGGAGGCTCTCAAGGTGTACCTGCGCATGTTAGCCTCTGGGGTCGCCCCGAACGCCTACACTTACACTGTTCTCATCAAGGCGCTGGCTGCCGACCCCAGTGGTAAGTTCCTTGGGGATGCCAAGAAGTATTTGCTGGAGATGATGGGGAAGGGAATGCAGCCCAATGCCGGTACCTACACGGTGGTGTTCGAGGGGTTTGCGAGGCAGGAGGAGAGGGCAGAGGAGGGGAGGGAGTTGCTGGTGGAAATGAAATTTAAGGGGTTTGTGCCGGACGAGAAAGCTGTGAGGGAGGTTCTTAAGAGCAAGAGAGGGCCTGTGGTTAGAAGCGTCATCAACATTCTCTTTGGCAAGTAGATAGATTTTGCTCATTCTATGTTCTCGTTTTTGTTATGAAGTTTGGAACTTGAAATGAAATGCCAATTCAACCAATTCAAAGTTAAATCTCTGATGACTGGTGAGAAACAGAGGAAATATTGCTCTTCAAAACAATTCAAACTTTAGGACATGAGACATAACTTTTTCTTCAAGAAATGTTTAACACCTACGTAAATTTAAAAACACACCTACATTCACTGATTATAATGTCAAACAAAATACACACGTGAGAGAGAGAGAGAGAGAGCAGTTCAAAATTAATTCCTATAGCTCTTTTAGAAGTATCGTTCAATTTGATTCTTGTAAACACGCTGGAGTAGCAGCATCTCCCAATCTCATTGACCACGGATGCCCCACAAATACAAATAGCGGCGGCAGCAGCAGCCTCTAACCCACCATGGTGCTGGAAAACTGATGTCTAAGGATGCACGTAACCCAGCAATGGTTCTGCAAAACTGATGTTTATGGATGCACATCTAATATCCTTGCTTGGTAGGGCATTCTGATGCCCTGTGGCCAGACCTCCCACAATTGAAACAGGAACCTCCAAAGCTTCTGGAACTGCAAATTCAGATATAATTTCAGTTGTGCAAATTTGAATATCAATCAAGGAGCAACCACTACCCTATGGGACCATAAGTTGAGAAAACCTTATTGATTTGAATATCAAACAGTAAGCTATTCTAGTAAATTAAAAGTTCATTATGCCAGGAATGCAATCTCTTTCCATCCCAGTTAGTTGAGCCCTGACTAATACATAACTCCGGTTTAGACCCAAGTCTCATTTCAGAGAAGGCAATTGATTATTAGCATAAGAGTAGGGAGGGAAAATTTTGAAAGAGGAGAGATTAAAAACAAAGAAAAATAATTCCCAAACTCGTCAACAATGTACACTAAGAACTGTCGTTGCTGGCTCATAAGTTCATAACAAGTTCAGACTCCGTATATATTTTACCAAGTGAGCACATTCTTCTACTTGAGACTATAAGATCACTGCACTATTAGATGTTTTTAATTTGCTAGCGTAACGGTTATTCTTCTTTCAATGTTAACTCAAGAAAGAATGAGAAACTTGAAATGTGTAGATAATATACCTGTCTCGGGATGATGACCTGCTTGATGGTCTACCTCCAATAAGCCAATCATCATCTATGCTTCTTGAAGTCCGAGATTGACTGTTGCTATTTCCATAACTTCGACCACCACCTCTACCACCACCTCTACCACCACTCCTAAATGAATCATCGGCACCATCACTGGAACCCCAACCCCTGGAACTTCTAAAACCTGATGATCCTTGACGATCCCTAGAACCTCCCCGTCGACTATTCCGATCTCTGCCTGAAAATCTGCCATAGTAGTCATTCACTGGCCCATCATCTTGCAGAGCTGGCAACTGACAACACAGAATAATACATGCACATAAACATCTCTGTTAGTAGTTTTTTCATGCAGAAGCTGCTATTATGAGAAAGTGACCGAAAGCAAAAGTAGACCTTGGTTATCTTGGAAATAGTGTTTCCAGGAGGTATTTGTCTATTTAGTAACTCTTTTGCAATCTCTTCTGGAAGATCAAAAACTGCTCCTTGAACCTGATATTATCACCATCAAAATTTTTTTCAAGTGAAATGAATTAAAGCACTGGATCAAAATAAGCATGAGATGTTGTAAATACAAACCCTTTCGTCCGCAATTATATGTATTTTTCCAACTTCATCAGCAGCTGCAGAATAAACATCTGAAAGAAACCCAGTGACAGATCTAGCAGACAGGAACCCTCTGGCAAAAGCTGGATCTCTAATAATTTGCAATGTCGTCCATCCCTGCATATAATTTTCCAGTTCAAATAATATAACAAAATACCAGAGGAAAGTTCCAAAACACACACACCCCCTAAACCCTAAATCTCACTCCACCAAGAAAATAAACAACCTAATTAAGCATAAAATTTACTTTGATAATTACCTGCTCGTGAGTGATAAGGGACCGGGATGATGGAGGTCGAGAAAATCCACTCAACTGTGCTAGTGCAGCAGCAAGGGCATTTGTTCCCTGTTCATCAATCAATTTCTGTGCAGTTGGTGTGAAAAATTGTACAGATTCAGGATGAACTCCACTGAGAGTAGCAACCACGTGCTGAGCAGAAGATTCCAAAACTTCTTCAATAGTTGGGGGACTAACAAACTCAAACTTGCACCCCACATCACGCTCAAGAGTTCTAACTGTTCTCCTCTGGTTGTTAGTAAACATCAGAACGGCAGTACCTTGTTTCCCTGCACGTCCAGTACGCCCAGAACGATGTACAAATGTCTCTGAATCATTGGGAAGTTCATAGTGGATCACCTGGAAAAAGAAAAGGAAAAAAATTTATTGAGGCCACAGGCTTATCAAGGTGTTGGCAACTGAACTCTGGTAAAGACATACAGAGTGGTAATAGTTTCATATAAACGTGTACTAGGACCAAAAGAAGTATAATTAAAATTTGATTAGGAATCATAGGTAATTCCTGGAGCTTACCAAATCAACATTGGGAATATCAAGTCCACGGGATGCAACATCAGTGGCAACAAGCACAGTGAATTTCCCTTGCCGAAAACCATTTAATGTTCTCTCTCTTTGATGCTGCGATATATCTCCATGCAATGCCTCAGAAGCTATGCTAGTTGTTAATGACATTGAGACTTCATCAGCATCTCGTTTTGTTTGTGTAAAAACAATGGTCTTCCCACCCTTTGCATAAACCTGAAGATATGACATTCTTCAGTGCTATGCGATAAATGTTCCCTTTTTGAAATAATGTATAACTATGCGGATCCATCTTATGACAGGTTATGAGATACCATGGCAAAAGTTAAGTTCTATCAGAAAGCCATGCATATGAAACATCTGTCAGTTCAAATAGATATAATCAACATCACCATTCGCAGTTATGAGAAAATTAGATACCATGAGGCAAGAAAGTTCTTTTTTTTTTTCCTTTTTTTTTCATAGTATGTCAGTTATGAGATATCATGACAATGATTAAGTTCTATCAGAAAGGCATGCATATGAAACATCCCTCCTTTTCAAATAGTGGACTTGGCTGGCTGAGATTTCTAACACATCAGAAGTTACAATATTTCCCTATCTTGTTCAAAATGAGTCAAAACAAGACAAAAAGAATGAGTTCCAACTCTTACCGTTATAAGGTCACTAAGAATGGTCCGCTTTGAAGATCCAGTGGTTGATAAAGCATAAAGTTTGATCCCTTCTGCAAGCTTCTCCTCTTGGTCACCAACCTTTGGAAAATAAGAAAGTAGAAAAGGAAAAGTTTTAAGATTTACTTTCCACTTTAAAATATAAACATCAGAAATGCCGAATTAGGACTTTGACATTACTTTAAAGTTTAAACAACTACAACTTCCATTGGCTTTAAAATCCAGTAAACATATTTGTAAGCGTAACTCTCCATGCCATATTCTAATTGCACAAGATTATAAACAAAGAAAAGAAAGAAACCTAAAGAATTAACATTTACCAAATCAATCGTCAATGGGTTGTCCAAGTATTTCCGTGCTAGTTTTTTCACCCAAGTAGGCATAGTTGCAGAAAACAGCATGCTTTGCCTCTGAGTTGGAAGCTTTTGTAAAATTACTTCCACATCCTCCTCAAATCCAACAGCAAGCATTGAATCAGCTTCATCGAGTACCAAATATTGAACTTCGCCCAGTTTGAGGCTGTTACCATTAATCAGGTCAATAATTCGACCAGGAGTTCCAACCACCACATCAACTCCACGTGAGAGAGCACTTTGTTGTGTTATGTACGAAACTCCCCCATACACACAAACAGTGTTTAGATAAGGTGCAGATTCTTTAATCTCCTTTTCCACTTGTTTCGCTAACTCCCGAGTAGGTGCAAGGACCAGAACCCTAGGAAGATAACCAGTCCGCCTATAAAAGGAGAAAATAGAGAAATTCATCAAAAGATTTTCAAAATAGAATAGTCTTTAGTTCTAATGTGTGAAAAAAAAAATGGTACCTATGAGAACTTCTCTGTTCATCATCCTCTGTGAGGCGCTTCAGTATTGGAATTCCGAAGGCTAATGTCTTTCCAGTCCCAGTCTTTGCACGAGCAATGATATCTCGACCTTCCAATGCAGGTACTAGCACAGCCCTCTAAAATTTTTAAAGAAAAAAGTAAGTAGAAAATCATCATACACATGCCTAGATAAACATTTTTGGATACATAAATATAAAAATGTTAAATTTGACAAGAAAAGGTCACTGTGTGATGAGATTAAAATATTTACGCGCCAATAAGACAAACAACGCAACATGGGAGTATGAACAAAGAAAATGCAGGTAGATAATGGACAATGTTATGAAGGGCACCAAAATGTTTTAATCTGCAGAAAGCTTACATACCGCCATACAAACACACAATCTAAAGGATGATGCTCAAAAGGGTTGTGACAAAAACAAAATTAGAGTAAGTTCATCATTGCAGGAAAAAAAAACATAACTTTAAAAATAAAAAGATAAGAAAAGCAAAACCAGAGAGAGGAACAAAGTACCTGAATAGGGAAAAGGCTTGAAATGCCACGTTTCTCAAGGCTGTCGACGAGGCGCTGGGGCAAACCCAACTTGGAAAGAGCGAGCTCATCATCATCACTGGCAGCAGAAGCTGGCTCAGTTTCAGAGTCATATTCCGAGTCCGAGTCCAGAGAGTCTTTAGAGAAGCCACCGAGCCCTTTGAACGCCTCTTCACTGAGCACCGAATTGGGCGTTGCAATAGCTGAAGCAACAAGACTAGACTGCCTGACCAGGCCACTCTTGGCTCTCAAAACACTGTTAAAGTGAGGCCTATCTGGAAACGCAAGAGAAAGAGAAGGGCTGCTAGTTGTAGCTGTTGTTGTTGTCGTTGAAGCTGCTGCTCTTCTGTAAAGCTCACTACATGGAGTCTGGGGATAGATAGAAGAAACGCCTATAATAGAAGTCATTTCTGCAACTATATCAGAAGCGGCTTTGCTCTGTTCGCTCTAACTCGCCCTTCTTTCTTCTCTTATCTCTTTGACCCCAACGTGCTCGCTGAAAGTCCCAAGAGAAAAACAAGAAGAAGAAGATAGAGGATAATGAGAGAGACAGAGAGGCTCAAAGATAATTTAGGTCTGAAGATATGGGAACGATGAAGAGGCGGCCTCTGTAGGTTTAATATAGAGCGAGAGAGAAGAGTGAGTGTGAGAGGGAGATAAGGCCACACTACACCCTTTGCGAATGTATGGCCTCCCAAACCTCCACCTCGGTTAATATTTCGCAGAGCCCCGGATATTTCTTCTCGGGTCCAAATTCAAATTGCGACTTGACCCGAAAACGCCGGGCTTTCTTCTACCCGGTGCCGGTAGTTACTATTATTATTATTATTATTATTATCCTCTTTCTTTCTTTTTATCTTGAATCCAACCTTTCCAGGCCCTAGTGTATTGTATTACAATGATCTAAACCGTTTATCTTTTAGGTATTGCATATAAATTTAAAATCATTTGACCACTCAATATGTTTTAATGGTTTTCAATTTGTCTAATGACTCGTTTGGGAATACTCAATATGTTTTAATGATTTTCAATTTATTTAAGGGTTAGTTTGAGAATGCTTTTATAGGAAGCATTTTTATTTATAAACGTATTTTTAGAATCGCTTTATTAGAGAAACGTCAACATTTTTTATCCACAAGCATTTATAAGTTTTTCTCTCGAGCACTATTTAGAAGCTCTATGAAGCACTTATAATCCTTTTTAAAGCATTTCCAGATATGCTGCTTTTTTTTTTTGAAAAAAACGAAAGACCTATATCTGGGGTCAGTTGGAGTTCGATTGCCAACCAATTCTGCACTGACTCACACTATTTATGTTTAAGGGAAAATTAATATATATTTAATTAATTAATTAAGGGGCATTATTAGGTAACGTTAAAATAAAAAAAATTTAAAAAGGTTGGAGCTATTTTCATAATTTTCATGGTGTATTTTGTTGATTAGTTGTACAGCGGGACTGGAAGGGTTCCAGCCAGTAAAGCATTTCCTGTGAGGCCTTTGCTTCTTCCTCCTCCTCCTCCTTCTTCTTCTTCCTTTGATCTTATCGCAGGCGACGGTTTCACATCTCATTCGCAGATCTCCAAATTGACCTTCACGCCTTGACTACCTAATTTTTAGTTCTTCAAACGCTTCAAAGGTAAAGTTGCCTTCAAGCTTTCGCCTTCAATTTGTCTTCCCAATTAAATTCAGTCAAAACCCTTTCTTTCTTTTTTTCCGCAGCCAATTAAACGGAGATGTTTGCCCGTTCTCGATTTCACTTTTTTTTCTTTTTTCTTTTTTCTTTTTTGATGAATTTATTTTCAACGGTTGCAGGCATTTCAAGCAATTCAAATAGAGTGTGAGGGTTAGGGTTTACGAATTCCCCACCCTTCCCTCACTTTGGTGGAATTCTTCGACTTCTAACAAGCGAAAATATTGCGTAGAGATATTGATAAACACTTCTGCTCAGGTTTTGATCATTGACTAGCTCAAAGGGGCTTGGTTTGATTAGAGGTTTTCAAAATGGCGGCATCGGTCCCAATCTACCTGAGCATTGTCGCTTTTTTCTGCACTGTTGGAGCCATAGCTTTGGCCATTTCGCACATCTACAGGCACCTCATGAATTACACGGAACCTACTTATCAGAGATACATTGTCCGCATTATCTTTATGGTCCCAGTGAGTATTTAACGAAGAAAACCCCACTTTGAAATGTTATCATTTGTATCATTTGGATTTTATCATACCCAAATTTTCTTATCAGTTTCGTTGCATAGCTTTTTAGAGCTGCGGTTACATTATTTCATTCGACTTTTGTGTGAAGTTAACTGAATGAATTTCTGCTTTGTCATTTACTGAGTTTTCGGCATGTCAATGTTAATCGTGGAGTGGTGATTATCTTCTGGTGCTGTTTTCAATTTCCTTGTGTTGTTTACTCTTGAGGATTGCTGCTTGCATATGCTATGTATAGATTGTTTATGCATGAGCCAGCATAATTGAAGGGATAAATGAACAATACGAGGGTGTGTTGCAATAGAGTGCTCCGGGACCTTGTAGTTCCTGTTGGTTCCACCACTTCCCCACCAAAAATTGAGGAGAACAGCAGTTTTCTCTGTTTTTTTTCTTTTGTTTTTTTGTTTTTTCCTTTATTCGTCTTGGTTTTGAGATATTTTAGAGGTCGCACCTTGGAAATGCTTGTTTCTGTTGAATTTGTACTTACGTAACCAATGTGATCTTTATTTTCCTTGACAGATATATGCATTGATGTCTTTCTTATCCCTTGTTTTACCTGGGAGCTCAATCTACTTTAATTCCATCAGGGAAGTGTAAGTATTTCTTTCATTTGTATGAAGCTCCCACTGTACATGTAATTACTAAATATTATGTTCCTTCTCTGCCCTTGTTTCCCTTGTTTAAATAAGAACGTAAAACGGGGAGAAAATAAGGTGATCTTCAGGTAACATGATAGGATAAATTCAACAATTTCACACTTCTTCGAGGAGTATTTCACCATTTTGCCCTTAACGTCTGGCTATGATGGTGACCTCTTGTGGAGAGGGATTTGTGAACCCAAGGGCAAATTTCCCCTTCCCATTTGCTACTTCTCTCTCTCTCTAACCTGTTTATTACAAGCTGGGGCTTAAGTATCTGTTTCTCTGAGTAAATGTAGGCAATTACAAGCTGTATCTTTTATCCTCATGCTATTGCTATTTTCTTTCTGTTTCAGTTATGAAGCGTGGGTCATTTATAATTTTCTGTCGCTGTGCTTGGCATGGGTTGGTGGCCCAGGATCTGTTGTCCTAAGTTTAAGTGGTAGGATTCTAAAGCCTTCGTGGGTTCTGATGACATGTTGCCTCCCTCCCATACCTCTTGATGGGTGAGTTCACAATCTATGCTTAATTTGCCAATATCTGCAAGCCAGGAATTTCTGGTGTAAGAAAAATCACAGAATTCTATTATTACATGGGATCTGTGTACTATTTTCAAATGTTAGCAGTGCTCTTGGTCTTTCATGTATTACTTGTAAATAGCCTTGTTTTTATTTACATATATAAAATCAGAATCTCTACATAATAGGCAGAGCACTGCAAAGCTAAGGAGATCTCTGGAAAATATGGAGGTTTCTTATATAACAATATGTCATTATGTTGTATTTATGAGAGGATTGTTTGATGAACTCATACACTTAAAACTGTTAATGCAGGCGTTTTATACGTAGGTGCAAGCAAGGCTGTTTGCAGTTTGTTATACTGAAGCCTGTATTAGTTGCCGTTACGCTCATACTTTACGCAAAAGGGAAATATGCAGATGGAAATTTCAGTCCAAATCAGTCGTACCTGTATCTCACTATTATCTATACAATCTCATACACGATGGCTCTTTATGCTTTGGCATTGTTTTATGTGGCTTGCAGAGATCTGCTTCAGCCATTCAATCCAGTTCCAAAGTTTATTATAATCAAATCTGTTGTTTTCCTCACTTATTGGCAGGTAAAAATACGTCTCACTTTATTAGTGGCAAAATTTTTAAAGATGCAAACTTTGTTTGGTGCCTTGTGTGTTAGCAATTTGCACTTATTGTGGATCGCATGCTTATGCATTAAGAGCAAAAGATGTAGAATGTTTTTTTTCCTGTTGATAGGGAGGCTCATGTTGCAAACTTATTCAGTACGTTTCTGACTCTTATTGTCTACCTTTTAGGGTGTGTTGGTTTTCCTTGCTGCCAAATCTGGATTAATAAAGAATGCAGAGGATGCTGCTCAATATCAAAATTTCATAATATGTGTTGAGATGCTAATTGCTGCTGTTGGTCATCTATATGCATTTCCCTACAAGGAGTATGCTGGTGCAAATATTGGCGGGCCTCGAGGTCTGACTGGAAGCCTTGCACATGCCTTAAAATTGAATGACTTCTACCATGATACAGTCCACCAGGTGAGCCTTTCAAATTGTTGTTTCTGCCATGGCCTAGCATAGATGGTTATCTTTCTCTTTTAACTTGGCTCAGCCTTTCTGATGAGTATATATAACTGTGCAGTTTGCCCCTACCTATCATGATTATGTACTTTACAACCATAGTGAGGGTGATGAGGGAAAGAGGAAGTATCGGTCACGCACGTTTGTGCCGACTGGGCCAGAGATGGACGCTGTCAGAAGAAACAAGCACATTTTTGGGAACAAGATAGATGACATACAGCTTTCCAGTCTCTCATCTTCTAGTTCAAGCACTCCCAATAACTCTGGCCCAATCCCTGATTCTGCAAATTCAGATGCAATGAAGTCTTCCCTGCTTGTTGATACCTCAAATGCTTCATCAGTGCCATATGACATGTCACTTATTGACTTGGACTTGACCAGCTACCCCGCAAAGGTTCCTTCAGCAAATGAAGGTGGTACTAGGTGACAAGAACAGACTGTGGTAGGCAGTTATGAAGAATGTTCATACCGGGAAAGAAGTATTAAAAGGGTTATGGGGTTTCGGTGAAGCTTCATTTGCTTAATTGTGTGGTGATATTGGTGTTGGTATACTCCGTCTACCGCTCTTCAGTTTGATGCTCTGTCATCACAAACATCAGGCTTCCCACTGAAATTGTTTTCAATGGCTTGTTAGTTCAGTGTGCATTGTAGATACAGAAAATCTAATTGTCATACTTGCTAGATCACAATAGGAAACATGAAATTGATTTTGTTTTTTTTTCCTCCTTTTTTGGTTGCCCAATGAAGAGTTCTGTTGCTTATTGGATTTCCATAGACTTGATATCGAAATTTTTTTTTCTGAGTTGGGCCTTGGTACATGGTTCGTCTTGTTGTTCCTTTTGTATTCTTGCCAAACAATCAAGGAGATGAGAGAGCAGTTTTTACTGTAGTTACCACTAATGATTTTACCAGTTGCATGGCAGTGCAATCGAAGATGTTTTGATATACTTCTATTATGAGATTGTGTAGGTTTGACTATCCTTTGTTATTGAAATGATTGATTGAGGTTCTGATTCTTACATTTGATGAGGCAAGGATGATGCAGACTGGCCGTGCTAAAATGCTAGTCTGGCAACCATGACTATCGGGTTTTTCGTCACGAACGAAAGCGATAGTCTTCTGGATATGATTGACTATTAATTTTTGTGTTTGCTGAATTAGCTTAGAATTTTGTTTAGTTTGCTGAGGTGGAGCAGAGTTTCTTAGAGAGCCTTAGACGCTAAGTCCTCCCATGCCTCTTGGTGCATCTGGTTTGAAACTTGAGATGTTGTCATGAGCACGGGAGTTGAAAGAGCGACTGTATAAATTGCAGCATGACCTACTTATAATTCATAAATAGTAAACTTGTAAAGGTAGAACACGAAAAATGTATGGGTTGGTTAAGACTTACATTACATGCATTAATCTCTTCTATAATTGGTATTGACTAACTTTTTAATAACTATTGGGGAGTTAATGCATTCTCTTTATTTGGTATTGACCTTTTATAATAATCGTTGGACAATTTTCTCATCTCACGCAAGTCACTCAGCAGCCTTGGCTTATCTGTCTTACTCTGTTGCTGCTTCTTCAAACAACTCAAAGCTAGTTTTATAATGGCATTTTTTAAAGTATTGAAGTTAGAACTCAACTTGTTTGAGGATTAATGCTCAAATTGCATAAACTAGTCCTATCATCTACATAAACACTCCTAATGAAGTGAAATCTAGCTATGTAGAATCCACTTTTTAGGCTATTATTGGGTTGTTTTCCTAAAAAAAAACATATAATTAAGTGTAATCGGTTGCAACGTGATGAGAGAGATAGACACAACGTTATATAGAACCGGTGATAGAGAAGTTTTTTCTCATATTCCAGGTGCTGATTAGAATAACCTGAAAAGATGATCAAGTTGGTAAAAACAAAAAAGTTAAAAAGATGATGGCATCATAGCATCATAGAACCTAACGATCCCATTTCTCTCATGCAATAACAAGAGTGGAGGAAAGAAAGTCCAGGAAGAAAAAGGGAAAGCCAAACACAAAAGGCACGTGACCGTCCATCTAAAAAGACCATGAGCTTATCCGACCACGTGTTAAAGTAAAAAAAATTACTATATAGGACTGGAGAGAGAGAGAGAGAGAGAGAGAGAGAGGGATGCTAATTTAGAAGAGAAGAAAAAGCAATGAGGCAGCAAGCAAGCCAAGCAGTCCTGGCTAGGTAGCTCCTGTGGCGGCCCACTGCTCGCTTGCCCAACTTATGACTTAACCAACACAGGTTCGTAGAATTTATACACTTCCAGACTCTCAAACCAACCTTTATATTTCTCTTTAAACCCCCCACCCTCTTCTTCAACCTCCATTGCATAACTCCTCTCACACACCCAAAGGAAAAGACAACTAAGTCCTCTCTCTCTGTGTTTCTGTCTCTGTCTCTCTGTTTTCTCTGTTTCTCCCTCTAGCTAAGTTCTTCAATGGCCGGCCTGTGGGGACAGAGCATTCACCATGTGGGCCCAAACCCATCAATCAGTAGAAGTAACTCATTGAATAGCAGCAGCAGCGGCAGTGGGTGCTATTACAACAGCTACATGGAGCTGAGCAGCAACAACTACACGATGATGGAGAAGAGGCAGCTTTTTCTTAGAAGCTATCAGTTCAGCAGGAAGAAGAGCCTGACAGAGAGGATCAAAGGGTCTTTTTGCAAAGCCAAGAAGGTCATATGGCTGAGGCTGCGTTCAGCTCGGAAGCTTAGGAAGTTGGTCTGCTTTAGACTCAGATATGGACTTGCCTACCGGAGAAGAAGACTCTGCCGTCTCCTGAACAATTACCACCATACCCGCAAATGCAATAACTCCTACTGTTTCTGGTAGAAGAAGTACTGGTACTCTTGTAATTTCTATTTTTTTTCCCTTTTTTTTTCTTTTGGTTTTCTTTATTTTAGAAGAAAAAAGTGCCAAATTTTGGTGTTGTTCCCACGAGTTAACTAGTTATATACATGATGATTTCCATTCTATTTATTTGGTGATGCTAGTTTTTAATGTCATTCTATTTTTTATTTCTATATTAAGGGTGGGGTTTAGGAGGAATTTAGAAAAATGGTTACTTTTTATAGTAATTTGGGGTGATTTATATATAATTGGTGTGAGAATCCCAAAATAATAAAATCTTAGTTTATGTATGATGAGATTGAGAATCTCAAAGTAGAATGGAATGGATACCATCTTCTAAGGGTTTGGCTTCTGGGTTACACAAAGTTTGAGGTCCATTTTTGGCTTGGAATAAGGCAGCTGTTGGCCTTAGCAAAGAGGCAAATGGGAACAAAAATTTGTGCAATTCAATCAAGTTGAAAGTTTGAACTCTCAAGGGAGGACAAAACCCAAAAAGGTCAAGCAGCAGCTCAAGGATCCAAGTTTGAATGAAAGATGAAGCAAAAAAGTCATTGTTGGGGAACTGTGACTTTCACACCTTGCATTGCATGCTGCTCCTTAGACTGTTTAAAGTCCTGTTGAAATGATCACAAAAGCAATAGCTTTTACCCTTCATATTCTGTTTACACTTTGCCTCTTTTTCTTTTGCTTTTTTGGTGAAAACCCTTTTTTCCTAGTGATCCACTGGTATTGCCATGTCCACTGTTGCTTGCTGCACATTCAGATTATTAGGGCAAAGTGACGTTGAGGTTGATTGGTATTTCCGTCACTAATTTTATGCAGGATAAATTAATAAGAGCCAACCAGACTCTGACTCAGCTTTAAGTGTTCTATAAGCTAGACTGCTTTTCTTATTAAATTCCAGCTCATCTGAGTTAACCCTTTCTCTTAATCATGATATTCTTGACAAAAAAGTGTTTTACTGCCAAGATTACGCATAAAGATCTAATCTTTTTAGTACATTTTTTTATTACTGGCAGAAGAAAGTGGCATGGTTGAGCATGCTCTGCTCTTTATATAAATATATTATCACGGCATGGCTTCATTGCAAATCAACGTCAGATGTTGGTGGAATATATGAATGATAAAATGAGCGGGCTAGATTGATCAATATTTTTTTACATTCTGCAGCAGCATGACAGATGTATAAAAGGGTTTTTTTTCTACAAAGTGCTTATCTTTCATCTTTATGGGTTGGCTGGGTTTGCAGAATCTTTCATTTCAGATGCTGATAAAGACAGATCCCTTAAACAAGTTGAGTTGGGAAGCAATTTTAGGAGGGTTATAATTATTTTTGAGAAAATGAGATAAAAATTAATGGAATTAATACAACATTGTTTTCATGGACAAGACAACTCATCGTCAAGATGAATGTGCTCAGTTGACAATTCACTCAGTGGGAAAAATAAAAAAACTTGCGCAAGAAAAGGATATGTGTTTGCTCATCATCAGGAAAAATAGGGTTTCTTAGAACATATAGAACATATATTAATCTTCGGCGACAAAGTCAACCAGATTTATAAAGTGACTGCATGGCAACGGTAACATACTTGCTAAGCAAAATGAGATGTGGAAAGCTCTTTATGTATTCGTTTGACTCTTAAGTAGATCTGACAAGAAGGTTCTGCAGACTGCAACAGGGAGCTTAAATATCTAGCTGGAAAATATAGACAGAAGCAAAGTCATAGTTTTTAAGATGGCATGAGCCATGATGAGGCACCTACATTTCCTTGTTCCAGCAGTACTAATATTCCTCTAGTTATGTTCCCAATATTAATTCATATGGGAGGATATTTAACTTGTCAATTAATCTTGAGGGTACAGACAGATGTATTTCCTTAATCTGTGCAATTGATTAACAACTGGGTTTTTCTGAAGAAAAAAAAATATAAATTAACAATTGGGCTTGGCTCCAGAGTATATGTCAATATTACAATACGAGCTATTTAGCCTATCAACATAACCAAGCTCATAATTTAGTGGTACTTTTCTTCTTAATATTGAAAGAGATTTTAAGTTCGAATTCCCTTTCCCCGTAAAACCTTAAAGCTAAAACATGATAGAAAGCTTTCAATTTTGGATGACTACAGTTTAGGTTTGGCAGTTGACGGCATGATATGAGAGAGACCAGAAGTCAGTTAACAATTGGTATCATGAGAGACACCAAGTGGCTAATTGTTTGGTCTGCTAAACTTTACAAACTAAAAGTTGAGAGAGGGAGGGTTTTTTATGCATCCTGATTAGATGGTGACTTTTATAAATTTTTTAGGAACTTTCTTATTGAGAGGAGCGATAGCGTACTAAATTCAGACACACTACACAAATACTAGGACTCAAACTTAGAATCTTGTCCAAGGGAATAAAATATTCCAAATCACTACACTAGCAGGTCCTTTGCAATAAGACAAAACTCATACCTTTTCATTAGTGCTCAATTTCTAGGCCTTCTTTTGGACTACATTGTGAAAATTTCAGATAATTTAGTTCTTGGGCTTCCTCTCTTCAATTAGGTCCACTACTGTGGCCTTTCAAAATTGATCCCACAGAACTGATGAAGGCCCAACCAATATGGTGCAGCTTTTCTTAGTCAGACCAAAATAGGGTGCACAAAAAACCAACATGACACCTTAATTAAACAATTGCCAATGCCCAACCACTATTTTGTTCAATGAAGGACAAATTAGACCAACAGATCATAATCTTGACTTGATTATGGACTCATTAGTGTCAGATTAGTAAAGAATCAAGTAAATCAGCTTTTGGCTAAAGATCACAACTGCAAACTTCACTTTCTTTAGCAAATGATTGGCTCTGATTTTCAACCCTAACATGGACATCAATCATTGCACATGCCTGTAATATTCCTCTAATCATATAACAATTCCTCCATCTCATTTTAATAAACTCAAGAGAGCAAGAGAGCAGCTTACAATCACAGAGGTGGTTATGTGTGTGGTGGTAGCCATGTGTTAAAAGGCAGATATACAAGGCATTATATCAATGTATCTGTCTCTCTTTCTCAATGCAGAGTATATTGAGCTAAAATATGAAGGTAGCCATGTGTCATAGGGAATCTTAATGTTACAATGTAAGTAATATCAGTCTCTTTCTGTTACTATTATGTGTTTGAATGAACATTAAAACCAGAATCTTCATACTTTGCCTCCATTTAGCCCCCACTAGCTCTTCCTCTTTATATATCTGTAACACTCAACAATACCAAAAGTCCTACAATCTCACCTCCTTTCTGCTTCTCCTATCTTCTTGGTCCTCAGTGCAGCAGATGGGTTTCCAGGACATTGTTGGGGGAAGGTTGGGATGTCAATATGAGAAGCTAACCAAAAGGAATGAAAAGGTGGGAAGGCCTGGAAGGCATTGGGTGAAGAAAATTAATGGAAGACTGAAGGGTCTGCGGTTATCGCGCTCCCGGAAGCTTACTTTGAAGATTTTTTCTTCAGTTGTATGGCCAAGCAGGTTTGCAAGGATATGCGGTGACATTGTGAACAGAATGAAAGCTGATGGAGCATATCCCAGTATTATCTTCTCCACTCAATGGGGGCTTCCAGTTCTGTCTCATTCATCTGTCAGGGGCTGCAGCATCAAATGCACTCCCAATATTGTACCAATTAGGAACTGTATCGAATAGCATGATACTTTGATTGTTATTGTACATTTCTCTGTCTCAAATCATATAATTGCTTTTCTTATTTGCTTTCACTCGGAACTAGTTTTTATGGTCCAATTAAGTAGACAGAATTTACAGTTCATGAAGCAAATGGAGCATATTGCATAGTTGTCCTACAAATGACTCCATTAGATTTCTCATAATTTATCCATTCACCATTTAATATAAGGGAAGCAGATATGGAGGAATTTTTATATACTTAGTGGACTAGACATGGTAATTCTAATTGATCAATTACTGTGAAGGAATTAGTTAAGATTTGCTACAGCTGAGATTATTATTTTCCGGCATAGAGAATCGAAGAAGATAATTCATATGGCCGACCATAAGGTTGGGGTAAAGGCAAGGATGATGGTGATGATAATGATATTCATGCCAACACATATTTTCATAAGAATTACGCAATTTTTTAAAAAATAGAAAGAAAAAAAAGGTACCAATATGACAATTACATGTAAAGGCAAGGTGGAATTTGATTATGACAGGAACAGACTATACACAATGTTAAAGAAGTTGAACAAAGGCAAGGCAACCAATTGGCCGGGCCCCTTATGTGATCCCTTCCTTGTAGTTATTACAAGCAGACGTTTAGGTGGTTTTCCTGATGGAGATAGCCTAATGCACGATAAAATCAGCATTTCCCTACCAAAGCGTCCTTTTAGATGCAAAGCCAGTCATGAATAGCAAATAAGAGTCTTTGAGGCTGAAGTTTGGCATGAGAAAGTGCCTTGTAATGTCCTTTGATCCCATCTTCTGTCCCTTCTTCGCCAAGCGCCATAGTCTTGGTGGCGGTGTAAGGCTTTCCTCACATGTCTCTGGCTCCTCCTTGATAGTTGCTAGCTTACTCTTGAGTATTTCCTCTATGTCTTTCCAGGAGTCAGTCCGGAAATTCTTTCTGCTCATGCAAGGCACCACCCGCCACATTTTTCGGTATGCCCTCCTCATCTGCTTTCAAGTTGAGTTCTTCTAGGACAAACTAGGTTTTTAGCAGAAAGTGGTCATGATCACACTAGTAATGCTCTTCTCCCTGCCTATATATAAAAAGAGAGAGATAGGATGTGAGAAGAGGGAGGGTTGAGGAAAGTGGGTTAGGGTTGTATTAGTTGGCTAGAAAATGGAAAGAGGAGGGACCAAAAGCCACAACCCTTGCTCCTTTACAGCGATGGTTCAATCATAATGATCAGCTTTTGTTGGTTAACCTTTATAAGACCAACCAAACCTTTATTCTATTGAATACATCATGAAATCCGTTTTCTAGTTTTGAAGTTGTATGCATATCTTGAACAAGGAAAGACATGTCTGCTACAAATTTCATGGATGACACTCTGTTCCTGGAAAGCTAAAGCCTTATGTCTACAAAAGTCATCTGCAGAATTATGAAACTGAAACACAAAGAACCAAACGTGACCCCTTGGAAATAATAGTGATAAAGACTTGAGGAAAGCAAATCATGGTGGTTGGTAACACATTGGTGATCAGCAAGTTCAAAACCATATCATTTGATCCCATTCCAAATTGTTTTATTAGAAGAGATTTCAGAAACCACACAAAAAATTTATGCCAATCTTCCAGCCTGTTGATACATCATGTTATTGAGGACATACAAAATCAAAGCACTGATTTAATTTGTCCAACTGTCATACCTTACCAAACCTTTACTTTGTACCAGAAAATCTTGCAGCTTACTTACATGTGCCAAACTTGTCATTATTTCTGTTCTTCTTGCTTCTTTTTGAAGTTAAAACTTGGAGTTTGAAGTGAACTACTTTGGTAACATGTGAATCTACTAGACCACCACTGCATATTCTCAATCTTGGTGTTCCATGGTCCCAAAAAGCTCCTACTCTCTCATCTCATGGTTTGTGGTGCCAGCCTCCTAATGGCTCTGCTAAGAACATGTAATCATTAATTTACCAAGAAACGTGGATGAATTCGATATTGATTGATGCGAAATTCATAATAAACAGCACCTAATTGTTGTCATTTGACAAATTTTGGCAAACTAATTAATAAAATCTTAGCATGAGAAATGTTCTCATGAATCATCGAACAATTAAGAATATCAGAATCGTTCCTGCTTGTATCTGAGGATAGAAGGACATGTGGAAGATTGTCATTTTTCTTAATTAATCAGCTAGTCACGAAGTCTAAACCTAACAGGACCAGGCCATTTAAACCATCAAAAAACCACCACGTGTCCTCTCATCTCTATGATTAAGTGGTCAATTTAGAATCATACATAAGGGAAGTTTTAATTTGTTTTCTTTTTCTCGTGTGGAATGGTTTAAAATTTAAATTCGATCTACAGTTTCGTGGGTCGAAAATTTATAACCCAACGGAGTTTGCAACTCCTTGAGCCTCCTACAACGTTGGCGGAGAAATCGAGCTTCCCCTCATCTGAAATCTCTAATTTCTGTCCCTTTTTCAGGAAAAAACGATTCAAGTCGAATTCTCATCTGGGTCACCTCCATTTCCTCTTTTAGTCCAACCTTTTTTTTATCAAGTTCATAACTTTAATGATCCATATATTATTGGTCCTTTTTGGAGTTTGCTTTTAGCGGTAAAAATAGTGAGATTGATTATATAAAATTGATGTCTTTGGTTGATAAGGAGATAGCAAGCGTTGGTGGCAGTGGTGGAGGCTCTGTGGGCGATGATGGTGACGACGATGATGATGAAGAAGGTGGTGGGTCCCCTGGTAGATGCAAATGCGGTGATGAGCATACAAAGAAGCAGAGAGGGTTTAGGGGTAGTGGGTTGTCAAGAAATTTTGGAAAGGCCAAGCAGGTGGTCCTGCATCCCTTCACAAGATCCAAGAAGCAATTACCCAGAAAAAACAAGACGAGGGCTTCTTCTGCACCTTCTTGTTCTGTGTCTTCTTGTTCTTTTTCTTCAGGTAAGAGGTTTGGAGCTGGTGTTAATGGCGGTGGCAATAAAGGTTGTTACTTTTGTTTCACGCAACCCTCTACTCCGGGTTCACCAATTGGGTCTCAGACCAGCGACCCAGAGCACCCGAATTTCACTTTTGGGATGTTGAGTGCTTTTATGGAGAAGAATGATTTCTTTTCTAAAGAGTGCAATCCCCACTTGGATATTGATGTCTCCCCAAATACTACCGATTGAAGGATATTTTATCTTCCTACACTATTTTGTTGTTGTTGTTGTGTGGAAGTGATTGTTGAGAATTTTGTCAAAATGAATTGAAGAGGTTGTGGAAATTTCATACTGATGACAAGGCCGATTGGATTCTTTTAAATTTAAAAGCCTTGTTGTTCTCTCTTTCATGATAGTAGGTGTACCTTATGGATGGATTATAGATGGTTTTGGGGCATTTTGACAGTTTGATATGTGGTGTGAGAATGTGATAATAGATGTTCAGTGCATATTAGTTTCAAGAATATATGCTAGGGCGGCTCTTAGACAGCAGATGCAGAAACCAGGCTTGATTTGGTTTCAAGAATTTATTCTTCTTGTTTTGCTTGGTTCACAAATGCCTATCACATCTTGGGGAATTTGGGGAAACCGCATGCGTCCCACATTGTTTCCTGAAGAAATTGAAGCTTTTATTTGATGTTTGAATTCTTTCAGTTTGTAAATTCATTCATGCCTTTTGGTTTTATGTGGTACTGTTTTCTGATATTGGGTAGACTCTAAAATTTATAACTTTCTCAATCCAATGAATGATGAGCCCAGGCGTGCCTCATTGATAGGCTTCTTACAAAAGATATTGCGGTCGTCCTAATTAAGCGTCTGCGGTATGTCTTTTTCTACCTTTATTCTGTTTTGAGTGAACTTTGGTCATCTGAGTGGACTTCATGGATTCGGTTTGAGAATCTCTTTTATGGTGCAATGTTGAGGTGGTGAGCCAGATCTTTAGGAATGTCATGCATTCATTTTGAATAAGCTTCTCCAAATGCCTAAATTGTTTTTCAGCCTAAAATTGAATCAGGCATTACAGTCTCTGCTTTTGCCCCTTGATCAACTTCTAGGTCATCGATTCTGTATTGAAAATTGTCAAAAAGATACACATTTTAACTAATCCTTAGATTGCTCTGACAAAGATTTTCTCACAAAAGGATTTTGATTTCTAAAATCTTTGGAAGAGGGCCATACAAAGTTTACAAATTTAGTTATATACCCAATCTTAGACATAGTCTTATAAAGAAATCTTATACCATTTAAAAACAATAAACACACCCAGAAAAAAAAACTCAAAAATAGACAAATTGTCAATTTTTTCAATTTAATAGCTATTTTTTAGCTTATTTGTATGTGTAAAATACCTATATTGCCATTGTACTGTGGATTTAAGAAAAAAATCAGATCTGCCAAAAAACCAAATCATATTCATTTCTTCCTTTCTCACTGGTGCTTTCTTGGTGTTGGAGCAAGAGGAGCTTCCATTGAAGCTCAGTCTCATGTCCAACTATATTCTTCATCCCTGATATACAATTTTCAATATTTCACCTTTGATTTCTTGTTTTAAAATTGTGCTTCTATTTTTTTTATTTTTTTTTCGAGATTGTTCGAAATCTTGAACGAACCTCAATCAGATGCTCCAAGCTCTACTCCTCTTTCGCCACATCGTTGTCATCGTCGTCGTCGTCGTTTGATTTCTAGAATGTATTTTAAGTTTTGATGATCGATTTATCTTTTGTTACTATTTCAGTTATGGATCTCATTTTTGTTTAACAGGGTACTTCTATGACAGAGTATTAACAATGTATTTTTATGACATAGTAGTATTAACAATCTGAGCTCGGCTTGTTTTTAATACTCTGCGAATTTTTTATATAATAAATTGTTTGGGTTTTTAAAAAAAATCTAGGCTCAGCTTGTTTTAAGTTGGTCTAGTTTGTTCTTTCTTCATCATTTCTTTGGTAGACATGCATTAGAAATAGCAACATGATAAACATTAATTAACATGACAATAAACTAGCAGTGCTATTATCCTAGACTGGAACATTACAGAAGTAGACATGCATTAGAAATAGGATGTCATAAGAACTAGCAGTGTTATTACCCTATACTAGAACATTACAGAGGTATATATGCATTAGAAATAAGATGTCATATGAAACTGATTGTGTTATTACCCTAGACTGGAACATTACAGCCATTAATCAACATGACAGTAAAGGTGTGGAACATTACGGTCATTATAAACATGACATGTTAATGAAGTTACAGTTTTTGAGATGTTTTGTTTGTAATGAATTGTTTGGATTTTTTTATATATAAAATTGGGCTAGACTTGTTTTGGGTGCTTTTTAAGTTTTTTGTGTTGAGGTTCTTTTAAGTTGATCAATGGTTGTCACATAATTTATAGGAACCTCAACACCAATTTCTTATGTAGTAAATAGGTTTTAGGTGTGTTTATAAAGTGCATTTCATGTGAATTTTTTATTATTATATAATTTCAGCCCCTATTTTGAGTATATTAGTGAAGCTCTCTAAAAAGTTGACCTTACTTAATCTCTTCAAGCATGTTGTAGTTTGGTTTTGAGTATTATAGCAGGATTAAGCCTTTTAATCAATTACAATTTACAGAACTAATTTTATTAGCAATGCTCCTTATTACTTCTTAGAAACACTAAGCTGATGCAATTCAATTTATCTGGTTTCCAAGATATTTTGGAGGATGCTAAAAGAACACAAGGTCAATTACTTTGAGCCTGATTGTAAAGGCACACCTTTTTTGCAACAAAGACATTCTTTTTGCCCAATAGGATGTATGTGGATCTGAAATTAACCCCTTGGATGTTTTGTTGCCTAAATTTATACAAGCTAGACTGATGTCAGATATGTATTTGCTTTTCTGAAAGAAGCATTTTAAAACTGTGAATTGTTTGATGCAATACTAGATTATCCTTGAGAACTAAGACTAGTTGTGTTTTCTGGAAGTCAATTCGTAGTTCACAAGAATGAGTTGGTTCTGGTTAAATGACCAGGCAAAGCCAACAAATTTTTTCATAACAACGTCAAAATTCAATGGACATGCTTCTATTCTTATGGGTTCAGAATGCTGAGTACATGGTATTAAGAAACTACCTGTGTGATATGTATAAGATATAATATTTTCTATATTCCAATATAGAGTCAAACAATATTGGTAGAATATTTTCAGGTTGTATTTTATTCTCCAAAATGAGGTATTTATAATACAATGATGTAACCCTAATAGGGTCAAACTAGGGAAAAATATAAAATCATAATTACACAATATTTGTACAAAAGGAAAGAAATATAGTCCTAATAAACTAGGAAATAAATCTCCTAATTAAGTTAGGATCTCGCTAACACTCCCCCTCAAATTGGAGCGAAGATGTCATGCATGCCCAACTTGTCAAGGGAGTTGAGAAAGACCATAGGAGACACAGCTTTTGTAAGAATATCTGCCAATTGATACTCGGATGATATAAACGGAAAAGAAATAATTTCAGCATCCAACTTCTCTTTAACAAAATGTCGATCAACCTCCACGTGCTTTGTACGATCATATTGCACAGGGTTATGCGCAATTGCAATTGCAGCTTTATTATCACAATACAAATCCATGGATTTTTGGGGTCCAAACCCAAGATCTCTCAACAATCTTCTCAACCATAGCAACTCGCACGCACCTTGAGCTATCCCACGGTACTCAGCCTCGGCACTAGACCTAGACACCATTTTTATTATCACAATAAAAATGTATATATGTATATATATGGGGCTAGAACACAGGTGGACACAACACACAGGTCACCAGAAAACCAAGCTCTGATACCAAGTCAAACAATATAGGTAGAATATTTTTAGGTTGTATTTCATTCTCCAAAAAGATATATTTATAACACAATGATGTAACCCTAGTATGGTCAAACTAGGAAAAAAGATAAAATCATAATTACACAATATTTGTACAAAAATAAATAAATAAAATCCTAATAAACTAGGAAATAAATCTCATAATTAAGTTAGAATCTCGCTAACATATACTACATGATCGTGCGACCTGTACAAAATGGATGAATGATGTATAACTTGCTCTCTTCCAAGACATGATGGTGACGGGAAGAAAAATTGCTCACTTCCAAGTATTTCGCTTTCATTTGTTGATCACATTTTCCGAAGATTGGTACAAATGGTTTTCACATCCTTGCACTCCCATTTTCAACAAAATGTACATACCAACAGATAATTCTCCACCGTCAAAAAATAAGAGGGGAACAACGACAAATGTTATCATGTTCAAATGTTTATCCTGAAATGCTCATTGCTATAAGATGCTCAAGAATATGGAGTGCAAAAAAGGGAAAAGGTTTCCTTTTTCTTTTCTTTTTTTATGGCCGGTGAAAAGGTTCATGCTGAAAAGTGAAAACTGTATCTTCGAGACTTTTTGTCATCAAATAATATCTCTGAGACTTTTAACAAAGATGGGCCTCAGTGTGATCAAAATCCATTTCTGATTTGGACCTAACCCATTAATATTTCACACACGCATTCTGCAAAGCTCCACACTTTATTTACGGGACCAACTCAACTGCCTACAAATAATGTCCCCGACTTGATTGCCTACAAGCCGAGTAACCCCACCCATCAAACGTGACCATAAGGATAAGGAAGAAGGCAAACAGATGGACCCTACACACCAACTGCGTCCACGCAAGGGCCAAATCTAGTGGTTTGCGTCGAATGCCGGTTGCTAGGAGAGATGACCCTCGTGCAGAGGGACTGACCAACGCACAACTGAGCTCAGAGTGAAACCAACAATGCAACATGGCATACGTATTCTCACACTACAGAAGACTGTATCTGATATATAAGAATACACTGATACACAGCAAACAGGATTGGGTTCTGCACGTGACCCCCATAAGTCCCCTTAGCCTTTCTTTTGTTGTTATTCGAGTTAAAGCCTTTTTATTTTGTTTTCTTATCCTGACTCTCTCTCTCTCTCTCTTTCTCTCTCTCCTCCACCACTCTGCTGTGACCCAGCCTAATTTCTTATTAGTTTATTCATCACAGTGAAATAATATCATCATGCTTAACCACGCCATTGATATATTCTATATATCCTGGCCAATGGGTTGGTTTCTCTTTCCAATTTTCAGTTGGGAACCGCCTGATTTTCTGAATGGGAAACTTGTTTGGGTCAGCAAGAATATTAAAATGAGATGATATCTATTTATGGGTTGTCATCAACCACCTCTGTTTACCCTTTTGGAAGGGAAACCATATACTAAACCATTCCCACCCGTTCCTATAGAACTTGCTAGCTTTCCAGCTACAGCTCTCTCTTGGATCCATTTCTTGGGCAACGGTTTGTGTATCAGAGTGGACCCATTTGAGGATTTTGCTTTCTAAAATAGTACGTCTTTTGAATTTTATTATATTAAAGGCGACTCCTTTAACTGTTAAGTGCTGCTACTGGCTACTGGGTTTGGTGTCCGGAGACAGAGGAGGCTGTGATCGAGATTAGTGGGATTGAAGTTTGAGACTTCAGAGGATATTATCTTAACATTTTCTACCAATCCCAAGTTTTTTTCTGTCAATTTGGTTTTCTGTATAAGTTGGGTCACTTGACTCAGTTTGCAGCTGAGACTAACTGAATTCAGCAGACTGCAGCTAAAAAGGTTAGGCTGTTTTCATTCCTTTGCTTGTCTATCTTTATTTCTGTTTAATAGCAGCTATGTGGTTCTGATTATTTATAGGAAGTTGGTGTTTTTCCTTTTTGATGCTATAACTGTTGTTTACTCATAATCTGTATAAATTTAATTTGGCTTCTTTAATTACTAGTTGTTTTGACCTTTTCTCATTTGGGTTTCCATTAATGAACTAATTGGTTCTTAATTTTTTGTTCAAGAAACCAAAGCGACGTGGACTTAAGTAATTGTTCGCTTTCAGTAAGGTTTCTGTTAGTATTGTTTCATTTGTTTGTGTCAGTTGTGGCAAATGGGACAAAGACCTTTGTTTTCTAATGTTTTGGGAAGAAAGAGGTTTGTGTATCGAGTCGCATAATAAAAGGCTGTTCAAAAGTAGATGTAGTCTTGTAAGTATGTTAGCCTGATTCTTACTTTTAGTATTACAATGATCCTCATGGTGATGGCTGTGATGAAGATTAAATCAATCATAAGTAGATTCAGCTTAACTATTTTATGGAATCAATACTAGCAGTATCTTTAAAAGGGGTTCATATTGTTATGCCTCTTATATCTTTCCAAGTAATTGTGCTTTTCCGTTCTCAGTTTATGTGAGAATGTCTTCTTCAAGACCCAGCGACTCATCCACCAATTCAGGGCGGTCTAGACACAGTGCTAGAATTATTGCTCAGACAACTGTTGATGCCAAGCTGCATGCAGATTTTGAGGAGTCAGGTAGTTCCTTTGACTACTCGAACTCGGTGCGCGTTAGTGGTTCAGTTGGAGGAGATCAACAACCTAGGTCAGACAAAGTGACCACTGCTTATCTCCATCACATACAGAAAGGCAAGCTGATCCAGCCTTTCGGATGCTTGCTAGCCTTAGATGAGAAAACTTTCAAGGTCATTGCATACAGTGAGAATGCCCCTGAAATGCTGACTATGGTCAGTCATGCAGTCCCAAGCGTTGGGGACTACCCTGTTCTTGGCGTTGGAACAGATATAAGAACAATTTTCACTGCCCCTAGTGCCTCTGCATTGCATAAGGCCCTTGGATTCGGAGAGGTTTCTCTCTTGAATCCCATCTTAGTCCATTGCAAGACCTCTGGCAAGCCTTTTTATGCAATAACCCATCGAGTAACGGGCAGTTTGATCATTGACTTCGAGCCGGTGAAGCCTTATGAAGTCCCTATGACTGCTGCTGGGGCCCTGCAGTCATACAAGCTGGCAGCTAAAGCAATTGCCCGATTGCAGTCTTTGCCTAGTGGGAGCATGGAGAGGCTTTGTGATACAATGGTCCAAGAGGTTTTTGAACTCACCGGTTATGACAGAGTGATGGCCTATAAATTTCATGATGATGATCATGGGGAAGTGGTCTCTGAGATTACGAAGCCTGGCCTGGAGCCATATCTGGGTTTGCATTATCCATCCACTGACATACCTCAGGCTTCACGGTTCCTATTTATGAAGAATAAGGTCCGAATGATTGTTGACTGTTGTGCAAAACAGGTGAAGGTGCTTCAAGATGAGAAGGTTCCATTTGATCTCACATTGTGCGGTTCAACCCTAAGAGCCCCACATAGTTGCCATTTACAATATATGAAGAATATGGATTCTATTGCATCTCTTGTTATGGCAGTAGTGGTTAACGAGGGGGATGATGAGGTAGCCAGTCCTGATTCTGTTCAGCCTCAAAAAAGAAAGAGACTTTGGGGTTTGGTAGTATGTCATAATACAAGTCCAAGATTTGTTCCTTTCCCTCTCAGGTATGCCTGTGAGTTTCTAGCTCAAGTATTTGCCATCCATGTCAATAAGGAAATAGAGTTGGAAGATCAGATGGTTGAGAAGAACATCCTGCGCACCCAAACGCTGTTGTGTGATATGTTGTTACGAGATGCACCCTTGGGTATTGTGTCACAGAGCCCTAATATTATGGATCTAGTGAAATGTGATGGAGCTGCCCTATTGTACAAGAGCAAGATATGGAGACTTGGCATAACTCCAAGTGACTTCCAGCTTCATGACATAGCCTCGTGGCTCGCTGAGTACCATATGGACTCCACAGGTTTGAGCACGGATAGTTTGTATGACGCAGGTTTCCCAGGGGCTCTTGCTCTTGGTGATGTAGTATGTGGAATGGCAGCTGTGAGGATAACTTCCAAGGACATGCTCTTCTGGTTTCGATCCCACACTGCGGCAGAAATTCGATGGGGTGGTGCAAAACATGAATCTGGTGAGAAGGATGATGGTTGGAGAATGCACCCTAGATCATCATTCAAGGCTTTCCTTGAAGTTGTCAAGTCAAGGAGCTTACCTTGGAAGGACTTTGAAATGGATGCAATTCATTCTTTGCAGCTTATTCTGAGGAATGCATTCAAAGATGTTGAAACTGTGGATGTAAACCCCAATGCAATCCGTGTAAAGCTTAGTGACCTAAAAATTGAAGGCATGCAAGAACTGGAAGCAGTGACAAGCGAGATGGTCCGTTTGATTGAAACAGCCACAGTTCCAATTTTGGCGGTTGATGTTGATGGGCTGGTTAATGGGTGGAATACAAAAATTTCTGAGTTAACTGGTCTTCCTGTTGATGAAGCAATTGGAAAGCATTTGCTCTCGCTTGTGGAAGATTCTTCAACTAAAATGGTGAAAAGGATGTTGGACTTGGCGTTGCATGGTATGTCATAACCCTATTTGACACCTTAGGCATTTTTAGATTGTCAAATATTACTAGCACATATGCATGTTTGGATTCTTATGTGAGTTTATCTTTTTTTTCAATTGCAGTCTTCTATTTGTATTAAGTTCATCCTTTTCCTTTTCTTTTGATCAGGCAAAGAGGAACAAAACATCCAATTTGAGATAAAAACACATGGTTCTAGGAGTGACCTTGGTCCCATCAGCTTAGTTGTGAATGCTTGTGCCAGCAGAGACATTCGTGAAAATGTTGTGGGGGTTTGTTTTGTGGCCCAGGATATCACTGGTCAGAAGACGGTAATGGACAAGTTCACCCGGATTGAAGGTGATTACAAGGCAATTGTACAGAACCCAAACCCGTTGATCCCCCCAATATTTGGTACTGATGAATTTGGCTGGTGTTCTGAGTGGAATCCAGCGATGACGAAGTTAACTGGGTGGAAACGAGAGGAGGTAATAGATAAAATGCTGTTGGGGGAGGTTTTTGGGATCAGCATGGCCTGTTGTCCTCTGAAGAGTCAAGAAGCTTTCGTAAATCTTGGTATTGTACTTAACCATGCCATGACAGGTCAGGTATCTGAAAAGGTTCCTTTTGGTTTCAGTGCTCGCAGTGGAAAGCACATAGAATGCCTGTTGTGTGTGAGCAAGAAATTGGACGGTGAGGGCTCAGTCACTGGGGTGTTTTGCTTCTTGCAGCTGGCTAGCCCAGAGCTGCAACAAGCACTCCATGTCCAGCGCTTGTCAGAACAAACTGCTGTGAAGAGATCGAAAGAATTGTCTTATATTAAAAGGCAGATCCGGAATCCTTTAGCTGGTATAATGTTTTCTCGGAAAATGATGGAGGGTACTGAGTTGGGAACAGAGCAAAAGCAGCTTCTGCATACTAGTGCCCAGTGCCAGCACCAGCTCAACAAAATACTAGATGACTCGGATCTTGATACCATCATTGACGGGTAAGATAAATTCCAGTCATTGACGAGATTTTTTTTTCTATTTTAACCTCACATTAACACAACTACTTCATGATATTCTTGGTTGTCTTAATAATTCTCTGTTTTCTGATCCCTTGACAGCTACTTGGACCTGGAAATGGTGGAGTTCACTTTGCATGAAGTACTGCTTGCCTCAGTCAGTCAAGTCATGAGTAAGAGCAATGCCAAGAGTATCCGGATTGTCCATGACGCAGCAGAAGAGATCATGAATGAGACCTTGTATGGGGATAGTCTTAGGCTTCAACAAGTCTTGGCTGATTTCTTAGCCATTTCAATTAATTTTATGCCAACCGGAGGCCAGCTTACTATTGCAGCCAATTTGACCAAAGATCAGTTAGGACAATCCGTTCATCTTGTGCATTTGGAGCTCAGGTAAAGCTTCACAACTAAATTTACAACATTGATGTGTCTGAACTATGTCTTAACATGTATCTTGTACAAACAAACGGTTTTCTGATCTCTACTATTGATCTCATGTATAAGTGGGTTGCTTGTATTACAAGTTGAGCGATTAGTATGAGATGCTGAATAATATTTCTGGATCAGGATAACACATGCAGGTGGTGGGATTCCAGAAGGATTGCTGAACCAGATGTTTGGAAACGACATAGCCATATCTGAGGAGGGCATTGGCCTGCTCGTGAGCAGTAGACTGGTGAAGCTCATGAACGGAGACGTAAGGTATCTCAGGGAAGCGGGCAAGGCAACCTTCATCATATCCGTGGAACTTGCTGCTGCACACAAGTTGAGCTCCTAATCTAAGACAATTTTCGACGGAAAATAACACAGATTCTCAAGTGTACAGCCTATATAAGGATTGATAGTTGAGGGTTTGCATCTTTGATATGCCTTATAATTTCAATTAACGTTCTTTTTTCTTTGGAACATTCATTATCGCTTTAACTTGTAAATATGCACGTCTGTCTCAGTCTTGTTCTTTAAATGGTCTTACCTTGTGATGAATTTGCACAACTCTAGAGAAATATGTGAAGAAGATTAGAAAAAGGAATGGTAAAAAAGATTTTGCAACGTTATATTGATGTTTAAAGCTGTCCGTGCTTCCATGGAAGCCATTCGCAGCGAAACCATGAATTTTTTGACAAGTGAACTAGCTATGTTAGCTTAAAATGTAATTTTTCTTTTTTCGACTTACAATTTTTATATATCTTCTATAAAAAAAATATTTATATGTTCAACAAAATAATATTTCCCTATTAATGTGTCATAGGTTTTTTTTTATAGAAAAGTTTGTTTTTGTTTTTTGTTTTTTTTCTTTTGTTTTTGTGTTTTTTGCAATGACGAACACAAAATGAATAATAGAGACAAACGACGAGGCTAATAGAGATTCATGCAATCTATACAATACAAATACATTATGATCCTTGAAGCTTACCTATATATATATATATGATAGAGCCCAACACAAAACAAAATCTAAAGTTAGGTAAAACCACACAAAAAACACAGCAGCTCAACTGTGGCACACCAGGTGCACAATAGCCAGCACCAGCCATTTATTGTTCTCTCATGATATGTTCAGTTTCATAACGTTGTCATGATATTGACTGGAACCAAAAATATGTTCAATGTATGTTGTCATGATATTGGCCAGGCCCCAAAAAGAAAATGTTGTCATCTTAACGACAGAACTGGCAACCCTTTGCTACAAATTTAGTAGCTTAAGCTTGCTATAAATATAGGTGCTTCCCTGCATGCATTATCACACCAGTCAAACAAAACTTGAACCATCTTCCAAATCCCCATTGTTCCTGCTCTCTCTGTGTCCTACACTTCTTCTCAAACAATTTGGACATTACCACTTTTGAGAGATGAATTTGGCTGAGTTGCCCGAAGACTGCTTTGCGCATATTTTATCATTTACATCTCCCAGAGATGCATGTCGTTGTTCATTAGTTTCATGGTCGTTTCGCACCATGACTGATTTGGATAGCATGTGGGAGAAATTTCTGCCATTCGACCATGCTGAAATTCTATCTAGATTAGTGTGTCCAATAACTTATTCCTCTAACAAAGAGTTGTTTATCAGGTTATGCAGTCCAAATCTAATTGATGGTGGTAAGAAGGTAAACTTTCAATTATTATTTGCATTTAATTTGATTTTAAAATGACAACATCATAATTAAATAATTCTCATTCAAGTTAGAATGAACCTAATGAATGAGTTCAAATATGTTTTTTTTTCGATTTTTTTTTGGCTTTTCAATCTTTTTAACTTAGTGTTGTGTGATGCCTCAAGGTTGCCTATGCATAATATGATTCAAATATTAACCATATATATGCGAATATATGTATGTAGGGTCAAGAAATTGATCCAATATTTGACTATTATTGCATTTGCAGCCTTTGGCAATAAAATGAGAGAGAATACATGGAAAATACCTCAAAAGGTTCATTTTGCATTGATAGGCGGTGGATCAAATATGAATTTTATAATCAACTAAAATTCATATTTGTTCCATTGCCTGCGGATGCACTAGTGGCTTTAGAAGGCTATTCCACACAAGGTTTTAATTAAATGGTTAAATTTTGAGAGTTTATTTTTTCTTTTGTTCTGAAAAACATGGATTTATATTGTGTCAATCCCAATAATTATTTTCCTGACTGATTAAAGCCTTTATTACTCTCAATAAAGCTTAAATGCTATTAAACACGAATTCAGATTTGCAGAGGTTGCTGAACTCAGAACCATTTGGTGGCTGGAAATATGTGGCACAATGAACACCCAAATGCTGTCACTAAAAACCATCTATGGGGCCTATCTTATTGCCAAGTTGGCTGATCGTGCGTATGGCTTAGACTCTTTGCCCTCTGAGGTTTCACTTGAAGTTGGTAACTTCAAATCACAAGGTACAGTTTACTTGAGCACACGCCATGATCAAAGTAGGGAGCAAGCTGCTGCTGTTGATTTAGAACATTAACATTTTTTGAAGCTTCGAGATCAAGGGTTTTAGAAGGAGATCATGGAGGAGGTCTCTGTGCCAGGATGGCTGGATCGAAGTAGAAATAGGGAGCTTTTACAATGAAGGCTGTGCCAATAATGATGTACACAAGGCCTGATTTGTCATATTATATCAATACTGTGTGTCAATATATGACTACACCTACAAAAGCACATTTTGGTTTGGTCAAACGTATCTTGAGGTATATTCAAGGTACCATACAGTATGGCATTCACTTCACTACAGGCCCTTGGCATCTGCAAGCCTATAGTGATGCAGACCGGGCTGGAGACTTGAATACACGCAGGTCTACCGCAGGATTTGTGATATTTCTTGGTAATAATCCTATTTCTTGGCAGGCTAAAAAGCAGGGATCGAAGTTCGATTGAAGCAGAGTACAGGGCATTGGCCAATACAGCTGCAGATTTAGCTTGGAATCGACAAGTCTTGTTGGATTTGAAAGTATGCTTACCTGAGCCTCCTACAATTTCATGTGATAATTTGTCTGCATTGGCTCTTAGTTCTAATCCTATATATCACTCACGCATCAAGCACCTCGACAATGATTTCCATTTCGTGCGCGAAAGGGTGCAAAGGAATGATAACTACTAGCTGATGTCTTTACTAAAGGACTACATAGTCCTGTTTTCTTGAGCCATTGTGCAAACATGAGGCTGGGCAACCTAGAGCTGGGTTTGAGGGGGAATGATAACAGTAATAGTTAGCTAAAGAGTTTGTTAGTGTTGGTACGTGTGGTTCACATAGTTTGTTAAGCATTAGTTATAGGCTAAACATCTGATATAAAACACTATCTCTCTGTTATCTCATTACTTTCTTATTTTCAGAGAATTTTATGAATTTTATGGTAAGCTTCATATTCATGAGCAAATTTAAATTCTGGGATGTTAGTGTAAATTACTATTGTTAATTCCGCGAGCAACGTTCATTGCTGCATGAATTAAAGGTCCAGCGTAGTTGCATTGAGAAAAGGAAACAATACTAGAAGAACACATAAACATCAAATATAAACTTTGCCTTTTTGTAAAACAAAATATTGGGAATGTTATGTAAAATCATTGCGGGGAGATTTTCGAAAAGACCGAATGAGGGAGAAATTTTTTTTAAAAAGCAAAAACGGACAAAATTGCCCTTATTTATTTTTGAATTTCCTAAGGAATTCTTTACATTTGTATGTCTTTAGTTTGAAAGTTGAGAAGTTTTTCTGTTTTTTTATAATAAAAAACTTTGATTTTTTCCAAAAGCGAAATTTCTTTTTTGTGGCTAAAACCTAAATTTACTTAATGATAATTTAGCAGAAATAAAGAAAACAGAGGAAAACCCTACATCAGAAAATCGATCAAAAACTAGAGAAGAAAAGGCTAAAGAAAGACGCCTAAGTTTTCCTGGAAGAGGAGGACGGAAGAAGAGCGTATGGGACGGCCACAAACTGGTGACTGAAACAATACGGTTTAAGCCGATATAAAAGAAGGCAATCGTAAGTTTTCGTAATTTCCCATTATGACCCTAGGGATTTACATGAATTACAGTTTTGATTTGGGTAGTTGACAACAACTGGGCCCAATGTTAGAAACCCAATATTGTATTTTTGTGTCTAACTAATTACCCTTCAATTAAGGCCCAATCCGAAGGGAAAAGGCTTCTTCCTCAACCAAAAAGGACTTGAAACAAAACAGGAAAACTGGGTTCAGACCCTGTAAATACAGAGAAATTCCTTCTTGCACAAATCACATTCAGAAACTAGAACTTTCTCGTCTCTCTTGCTTCGCCTTCTCCAACTAGGGCTCCAAGTGAGATGGCTTTAATGGAAAGAGATAGGGAAACGATTTTGAGTGAGATTAAGGTGCTTTCGTTCGCCGCCGAGAGCCCTCCGCTCTCGGTGCTCGTGGCAGCCAAGCTCGCCGGAATTTCTCTCCCCACCGACAACTCGCTATCCGCTGATTCTCCTCATCTTTTGCACTTCTCCGATGGGTAAACCCTAATCCCTATTTTTATTCTGCTATTGATTTGTTTGTATTGGTCTTTGTTTTCAAGCTTGGTTGAATGTATTTCTTCGTCCTTCGTTTTAGGTTGAAATTACATGGAACTTTTGTGCTTCTGCGATATATCGGTCGAATTGCTAACTTGTATGGGGAGAATGCAATTCAAGCTGCCCAGATTGACGAGTGGCTTGAGTACGCGCCTGTGCTTTCACAGGGTGCTGCGTTTGAGAATGCATGCAAACATTTGGATGACTATTTGGGAAGCCGAACTTTTTTCGTTGATCACTCTTTTTCCATTGCCGATATAGCAATCTGGTCAGGTCTTGCAGGTATTGCTTTGCTTCTCTCACTCTCTTTACCTCTTTAATTCTTATCTTTATTTGCCATGGTTATGTGAAGAATTAGAAATTGAAGGATAGGTCTTAAACTATGGATTACTGGGATTTCTTTATGTAAATATTCATACACTACTAAAAAACAAAGACTAGCTACTGCTTTGAATTTGTGTCTATTGTTAATTTTAGATACAATTAATAGCCCCCTTTAAGCAATAGCAACTATGCAGCCACCATTAACTTAACAGTGTCCTAGCTTGGGGTGGGTATTGCTCTAAAGAGACCATTTGAGTCATCAGTCCATCCGATTATATAAAATAGATAAATAATATATTTGAGTGATCAGTCCCTTTATTATTTTCTTTTAACATCTCTTAAGTTTAACTGCCTCTTTATAATTTTCTTTTTAGCAATTGATATGTCAGTCTCCAAATGCATTTAGATATTTTTTAAAACACTTTCACACTTAGTAATAGTTGGTGCTGTCCAGCGGTTTCTTCCTTTTGATTTGAATTCATTAAGTTTTTCAATTTGTGATGTCCAAGTATCCAATAATAAGTGTTGTCCAGTGGTTTCTTCTTTTTGCTTTGAATCAATTTTTTGCCTTTCAATTTGTGATGTCCAAGTATACAATAGGATTCGTAACATGGTTACATTTCAACAAAAAACCATTCTCACTAAGCAATCCCATGGATGAATCACACATAATTTTGTTTTTTTGTTTTTTGTTTTCTTAGGAACAGAAGAAACCCAGAGGTTTAACCTTGAACTTGAACAACCATTCTTCTGTTCTGTAAGCAATCTTTAGTCCTAGGAATCGACCACAGCTCCTATAGTTCAAAAATCAGTTTGTAAGGATTGCATATAAAAATAATAATGTCAAAACAGAGTAGGTTGAAGAAAAGTGAGTGAAATAGAACCAAATCTTACCAATCACCCATGTTTGTTTGATCAATTGACAACAGCAAGGCAGATCGCTATTAAAAAGAACAAAATGGAATGGAAGACCATATCATTTGTGGCTGAATACGAGTATTAAAGCTTAAAAAGAGAGGGATTTTTAGATTTCAAAAATTGAAATTTTGGGGGAAAATTTTTATACATGTCGTCAAAGCCTCAGTAGTAGTAAGTTATACTGTTGGAAAATGAGTTTTATTTTATTTGTTCTCATAATTCGATATGAGTGCGGAGGCATAGAGAGTCCCACCAGTCATTTGTCTGAGTTTGTGTCAGATAATATTTGTAACTAATAATATTTTTTTTGGATAAGAATTTGTAACTGATTACATGTTCTCCATTTAATTAAAAAAAGTCTGATAAATTCAATTCCCACAAAAAAAAAGACTGAAATTCAATTAAGTTGATTTGAAGACAGAAATCTGAATGCCCACTTGCTAGAACGTACTGATGATCCCATTTGTACCCATTGTTCTCTAAGTAGTAACAGTCATTCATCTTTTGGCTGTTCTCAGTACTTAATATCGAGTTTTCTAATAGTGAATTTGTAACTGAATTTTTTTTTTTTTATATGCTTAATTAAAATCTATGCTTTGCAGGAACTGGGCAAAGATGGGAAAGTTTGAGGAAGTCAAAAAAGTACCAAAACCTTTCTCGGTGGTTCAATTCGCTATTAGCGGAATATGGTGATGCCCTGAATGAAGTCACAGCTACCTTCGTTGGCAAGAGAGGCTTGGGAAAGCCAACAGAAACTAAATCAAAAGGCACTCAAGCCAATCAGGAATCAAAGAGTGTAAATGGAGATGTATCTGAGAAAGGTAAAGCAGGAAGCAGATCAACATTTGAAGTAGATCTGCCAGAAGCTGAGATGGGAAAGGTTCGACTGAGATTTGCACCCGAACCCAGTGGCTTTCTTCACATTGGGCACTCAAAAGCAGCTTTGTTGAATCAGTATTTTGCTCAAAGGTATCAGGGTCAGCTTATTGTGCGATTTGATGATACAAATCCCGCGAAAGAGAGCAATGAGTTTGTGGACAATCTTCTCAAGGATATTGAGACTTTGGGCATCAAGTATGAAACAGTTACCTATACTTCAGATTACTTCCCTCAGTTGATGGAAATGGCTGAGAATTTGATTCGCCAGGGTAAAGCATATGTTGATGACACACCACGTGAGGAGATGCAGAAGGAAAGGATGGATGGCATTGAATCAAAATGCAGAAACAACAGTGTAGAGGAGAATCTAAAACTATGGAAGGAAATGATTGCTGGTTCTGATAGGGGTCTGCAGTGCTGTGTCCGTGGGAAGCTGGATATGCAGGATCCAAACAAATCTCTTCGGGATCCAGTTTATTATCGTTGCAATCCAATGCCACATCATAGGATTGGATCCAAGTACAAGATATACCCAACTTATGATTTTGCGTGTCCCTTTGTTGATTCTATAGAAGGTATTACCCATGCACTTCGATCTAGTGAGTATCACGACCGCAATGCTCAGTACTATCGAATTCAAGAGGATATGGGACTGCGAAAAGTGCATATATATGAATTTAGTAGGTTGAACATGGTTTATACACTTCTCAGCAAGCGCAAGCTTTTGTGGTTCGTTCAAAATGAGAAGGTTAATGGATGGGATGATCCTCGTTTTCCAACTGTTCAAGGAATTGTGCGCAGAGGTCTTAAAGTTGAAGCTTTAATACAATTCATTCTTGAGCAGGTAAGACACTAGTCTGTTTTAATACGATGCACGAAAGCAGTTATGATCTATGCCTAACATATAATGCCTTCCTGCTGCTTCTTATGTCCTTACACCAATTGTTTTTCCGTACTTGGTACTAGTTTATTTGTATACAATGTCCACTCTATTGAATGTTTTAATTTCATAACTGATTTTTATACTCCTTATGTTTTAGGGAGCTTCAAGGAATCTCAATCTCATGGAATGGGACAAACTCTGGACCATTAATAAGAAGATAATTGATCCAGTATGTCCAAGACATACTGCGATCGTTGAAGAGCGTCGAGTATTGTTGACGCTGATTAATGGCCCTGAGAAACCTTTTGTTCGCATCATTCCCAGGCACAAGAAGTACGAAGGTGCTGGAGAGAAGGCGACAACATACACAAGGACGATATGGCTAGAGTCTGCTGATGCAGAGTCCATCAAGGTAGATGAGGAAGTGACCTTGATGGATTGGGGGAATGCCATTGTCAAAGGGATTGAGAAAGACCAAGATGGAAACCTCAAACTCACAGGGGTTTTGAATCTTGAGGGGTCCGTCAAGACGACGAAATTGAAGCTTACGTGGCTACCCCAAACAGATGAACTAGTTAAGCTGTGTTTGATGGAGTTTGACTACCTGATCACAAAGAAGAAGGTTTGTTCCACTCAACGACTGTAAAATTATCATATTTTAGCATTTTATGTATTAATAATGTATGAATCTAAAATATATTGGAAGTGATTAATCTGTGGATTGTAGAATACCTTGGATTTTCTTTTTGTAAGGATGGATAGGGAACTTGTGGGGTTGGGGTTAGCAAAATATCTCGACTAACAACCATATGAACCTTGACTCATGCAAATGTGATAGTTGTGTGTAAAGTGATTTGTTGCTTATCCATGGTGAGCTGATTCTGTTGTTACTGTTTGTGTTTTGTAACTTGTGATTACAGGTTGAGGAAGGAGAAGATTTCCTTGATGTACTTAACCCCTGTACAGAAAAGGAGACTGTAGCCCTTGGGGACTCCAACATGCGAAATCTCAAGCGAGGGGATATATTGCAGCTTGAGAGGAAAGGTTATTACAGATGTGATGTTCCCTACATTAGGTCTTCAAAGCCAATTGTTCTATTCGCAATCCCCGATGGCAGGCAGCAGACCGGATTCAAGTGAAATCTTTCTGTTTTTTAGTGTGTTTCTACTTCCCATTTCAGACATGTTTAACTGCATTACTGATTGTGATTTCATTTTTGACTGAAAACTTCATATTATTATGGAATGATAGAACTTTAATCTAAAACTTTGACGAATCAGAACAGGGCTTTTGGCCTTTGAGTTATACTAGTCTTGTATTTATAATGTTTTGTAATTGTTATATGAAACGAGACTTTTGCCGCTCATACTGGATCTTAAGGTGTGTATGGATGCAAAACATTGATGGATAAGCCTCAACTTGTTTTATATTTTGTGTTTGAATTGGCAACCACGTTGCAGTGATTTTGATATTCTTCCAAAAGACAAGGACTTGGATAAAGATGAATGCGAATATTGTTTACTTTATACCATACCTTGATTTAAACGTTAATTCAAAATAAATATGCCCATGCTTCACTGCCGGATTTCTGATCTATTCAAGTGGAAAAGAAAGCCGAGTAGCAGAGCAGAAGCAACATGTTTTCTTTTCTTTCTTGTTTCATAATCATTTGGCTGAAACGTTGGGTTACATGCGATGGCATTGTATTTACTAGTTTCCAAGTAAGCAAACATATTAAACAATAGCTAGTGTCATTAGGAACAGCTAATCATGATTTAAACATACAATAATATGTTTAGGATATTTTTTTTTTGTCATATACAAGGATTGTAAGTTATTGAATCATCTTGTTCTTTCATTGTTTGTTGTGATGAGAATTGAGAGTGATCCTCTTTATACGTGTCATTTTTCCTTGAACAAAACATTTTCTCCACCTAATCTCTCCCTACTCTGCTAATTATTCTCTCTATTATTGCATGTGTCCTTAAAATATTTTGAACTGGATGGGCTTTTCAATTATTTTTGGGGTTGGTGTGTCTTACCCGGAACATAAAAAAATTTCTCATTAGCTTAATGCTTGGATATCCTTAATAAGTAACAATTATTTTGGCATAATTTCATTTTCCAGAAAAGTTCATTTTTAACGGAGAGGACTAGTATTTGCATGCTAGAAGAATAAGAACAGAACAGAACTTCGAAAAAAATCCACAAAAGGGTTGGTGAATTTCTGGTCAGAAAGTGGACCAAAATGAACCAAGACTTAGGGAGGGTATCATTTCAAATTAGGTAGCTAGTCAGTGCAACTGTTTAAAGACAAGTGTATTATTCGGGACCACCATAAGAACAAAAACACAATTACAACATGTAAACAATTTTGCAGGAACCACCGGATCAACTACACCATGCAAACAAATTTGGACTATGAAAGAAAGAAAATACAATGCCTTCTTATGAATATGAACTATGGGACATTCCCATCAAATTGTAAAACAAACACAAAACACAGAGAAATTAAAAGCCTCTAGGCCTTGGGAGCAAGCCTTGACTTGATTTTCTCAATTTCCTTGGTGCCGACCTGGAATGTCTGGGTCAAGACGTGATCCGGCACTTCCGGTGTGGCGGCGAACAATGTGAGAGCAATGTTCGCGGTGCCCTGCAGCTGAGAGTTAAATCCAGCTATCACAGCAGCAGGCACCTTCCCATTGTTCTTCTGGAAGTGAACCAACCCTTTTGGGAACACAAAGACTTCACCTTTCTTGATGGTCTTGGAGATGAGCTTGTTTGCTGTGGTTATAAACCCAACGTCCAATTCACCTTCAAGCACAAAGACAATTTCTGTAGCTCTGGGGTGGGTGTGAGGTGGGTTAATGCCACCGGGGGCATAGTCGATTCGAGCCAGTGAGACTCCGAGAGTGTTGAGGCCTGGGACTTTGAGCACATTGGCTGCAGTCACCAGTGAGCCAAAGGTGTTGTTGGTGAGGCCTGGTTTGGCTAGCCCAGCGGTGAAGAAGTCCTCTGCTGTTGCATTTGCTGCGTCCTTACAGACGAACCCATTGACTTTCACCCCTGTTTATTCATCACAATTCACTTAGAATCAAGCAAAACTTCCACTAAAATTTTTACTTAATTTCTTGAAAACATGAATTGGGTTTTCTTAATCAGTTTCAGGTGCTTTATTAGCTCAGTTTGCTAATAAGCTCATGATTACTAAGCTTAAAAACATTAAAGTGAAAAGAGAAAAGTAAGCTAAAACAACAAAATTTAATTAAACAAAGGGTAAGCATAGCCAGCTAGAATATTGACCCAGCTGCAAGTTGCAGCAATTATAATCTAAAGAAACATCAAACAATCTTTCCACAAATCATTCAACTTGAAGCGCCACAAACAGTTACTAAAGGGAAAAGAAAAAGGATGAACAGGGTCCACTTCTAATAATAGAGGAGAAAAAGAGAAAAAAAAAGGTGGGATGCTCAATCCTTTTTCCATGGTTTTTGGTTTTCACTTTTAGCACTATAATACTGAACTATTTGAAACAAAGATGAGGGTTGAAGAAGAAGAAGTGTACCCGCAGTGAGGTCGGCGACACAAATGTCTTGAAGCATGTCAGGATCAGCAGCAGAGTTGCCAAAGACCATGGCAAAAGCCAAAACAAGTAGTGCCAAGAGAGCCGCCATTGTTGCTGCTTAGAAAGAAAGGCAAACTAGTCAAGAGGACCAAATGTACAGAAAATGGTGTGTGAATGAATAGGAAGGGAGAGGTAGGCCGAGTATTTATAGCAGAGGTAGTTGAAGGTTGAAAGCTTGATGGGAAATATTCTTGTTTTGCTGGTAAAAATATTTGTTGTGTGTTTTGTGAGTGAAATTAAAGCATGGGGCATGCCTTCTTTTCTTTACACCCAAAGCAAAGTCATCACCGCACACATTCCTCCTCTGGCTTTGCTTGATCCTTCTCTCTCTGTTTCGGGAGCGTTGACCTCATTTGCGGCCATTTGCGCGTCCAGCGGATCTGCCACACATAGATTTCTTACTTTATTTTATCTTGATTTTTGTTTATGATTAATCTTATTTTAATGCTTAATTAATTGTAATTTAAAATGAAATGCTGGGTAGTAGGTACGATTCTTCCCAACACGACTGTCCAATTCTATGGCTCTATCTTTATGCACTCTGTTTTCTATACGCGATGGGATTTTGGACCCCATGAGAAGCATCACTCACTTTCACATTCCGGTTTGTTAAACAAAAAATGTGTTCAATAGTTTATTGGTAATTGGATAGTTTTATTCTTCATGAGTTGTGATTAGGTTGTACTATTCTTTTCTTTTCTTTTTTTGAGACAAAGGTGATGGTAATTTTATTGATGATGAGTGAAAACAAGTATAACAATCGGACTATGTCCTAGAGGATTAGGCGAGTACTCTACACCAAATGGATTTATGGTCGTCGGACTACATTATAGCTTACTCTCTCAACCGCGAAAGGGAAAAGGAATCTTGCCTCCGATAGAGTAGTCCCGTCCCCTTATGATCATACACATAAAAACTATATGTTACATTCCTCAACAAAACATCTAAATAAAATCTGATGGCTCTTCAAACCAAATGACAGAAGCACCAATATGTAAAGCAAATCGAGCAATCCGGATGGTCATACTTGTTGTATAATTTACAAAGAAGTTAATTACTTTCGTTAATTACTTCATATAATTGGATTGGATAGTCTTACTGTTCATGTTGCCTTCTAATATACATGATAGTCACATTCATCAACTTCTTTCAATTTTCAAACAGCATATATCAAACTCTGTAACTACGTTCAATCAATCATTCATATTTTTAAGTTAAAAGCTCATTAATTTTTCTCATTATTACTTCTTAATCTTAACAACTGCTTACCAATATAAGTTGTTACAATTAAAAACACATTATGATAATAGCATGTTTTGGAAATATCCCGAGGGTGCAAAAGAAAAAACATGCATAGGGGAATCACGAATATGGTCCATAATTCAACAAGGAAATAGGACAATCCATAGGGTCTTAATTATTTGTATCTCAAGTTTTTATTTATATATATGATAAAATGCTAAGCGTATGCAAAGGATAAAATAGATCAAATGACATAGCTCCAACCCTTTTTATTTTAAAGAAAGTTACAAAATAAACAAATTCCTTTCATGTGAAAGGTTGCCATTGTTGTTTGGTTGAGTTGTTAGAACGTATGCAAAGCTAAGACTGACTCTATCCATCCTCCAACCCAATTAACCTACTCCCAGTAGGGTCACACAAACTCCATTAATTAGACTCCCTTCCTTTAGCCGTTCTCTATTTATTTCTTCTCACTTTCTGTCCTCTTTTGGAGGTTGCTTCCCACAATGGCTTTTCTGTCATCTGTTACACTGTTTGAAATAGGTTCATAACTGCAACCAGCTCCCCATGGTTGGAGGGTCTCCATCTCCAAAGTTCAACAATCATATTCTCAAGGACTATGTAGACTGTAACTAATGGTTTGCACTATTTATTGGAACTTATGTGTTTGGCAAACAGCTAGATGTCATTGGCTTTAAGAATGATTAGTTGGGTTTCTTGAAAGCGACCGACATAATGTGATGGTATATTGGAAATTTCCAAATGCGTAAATGGCAGGCTGAGACAGAGGAAATCCAGAACCAAACACCATGTTGAAAAGTTATGAAGAGGACAATCATGTTGCATGCTGCATTTGATATTGTGAGTCATTCTGTTTTAATTAAAAAAATAAAAGGAATTTAAATATGCAAGCCAATAGTTAATTGGCATTGCTATTATGAAAGAGTTGACAATCCAACACTCAATAGAACTGGATAAGGATGAGGATTGGAACCTTTCTTCAGGAAGAAACACAAAAGGCATCTTTTACTTGTTCATTAAAAAGAAATAGACATTGATGTGTTAATTTCCACTTGCTTGAAATCTAGAACTTGAAGACTGGATTTATAATGCTCAGTTGTTTTTATTCAAATCACTTGGATAATAAGTCACCAATAATCTTTACATGAACATAATCCACCCTTGAAGTGATGAAACCGAACTCGATCCCTGACAACTATTTCTCTATTGAATGCTTGGGAAACGAATTTTGTGAATGAATGGCAATCTCTACAAACTCTGAGGTTCTTTACTATTCGTAAAGATGTTCCTTCTGGAGTTCTTGCGAGGCCAAAAGCAATTGCCAGCTTCTCACTGTGACATGAACTGGAAGTTTCCAAGCAATCTGTGTCTGTGGAGGTAAATTCAGACACTGTGATAAGAGATCCCTCTTGCACATAACCATGCAGAGCAGCTTGATGAACAACAACCCTCAGCTTTTGATAAATTTCATTAGCATCTGGATGTGACTTGTCATCCACAACAAACTTGTGAACCTGATCACCAACTTCAATCCAGCTCCAACCAGGAGTGGTTTTCACTCCCTGGGTTTTAATCAATTTTCTCATCCTTGCAACACCATCTGCATCTTTTTCTCTAAAATAAATCGTAGCAAGAAGTACGTAGTCCCCTGCATTTGATGACCCTAGCTGGATTAGATTCCTCATAGCAATTTCTCCCATTTCTACATTTTTATGAATCTTGCAAGAGCCAAGCAGAGTCCGCCATAGGACTGGATCGTCCTGAGCACGCGAAGTTTTAATAACTTGAAGCGCCCTTTCGAGCATCCCAGCTCTGCCAAAAAGATCCACCAGGCACCCATAATGTTTGATTCCAGGTTTAATATTGAACTTGGAGCTCATCACATTGAAGTACTCAACACCCTTCTCTACCAAGCCTTGGTGACTGCATCCACATAACAAACCAAGAAATGTGATGGAATTTGGCTGCACTCCTGCCATCAGCATCTGTCCAAAAAAAGAGATTGATTCGTCCCCACGACCATGTACTCCATACCCAACAATCATGGAGTTCCATGTAAAAACATCACGATTCTGCATCCTCTCAAAGACACTAAGAGCACTATCCAAGTTGCCACATTTGGCATACATATCTATAAGCGCATTCCCAACATAAACATTTCCCACAAGCCCCTTTTCACGAGCTATTCTATGCACTGTAACTCCTGTATTCAACGCACCCAAGTGAGCACAAGAAGATAGCAAGCCAACAAGAGTAAAACCATCAAGACCCACATTTTCTTTTCTCATAAGATTATACGTTCTCAAGGCCTCGTGGTGAAGACCCTTTTGAGAGTAACATGAAATCATAGAGTTCCAAGAAACTAAGTCTCTTTCAGGCATATTGTCGAAAACCCTCTGTGCAGTATCAATCGAACCATTACAAGCATATGATCTTATAAGATTGGTGCAAACAACAACGTCGTTCTCATAACCGTAGCGAACCATGGCTCCATGAACCTCTTTGCACTTGGTCTGGGCCTTAACTTTCTCGCAAGCCTTGAGCACAAACGAGAAAGTGAAGGTGTCAGGACAAGAATCAGAAGCAGAGGAAAGCATGTGATTGTAGTAAAAAATGGCTTGAAGAGGAGATGGGCTTTGGGAAAAGCCTCTGATCATGGAATTCCAGTCTTGGGTTTGTGGGTTTTGTATGTGATGATGGAAGAGAAGCTGAGCGTAGGCTAAGCAGCCCGAGACTGAAACAGCACAGAAGTTGAGCAGTTTGTTTGAAATGGCGGGTTGGTTTTGAAGACCGTTGGTGATGACGTGGGCATGGATTTTTTTGAGCTTTATGAGGCTGTTGCATCCTTGCAAGAGGGCAAGGATGGCTTTGGTTTTTGATGCTTGGAAAACGTCGTTTGGTAAAGGCTGTGATGGTAGCAGGGCATGGCACATTGTCAATTGACTCCGTTTTGAGTTTGGGTGTGAGTATCTAATGTTTTAAGAACAGTCAAGCTTTTTGTTGTATTTTGTATTTTTTTTTAATCAGAGCTTTTAATTTTTTGAGCTTGTATGCTTACCAGAGCCTTTCTGGTTAACAAGAGTGAAGATCCTTGGTTACAGTACGTCTTTACGGCTTGATAAACTGGTTTGAGCATTTGACGTCTATTTTATGTTGCATTTCAACGAAAAATATGAAGAAAAAAGCCTACTTTAATGGCTTTCCGGCCATACTCGACTGGTAACCAGCAGCTACCACTAAAAAAGACAGTTCTAATTACATGGACATTCCAAATTTGTCATTAACTTGTTATCCAGGAAGCAAAGCCATATAACAATACTTCAAGTAGAGTAGACTGGCATACATTTTCCTTTCATTTGAAAATTGAATTTAAACAGTAAGTAGTTTGAATAGAAGCATATATCCAAAATTTCACATCAAACATGCTCCAGAAATCAACCTAAAATCTTGCAATCCTAACATAAGAAACCGGAACTGTGCTAATCCGTCACGAGTCAATTCAACTGATCAAAATGCAATTCGCTCAACTTGTCTGGTTTGAAGTTATAATGAAAATTTGACTATTTCTTCTTTCTACCACCACCAGCTTTTGGCTTTTTGTTAGCAGGTTCTTTGGCAGTGTTCTGTGGTGTTTCCTGTCACAAGGATAAATGGAATATTAGAAAAACAAAACTATAAATGCTCAGATTGAATAGTTTCTTGCTACACAGTTTAAGATGAAAGCTTTACAGTTCTCAAGCTCAACCAACACGCCACCTTTTCTAATAGTCTATGGGTTTTTGTTGGACATGTCAAGTGCATTTGTGACAAAAGAACCATCTAAGACAAAGCAAAACTGAAATATTCAATGTAGAAGCTTCGTTTTCATAAAATTAGGCATTTTTGGTTGTGGAAAAACTTGATAGCAACAATTCGTTTTCCCATGATACTGATGATATGATATAAATTAAAGGAGATAGGCATAAGCATAGATTGTCTCCGAAGCTTCACCAAGGTTTTCAGCTTCATGCGCCAAAACAGACACCTCTGGTTAATGGCGAGGAGTGCTTCAACCCTAAACCAAGAATTGTCAGACTTATACTGCCACTGACAGTGGGCCTGAATGAATTACAATCTTGCAGAGAGAACATCTTATGCTTGATTGCTGGTTTGGGAGATTTAAGCACACAATTTGTTTCCTGTCATTCAATGTAGCAAGAAATTACGACAACCTGTTGGGTCCCTTTTGTTCCTTTCATGAGTTAGGGAGGAAAAGGCAATCTGACAGAAAAAGGTATCAAAATTGAAGAGAGGGAATGTGTAATGTGCAAAGGGGGTTTAAAGATTCAAACCAACAAGCAGTGATCAGATGGACATCACAAAATTTATTAAAACTTTCAACACATGCAAATTGCTTGCAGCCTTACAAGATTCTCCATTTCAGCAATTCAATAAAATGTGCCAGGGAAGACCACTTGTAAGTACATAGTAATGATGAGTAAGAAGTAAGAACTCTTAAGGATCAAATAAAACACAAAGAAAAGTACACTAAAGAAAAATGATATAACCAATTAATGCAGGCCAAGATATGATAATGAAGAATTAACAATCTATGGCATCTTGATGCAGCCAGAACTAGAAGTCGCATCTTGCGCATAATACAGAACCAGTGTAAGAACGCAGAAGAGTGTTGTCTACCTCTAATCCTGAATATAGACACAGTGAGAAGAAAGATTGAAGGCTAAAATGCTTATTAGAACCATACCTTCCGTTTAATGGGTACAGATGGGTTAGCAGTTGGTTTGAAAAAGGATTCTAGTCTGTAAATGACAACATGAACAATGCATTAAAGCCCAATAAAGAAAGGAATTCATGAATTCATATCTATTCATCCTAGAATCACTTACCTGCCCTGTGACGACTTGTTCTTGGCTGCTTTAATTTTTTCTATTGCCTAATCAACAGAGAATAAAGCTTAGAAGATACTGAAATAGAAGCAACATGATCTTAGGGAAAGCCTGTAATCTTGATGAGTAGGAGCACACCTTTGTCACTCTGTCACTGTTGAATCCATTTTCATTCACCAGAAAGGAAATCAGTCCCTGTAAAATTGAGAAGTCAATTTAAGTACTTTGACATGAAAGAGTCAAAACAGGGATGATGCATATGATATAACAATTTTCAACTTCGAACGTATTTACTTCTTCATCTGGAGCACTCCATTTAATCTCAAGTTGCTCTTCATCACTTAAAGCAACTGGTTCCTTAAAAAGCCTCCGAGCCTCTTGATATGGCCAATCCTCTGGTATTTGGTACCTGAAGATTAAAAAAAAGATGTAGAATTACTTTCACAAAGTTCCTAATAGTGCAAAATCATATTAATGAATTGAGTCTATTTAAGCTGAAAACCCTAAAGAGAAACCTCTCTTTGTTTATGTTCTCCAGTATATTCTCTATGGAGCCATGTTGACGGATGAGCTTCAAAGCTGTCTGTCCTCCAATCCCTGTAAGGACAAATTCATAAGGTACTGAGTACTACAATTTCAAGCCAACTACAAAAACGAGTATCATATATCACAGAAAATGAGGTCACAAACTGAATTTAAAAATCCAATATACCTCGGATACTGTCACAATAATCGCAGCCGGAAAGAATGCACAAGTCAATGAATTGATCCATAGTTAGATTTAGCTCCTCCAAAACCTGAAACAAGATCATCCTTAGAACAGTGAATTAAATATTAGGCCCTCGTGACAGTCTTCAAAGTTGTAAGAACCTTGGCAACTTCGAATTCCATGACTGGGATTTTTCTTGAGCTAGGATCCATTAAATGACGAAGAAACCTAGGAGCTCCAAATGTTAGGGAATCCATGTCTTCAGAGGCCACAGCATAAACCTATAATACATAAAAGGTTAATTATTAGTGCATATCGCTAAGAACATATTCGGGCCATGGAAAAAAAATTATTCCTTTTAGTTCAAGAAAATTTGATGTCATAAGTCCCCCTTGGAATGAAGCCTTTCTGCAAAAATAGGACCCGCCCAAATTCTGTAGAAACATAAGAAATGAAACTCTAAAATAAAGTTCGTTCTTGTAAGATTCCTTAAAAACCAATAACGAGCTGATCACTTGCCTTTCCTGATTTGCAAAGTGCAGCGCACTGTGCTTCTGCTTCTGAGGGAGCCTGTGAAAATCAAAGCATTATTTACTACAAACATTAATATCTGTTTTCGCACTGAAATTCACATATGCAACAGCTTACTTAAAATATAAAAAGTCCCACCTCAATTACAGGCACACCCATGAGCCTTAGAAGTCTTTTGCAGTCGTCATTGTGCTGCTTTGTCACCTGTCAAGACAAGTGGCACATGACCTCAAACCTTCTATTTCTCATGTAACAGATATTAAGTGCCGTGACAGTAATTATGATAGTGGATATAAGAAAGAACACAGATAATGAACCCACCTTTACTGTCCGTTTACTATACTTCTCAATGTCTTCCTTATTGCCAACCTGCAAGCAATCAATGACAAGAAAAAAGCAGGCGTGAAATGCAATTTACAGTTTCTTAAAATTACCAATCAAAATTTCAGAAACAAGATACACATACCTCCACTGCTGCTGCCAAATCTTCAGTAGCATCTGCTCTCTTTGAGTAACTGCATAACAAGTTCAGTATGACAAGCATTATTGGACAAATGCATTGATCAGTAACCATGGTTAAGGAATTAGGAAATACAAAAGCTACCGTTTTGCCAGCTCTTGTTTCTTCAAATCTGGAGGCTTCCCGTCAAAAACATAGCTGAAAACAAATTTTGGAAAGACACTTGTTATGCTAGCTTTTTGGTTGGATAGTTCAACATGAAGGGCAATGTCAAGACTAACAAAAACAAAACTCAGGGTAAAGAAACAAATTACAGTGGCTTAATTCCAGCTTCCAGAAGCCTAATGGTCCGGGAAAACATGCCTTGCAGATGACTACAATGAACCCGACAAATAAAACCCATGTCATTATTCGAAAAAGAAAAGGTTCTTAGCAAAACCTACTTAAGAAAACTACCAAAACAAAATATAATCAAACTTTATCTAAACACAAACTCACGAAAAGGTGCCTTATGTCACTGAAAGCGAAGAACTTTAGTAAAGGGTACCTAGTAACTTCACCAGCCTCATTAGTGAGCATCTCAGTCCCACTTCTTCCCACAACAATCTACACAATTCGACACACAACCCACATCAAAATTGAGCTTCTTTAAACAAAATACATACAGATAAAGGGGCGGTACATACAAGAAACTGGTAGATGCTCATGCTAGCATCAATGGCAATCTTTCGGCCAAAGTAGCTCTCGAATTTCTGCTCTTTCATGGCCTTTGGGGCATTGTCCGCCAACAGCTTCGTTAAACCCTAACACACCCATCCACAATCATTTTTTTTTCTTTAAAGTAGCTAATAAATCCCAGAATAAATTGGAGAAGGGTGCTGAAAAAATTGTACCTTTATACCCATTACAGTAGCTAAGAGAGAGAGAGAAAAAGAGTAAAATGCAGAGAGAAAAGAAAAGGCTTTTTGGCTAGAGGTTAGGGATGAAACTGCTTCCCGCCTTACTCCCAAAGGCCAAAGTCCCAAAGTCCCAAGTGAAGTGTTTGTCTTACACACAGGACAGCGTACACGTGTAACATAGGGTGGGTGCACCATGCACACGCACAAAGATTACTTCTTCTTCTTTTTTTTGGATTTTGGGCTTATCAAAATGTGCATTGGTTAGCCAATTATATTTGGGCCCGGAAACTTGGAACTGTTTTGAGATTGATTTAGGATCATGGGCTGTAATTTTAGCTCATGAACCATACAAGGCCCAGGCTTATTTATGAAATATATATATATAAAGTGAATAAAGCAAAATGCAGAAAATTGTGAAACATTCAAAATACCATAAAATGTCATTGGTTAATCCAAACATTAAGAATTAAAATTATTAGTTAAATGAAGATAATATGGTAAATTCACACTTTTTCATATTTAAAAAAAAATAAAAAAAATAAAAATCAGATAATGAATCCTATTTTTATGGAACACAACTACCCATTATCTTTTTAATTCTAAAATAAATTTAATTTTTTTTTAAAAAAGCCTCTCGCAAGTGCGGAAGCGCGTGCAGAGAGGCTAGTATATATAAAGCAAAAGGTAGAAAATGGTAAAACATTCAAAATACTAAAAAATAATGCCCTTAGTTAATGCAAACATTAAGAGTTGAAATTATTAATTAAATGAGGATAATATGGTAAATTTACACTTTTTCATATTAAAAAAAATTAAAATTAAAAGAACAATCAAATAATTGATCCTATTTTTATGGAACACAACTACCCATTATCTTTTTTAATTCTAAAATAAATTTAAAATTTTTATTAAAAAAACCTCTTGCATGCGGGGAAGTGCGTGCGGAGAGCTAGTACATAATTAAACAGTTGAAATGAACATGATTTTCTTTTTCTTTTTTGGCAGTAAAAAGAACATGAACCTTAACAGATAAAATCTGACAAAACATGTACTTGCCATAAGCCCATGACAAATGACAAATGTACACCAAACCAACCAAAAGCTGCAGCGGGCAAACAGGCTGCAGCTGACAGTAAAATCTTCAAGTAAAAGAAGGGAAGGCAGAGGAGAAGGTGGAGCATGAAACAACTTTGGAAAAAGGCATATAGAAATGAAAGAGGAATGGAGATAAGGGAAGATGATGGAAATGGAATGGGAGGTGGGGCAAGCCCTTAGCTGTAATTATGGAACAGAATATTGATGGAGTTCTTGTGATGTGGAAGCATCAGCAATCTTTGTTGTGACTGCCTTTTGTTTCAGCAACTTCCTTGAAGCAAAGTTCAAGCCTCAATGCTCAAGGTGCCCACCAAATAAAGTTATCTTTCCTTTCCTTGTTTGGAGCCTAATAATCAATCTTTGCCCCACTAAAGTTGAAAGTGACATCAATTAATTGAACCTTTCTTTGGTCCTAATGGATTGAACTTCACCTCAACCTTTCTTTTCTAATTGATTGAACTTCACCTAATTGATTGAACAGAGATTTTTTTTTCTCTTGACAAGGCATCCATTCGGGTGATTTTTTTTTCCCTCTTCAAGACATAACTAGTTAGTTGTATGGCCACCCAAAGAATTTTATCATTTCTTCTAAAGTCTCTTTTAAGTGCTTTATCAAATGGCATTTTCATCTTGCTTGGCAGCAACTTATTAAAGTATTTCTGGATGAAAAAGTGAACATAGAAATTTTGGATGAATTAATATATACATTTATGGATGGACCCAAGACCTAAAGGTTTAAGCTTTTAGTCAAGTTGAGGTCTATTTCTACACATGTGTTGAGGCCCATTTGGTAGTCTTCCATCTCTTCAAACTCTAGCAAACAGGTGGGAAGTATCAAGTATGGGAGCAGGAACTGCAGGACCCAGAAAGAATTATAAAAATATAATTTATTTCATGAACTTTGGATAATCTCTCTGTCTTGATAACTAATAAATCATATCTTATGGTACCAATTAGAATATAAGATCGATGGTACCAATTTGAAACCTTGCTTCATCCGTCACAGCAAGTGTGAAATTACCAAAGTATGCCAAATATCAGTCTGTTATTGGATAATGATTTCTGTGATTTGATGAATGATGCATAGTTATTATCAGGCTGATTTTGAAACTGCAAAGACTTAAGAAAAGGAAATCTGCAAGTGGATCTGCATAAAGTTTTGGGCATGCTAATGAGAGATAATCAAACCAAATAATTAATGAGGATCCAGAAAACATGATGACATATCCTTTTGAGCTGTTCTGTCAACTCAAAAAGTACATTTGGAAAAATGCATAAGAGGGTTCATTTCATGTGCTCCCTTTAAACTTTTCAACTGGGGAAGAGATGCTTCAAGCTTGGTCCCAGAGTCTCCTTTACATGGTTGGGATTGCCCTAAAAAATAGACTTGTTATTTGTTAAATGATTGCTGCACTGACAACAACATTCAGACTTGACCAATCACTAATCACGATCATGCAAAAACACCATCAAGTTATTATAATGGAATGTGTTCAACGCATTTGCTTTATTAAGATTTCTGCAATATACTTTTGGCCCTCTTCTCCTCCTGCTTATGTATTTGCTTTAGTGAGATCTTCTTTCTTATGGGAAAATGGGTGAAATTGCAAATGGAATGCTTTTAATTTGCTTGATTTATATGTGCTTGATAAGAAAGAAAATAAAAACAGAGATAAATATCCTAGTAGAAAGTATTTGACTGAGCAGTAATTTTGGCATAAAATATGAATGCCACTGGCAGTTTGTTGACTACTGATAATAATTATGGTTAAAAATGAAGATAAACTAGACATTTAAATATACCTAGTAAAACATGACATGTTCTTGAAATGAAATGGATAAAAATTCACAAACAAAAAATAAATGTAGAAATTCCAAGTTGCATTCCTCCAATTGAGGGACACACTATGACAGAGAGAGAGACAGAAAGAGACAGAGAGGCAGAGAGACAGAGACATGAACTGAGAGAGAGAACAATAAGGCGAACAATCTGATGCCTTAAACGTTAAATACTAGGCCTCTTTGCAGGCTATATGTTCAAGGCCTCTTGTGCCGCAAAACATATTCTCACAACTTTATTCTCCTCAAGATTCAAGTTTCAACCATGGTAAGTCAAACCACTTAATCCATCTTCTCTGCTTGTGTGCGTTTGTTTTTGTTATACTCTTGTTCATGTGTTTCATAATGCTGTCTACAACAGGGAGAAGAGAATGCCAAGGCAAGCTACAGCTCCCTCCGCCCAATGGACGAAAAGAAGGGAGGATTTACTGCTTCCAGCTTCATTTTTGGTAAGCAACCATGAACCATTCACAGCATACTATCGGGTTGTTTTGTTATATTCGATTCACATGTTTTCTTACATTTTGCTTCTTTCTTCTTGTTCATGTAGTCTTGCTGGCATTGGACAACATGGGGTTTGTGGCAAACATGGTGAGCATGGTCCTCTACTTTATGTTTGTGATGAAATTTGATCTGGCACACTCTGCCAACACTCTCACAAACTTCATGGGATCAACTTTCTTGCTCTCCCTCGTCGGCGGCTTCATTTCTGATACATACTTGAGCAGGTTGACAACATGTCTGATTTTCGGTGCAGTCGAAATACTGGTAACAAAAATAAAGTTGGTCATTCTTCTTCTAGTTCTACTTCTACCTATGGCACCAATTTTAATAAAACTTCCTACACATATAGGCTTTGGTGCTGATGACAATTCAAGCTTATTCAAAGGATTTGCACCCAAAACTTGTTTGCAAGTCAAGTTGTGTCGAAGGTGGTATGGCCTTTATGCTCTATGCATCCTTGTGTTTGCTAGCATTGGGATCAGGTGGTGTGAAGGGAGCGCTGCCGGCACTTGGTGCAGACCAGTTTAACCGGAAAGAGGAAGCAAAATCACTTGCAACATTTTTCAATGGGCTCATGCTCAGTAGTACACTTGGAGCAACTATTGGTGTCACAGCCATTGTGTATGTTAGCACCAATGTAGCTTGGTATTGGGGTTTCTTTATCTCAACAATTGCAACTTTTGTCGGGTTTGCTGTGCTTGCTATTGGCAAGCCTTTCTACCGCCTGCAAATCCCCGGAGACAGTCCCATCATAAGGATCGTTCAGGTCTCTCTTTCTTTCTAATCAAACTCTCTCAAATCTAATTACATGTGCAGACATAATTAGTACACTTGTTTAATTACTAACACGCCTATGATGTCTAAATGATTTCGCAGGTTATCGTCGTTGCGATAAAAAATAGACGTTTACCACAGCCAGGGAGCCCTCAAGAACTGTATGAGATCAGTGAAAAAGAGTCAAATTACTCTGAAGAAAAAATTGCACACACTGATCAGTTCAGGTGACATATTACATTAATTCATGCTTAAAGTTCACCAATAGTGTCCAATAAACTCACATTCCTGCATGCCTGCCAAATATATTCAAACGAGACTCACCAAACGGCATGCCAAGATTCTTCAAGTTTCACATTCAAACAAAAAAGAAACAGAAAATCAAGAAGCACCTTGATAATACAATGACAAGTTGACATCACAGTTTCTGTTAACGTGGGAGGGTTTCCCTTTTGAAGTTGACATGTTGACCATGATATATGTTTGCTGATTTGAGGGGTGAAAATGATGTGGAGTTTTTGGAAGCTTTTAATCAAAGTTTTTGACTTCAAAGGGTACCAATTAAGCAGATCACTTCACCTTTTGAAAAATGCTTGTCACATTATAGCTTACAGTACTCAACAAAATTTCACAGAGATGAGGTAATTAATTACTGCCTATTAATTTTGAACAGGTTTCTAGACAAAGCAGCCATACTTGGCAAAGACACCAAGCCCCAACAATGGGTGGTTTGCACAGTAACACAAGTGGAAGAAGTCAAGGTCCTAACAAGAATGTTGCCCATTCTGTTGAGCACCATCATAATGAACACTTGTTTAGCACAACTCCAAACATTCTCAGTCCAACAAGGGAACGCCATGAACCGCTACTTGGGCTCTTTTGAGGTTCCGGCGCCATCAATTCCTGTCATCCCTCTCCTTTCATGTCCATTCTCATCCCAATCTATGAGTTCTTCTTCGTTCCTTTCGCTAGAAAGATCACAAACCATCCTTCAGGCATCACGCAGCTTCAACGCGTCGGTGTTGGACTAGTCCTATCTGCAATTTCAATGGCTGTAGCCGGCATTGTTGAAGTGAAGAGAAAAAACCAAGTCCACAAGGACATAACAAAGCCCATAAGTCTCTTTTGGCTTTCTTTCCAATATGCTATCTTTGGAATTGCTGACATGTTCACTCTAGTTGGACTGCTAGAGTTTTTCTACAAGGAAGCACCAGCAGGCATGAAATCTCTCTCCACTTCATTCACATGGCTGTCACTTGCATTTGGTTATTTCTTGAGCTCCATCTTTGTTGATGTCATAAATGCTGTGACCAAAAGAATTGCTCCAAGCAAACAAGGATGGCTGCATGGAATTGACATCAACAAAAACAATGTGCACCTATTTTACTGGTTCTTGGCCATCCTTAGCTGCATCAACTTTGCAAACTATCTTTACTGGGCTTCATGGTACAAGTACAAAACAGATGAACCTGCTTCTAAGATTCAGCTGAAGCCTTTGAACCAGATCCCTCTTATCAATGGTGGCCCAAGTACTCAAGACAGTGTAATAAAGACTAAAGAAGAAAAGGTAACAGCTTTATGAAGCCCAAAAAAGAAAGCATATAGTAACCAAGGGGAGGAAGCTCACTGAAGAACAATGTGCTGATGAGGGTACTGAGCTCTGAAAAGGTTGAAGAAGAACTAGAGATAATTAATGGGTTTTTACTTATATTTTTATATTTTTAATTTTTGGGTTCAGTCTCTCTTTGATCTTATTTTTGTGTGCGTTTGTAATTGTAAGATAGTTTTTGGGTTTGGGACTGAGAATGTGTGGGGTATATTATATAGGGATGCTTACAGGTTCTGAGTTGCTCACTACTCCTAGCTTGACATGTTTTGAACTGTGAATTTAAGGATGTGTGGATTGGGATTGAGAAGGGCCTTGTGAGGATTTTATCAATCCCTCCATATAATACAGATGTATTTTAATAAGTTTTCTACTCTCTTTTCATAAATAAAGAAATGAAGTGTTTTGCAAAGCACTCACTGGTGAAGTGGTTTGAAGCAATTACTCCTTTGAAAAAGGTCTTGGGTTAGAGTCCTAACATCCATATAGTGTATGTGAGTTTAGTATATTATCGGCCCCTCTTTATATGAAATGTTTAGGGAAAAAAAAGATATGGAGCGTCCTCAACTCATATTAAACAATCTTGCATCTTTGTTTTAGGCTCTAATTTGGTCAAAATATGGTAGAAATTGGGCTGAGCTGGTGCACTGAAGCTGAATTTGTCAGGCCTAAAATCAACTGAGCTCAATATTTCTTGGCCCAACCAAGATATGCCTTCACCTTTAAAAGTTGAGACCCAAAATATATAAAAAGCTCTCCAACCAAAACCCAAACTTTAAATTCACAATTCCATCTTTCTGCCTTATTAGGTCAACCATGCGTCAGCATGAGAAGCGCACATAGAAGCGTCAAGCAACTTGAGGTCTCAATTTGAGATCTAGTGTGAAAGTCTCAGTAACGGAAACACTTTTGCTATTCCCAGTCAATAATGTGATGACACAAATAATAATTTTTTTCATGTATCGCTATGTTATTGATAGAGTATAACAAAACAGTCCAAACTTTTCTTATTTTCTTCTTTGGAGGGCCGTGACCATTATTGAAGCTCTCTGAGAGTGAAATACTAAGACAGTAGGACAAGGACAGTGCCCGTTTTGTATGCCCTACAAAAGTACATGCTAAAAAGCTGCAGGCATTTCGTTCCCGCCCATAATATAATTGACATTGAATTATTGATAAATAATAAAAGAAAATACAAACCAAAGTGATATTTTAACTACTCTAATATATAAAAAGGAGGATCGGACTCGAATACAAGGGACTGACCACACTACCTTGATCACCTGGCCTAACCACATATGTGAAAGTTCTTGTGTATTTGTCTTAGATTCGGATGATGGGTTTTGTTTGCGTGGTTAGTATAGAATATAGGATACTAACTAAAGAAAAAATTTGGAGTGCAGAGAGCAGACCCAGATTTTTGGTTGAGAAATATGCAGTGCGAGACAGAGCTTGGTGGGCTGTTTTGCCATCAAGCAGGCTTCAAAAGATGCATCATGTGATTATGGGACCAAGAGCTCATGCTCACATGGCGCCTCTCTTTTCATTAATTCGATGGTTTTTATCTTCTTTCTATATAAATTTGGATTCATCATAAATTATTGTGTCTCTTACACGTGATTGGGGAGACATTTAATGGTTTATAATTTGCCAAAAAACAATGCCTGACATTATTTTATTTGAGCAGTACTGTATGTTTTTATATTGAGAAAGAGATGGATCAGGCTAACTTTGACCATTTTCATATGGAAAGCAAATCACCTTAGATCTATAATGCGAAAACATTCATCTTAATTAGATCCCTTATGTTAAAAAAAGCCCTTTCTATATTTTTATCTTTATTAATAGATTAAAGAATTACAACGGGGAACAAACATCTTCCCTTCTTCTTAAGAAATTACATAACATGGCGTTCTGAATAAAATAAGGTCACCTCGAACTAAACAAAACTATCCCCATATTACTTAAACCAGACCTAGCAAGTCTGTGTATGCGTCTCAATGAGCAAAATTGAAACAAAGAATCATGAAGTTTTATCTTTTATTCTCCTCTTTGCATTGATGTATTCAATCCATACTTATAAAGACTTTGTTGAAGTGAACGACTTTCATAGAGTTGACAAATTCTTAAATACATTCATAGAGAGTCAGATTTTTTGCTCTTAACAATTAGCCTTAAAAGTACTGAAAAGTCATTCATTTAATAAGCTTTTTAAAACTCATTAACTTTTTGGATATCACCAAAACCTTTAAAGACTTTTTGAAAGTCATAACTGGATACCACCAAATTTTTATAAACTTTTTAAAAATCTAAATTGAATACCTCCAAACTTTTAAACTCTATGAAAGTCATTTAGAGCATGTTTACGTATCAGTAATAGAGAAATTAAGGAATCAAAGAATTTAGGAATCGGAGAACTACTGAATCGGTATGGAAAGAATCATTCCCATTAAGCTGTTTACTAAACATATGGAATTAGCAATAGAATGAGATTGATTCCCATTGTTATTGTTTACTAATTTGCATGAATCAGAATCCAAATTAATTTTAGAATTATGGTAAAGTGATAAGGGTATTTTTGGAAGTTATTAAGAGAAAACAAGAATGTGAATCGTATCGACTACTCCCCCCTAGTTGATCTGATCCTAGTTTTTGAGGTAATATGATTACGGATTTTGAGGTGAGACCCACTTATTTTTTCATTCTTGATTGCAAGTAAACGCAGGAAAAGTCAGGAATAGAAATCATTCCCTTTCCTTCCATACCCATTATAATACGTAAACATGCCTTTAAATTGGATATTATTGTACAAAAGACATCGAACCAATCAAAATTTCATATGAATCACAATATCGTGGATTCAGTAACTATCCTAATCACATGCAAATTTTCAGTCTTTCCAATTCCCCTCTTGATAGTTAAGTCCAATTGTGCAGGGCTTTTATGTACTAATTACCACCTTTACATGGCAAGAGGCGCCACACAAAACAAAAGTCTTCCCTTCCATCACAATTCATTCTAATAACAAGCAAGAAAACATGCTTGACGAAAAGTAAAGTAAAACATCAGTCGCCACCAGCAAGCACACATAAATCTCCACTAAAAAATATTCTTGATTATAATTTGACCAAATATGTGAATGTATTTGCTTTTACGTGTGCGTGTGTAGGGATATGAGCATTATTGTAGAATTAATGTGTGCATGACAGTTGCGTAAACGCAAAGGATATATAACTTAATTCAATTAGAAGAAGGAAGCATCAGTCGCATCGAAGTCTTCACTAAATTTGTGTGTCGCTGTTGTTGGAGGCATTAGTTTCTAGTTGGTAGCTGGTTTATGGGTGAACGGGAAGGCATCAAGGCCTCAAAGGGGCCTTGTTTAATTTGTTCATTTCGAACATGCCAAGCTTTTTCTGTTGGATTTGATCATTGAGAGAGCTGGCTATGTATACTTTATAAGACCCTCTCCAACCATTCACACCAAATCAAGCTTTCCTCTTAATTTTATCCCCATAATTGTCGGCAGCCTCACTGAGTTAATTCCTTAAAAAGAAAATAATCCTCCCTCTTTTACAGTTGGAAGAAAAGTTAACAGTAATCCTTATATCTAACATCTTGTGTTTGAATCTCGATATCCCTACCTAATATCGTTTTCATAAAACAAACCTTGCTATTACATATCCTTAACTATTTTGGGTTTTTTTATTAATAAAATTCAAGAGATGGTTAGGTGAACAATCTCATACAAAAAGTAAAATCTTATGCTTACCAAAGTTGGAGAAATCTGCACACAAATTTGGGAAACTTAAAATACTATTTGAGAGGAAACTCAGGGGAAAAATAGGAAGATGGCAGAATTAGAGATCCATAATAATAGTAATAACATGTACTGTTTTCCATTAATCACCGGACAGACAGATTCACTATATTTTCAGCGAAACACACTGCACAAAGATCTGAACTCCAAAAACTACCATCAAGAGCAAAGATCAGCTGAAACCATGAACAGGGTAGCTCCCTAGATTATACTTTTTCTGACCAAAAGAATGAAAAATGTGGCCCCTACTTTAGTATGAGCCATTGATCAAGGCGGAATTTTCTGATATATGATTGTTTTGTGCAGAAACACATAAACCTGTAGACTGTATGCATCTCAAGCAGACAAGCACGGGTTCCAGTTGATTCCATCGGTGGCCATAAAGCACACAACTTTAGAAGTTTAAAACAATTAATGTAAGCCCAAAGAAGAAGAAAATCATTAAACCCCACACATTAAAGTCCTAAACCATCTCAGTGTGGTCCTAGTGTGTCGCTAATCATATTCACCTCTCTCTCTCTCTCTCTCTCCAGAGTTCAGAGAACCACCACTACTCTTCCCTCCTCCTACGTGGACCCCACTTTCGTTATATAATGTCACCGTCCCCGGTCCATCTTTTGCTCCTCTCTCAGATCAAGGGTCCAGATGGTCTGTGATATCGCTTGTCCAGTTAGTACTGTAGTTTTTGTCTTGCCCTCCTTCTAATCTTACGTAATTTAGATTCGAAACGTGCCTCCTGTGTAATAAAACCTTAAAAGGTTCTCTCTCTCTCTCCTCTCTCTCTCTCTCTCTCTCTCTCTCTCTCACAGATTTATTGAGTTTGATTTCCTTCCATAGTTAGCTCTCAAGCTGAAGACTTTCCCTCCCACAAATGTTGTTGTAGTTACTTAAACCAGTCACTAACTCTATGGCCAAATACACATAACATCAGGGCAAATCAAAGTTTGCCTTTTTTTTTCTTCCTCTCTTTGCTTTTCTACTTTTCTTTATTACATTTTGCAAGACTTGGGTGGCAGAGGGATTGAAGCAGAGGAGAGCGGAGATGAAGCTCTGGTGGGTTGGCATTGTAATATCACTTGTTTTCAGCAAATGGGCTAATGGGTTTGTAGAGCACAGCTTTAATGAAACAGAGCTGTCTTTCTTGGAGGCCTATGGAGAATCCAAGGTCGGAGCTAACTATCTCATGGTAGGGCTAACCCTCATTCCAGGAGCTGGAGCCAAAAGAGCAGGTACACTTTACACTCCTATGTTTATCTCCATTGTTGATAAGTTGATATACATTTTGCATAGTGCAAGATGGTGCCTTTTATCTAGTGGCAATCTTAATCTAGAGCGTTTCCCCCTCCATTTCTTTATTTGTTTATTGTAGCTTGTATTGCAGTTTTTCCTGAAAACTTTGCACTCTTGTTTGTTGCTTGTGACACTGTTTTTTCTGCTTCCCTAATTGTAATCAGGGGCCTGAGACTCCCAGTAAGATTCTCTCTTCTGTGCCTGCTGGAATTATTAGCATATTATTTTGCGTGAGGCTGATGTAATTGTTGTTAGATTTGTTTACCCATTTTTTCCCCTTACATTGTATTTGTCCCTGTTTTGTTTTAAATTTCATTTTGTAAGTCATGCCTTATGCATTATTCTTGGAATTTTTATATTATTTTAGCTCTGTCTCAGTTTTGTTTTGGCCTCATTTACCCACTTGTGTTTTTGGCTTTTGCAGTCTGCTTGGATGGAACCTTACCCGGGTATCATTTGCATCGTGGATACGGGTCAGGAGCAAATAGTTGGCTCATTCAATTGGAGGTTTGTGATTGTGAGATAAAACAAAAACAAGGACATCATTTAGCTATCCATTCTCTTGCATATTTTTGCATATCAAAATCTTAAAGATAGTTTCTGCAAAAAAAAATTATGTTTTTTTATCATGTTACCTTTTGGTTGATTGATTGCCAAACAAGCCTATCAAGTCCTTGGATTTTACGGAAAATTGCTTAATTCAGAATTTGACTTGACTAAATATCTTGTGTCAGGGAGGAGGTTGGTGTAACAGCATTAGAAATTGTGTTTACCGAAAAACAACCAGGCGGGGATCGTCAAGATTCATGGAAAAAACATAGCATTTACTGGAATACTAAGCAATAAAGCTGAAGAAAATCCTGGTTTTTCCCTCAAACTTAATGCTAACTTGTCAAAGACTATACTTGCATCTACCTTTTTCTGGTTCTGTGTTGACCCTCATCTTATCATCCATGGGATTGCAGATTTTTTCAACTGGAACAGAGTAAAGCTTCGGTATTGTGATGGTGCTTCTTTTACTGGGGACGGTGAAGATAAGGTTAGTAGGATGTTCTCACCGTTTTCATTTTTCCACCAAATGGTGGGATGTTTATAATTTGGTGGCTAACAAATTGAGCAATGAAAATATGAATTTGGGATCTCACACACACCGCTCCAGTTCCACCTTGATATAGTTGTTTAGACAGTGTATTGGTGCTTTCCCGTGTGGTTTTAAATTGACCTCATTATACTTTTCTATTTTAGAATATCTACAGAGTTACTCAAAGTTTCACCATAAGAAGAGTGGTAAAAGGTTGGAGAAAGAGAATGCCTAATCTTATATGACTTAAAACTGATAAATCCAACATAAATCTGGTAGTTCTGGATGGTACCTCAACATAAATCTGGTAGTTCACATGCACACCAGATGCTAACACACAGTGATTTTGATTTTAGGCCAGACAACTGCAATTTAGAGGACAGCGTATATGGTTGTCTGCAATGGAAGATTTGAAGTCAAAGGGCATGCGCTATGCCAAGCAGGTATAATACTACTTGCTTATTGTATATTCTCATTCCCATGTTACGGCACTTCTTGCAGCATATTAACCAATCATATTTCAGGCTCTTCTTTCAGGTTGCTCTGCTGGTGGTCTGGCAGCTATTTTGCACTGTGATGAGTTTCGGGGCTTATTTCCAAGAACTACAAAAGTGAAGTGCCTGAGTGATGCTGGATTGTTTCTTGATGCGTAAGTACTAACATTAATACACTTTCCCTTTCCAGCACTGTTCACATAAAGACGTGCTCTAGCTTATTAACACTTAAATTTCAAATGGTGATCCTGTTGGAACTGCAGGCCTGACGTTTCTGGTGGACGCACACTCAGGAATTTATATAATGGTGTTGTTGGCTTGCAGGTATTGGCATGATTTTAAAGATTTGTAATCCACTCCCAATCCATGTTTTTTCTTTTTCTTGAATTCCATGAAAGCAACAATATATTTTGTGCACAGTGATACTGTTTCACTCAGATCTAATCTGTGGTAATGTATGTTTTTCATGTATGCTTATGGTATTAAAATGACTGTCCCAGGGAGTGCAACATAATCTGCCACGGTTTTGCACTAACCACCTTGATCCTACTTCGGTAATCATTTCTTTTTCCTTTTTATATACATATTTTTGTTTGTAGTCCTTGATTTGAAAATAGGTGGAAACATCGAAAAGTTACGTGCACTGCTGCTCCCCCCTAAAACTGACACAGCTTCTCCCCGCCCCCTTTTATTTTATCTTTCCCTTCAGTGCTTCTTCCCACAGAACTTGATCGCCAACATCCAAACTCCACTGTTTATACTCAATGCAGCATACGATTCATGGCAGGTAATTTTTCATTTCTATAACGTCTAAAATTTTGGTTCTACCTGATGTCCCATACTGTACATCAAGTGAAGTATTCTATTGAATGACTGCATTAAATTATGTTTCCCCACTTGAAATCAGATACAATCCAGTTTAGCTCCAGCATCAGCAGATCCTGCTGGGTTCTGGCACGAGTGCAGATTAAACCATGCAAAATGTACTCCATCACAAATCAATTTCTTGCAAGGTGATCCCATATTTGAGGAACTGTTTTAACTCTTAAGATTTTATAGCTGCTTCAGAAGCAAATGAACTAAACTTGTGCTGTTTGTTATGACTTTATGTTACTTTAAAACAGGATTCAGGAATCAAATGCTGAATGCAGTAAAACGATTCTCTATGTCTAACAAAAATGGGTTGTTTATTAATTCATGTTTTGCGCATTGCCAAACTGAGAGGCAGGATACATGGTTTGCTGACGATTCTCCAGTTATTGGAAAGAAGGTGAGCCTGATGCAACAGAGTTTATTAAGTTTGCTTACAGCATAAATCTCAAGAAATCTCATGAAACAAGAGTTTGAAATTCTAATCCTATGTGTGATCGACGATATGCAGGCAATCGCAATAGCTGTCGGAGATTGGTATTTTGACCGAACAAGTGTGAAGGCTGTTGATTGTCCCTACCCTTGTGACAATTCTTGCCACAATCTGGTCTTCCAAAGAGCAAATTAATGGATAGGCTCATTACATGGTCAACCCTTTGAGTCAACTTAATTTTCTGTTACATTACATAAAATAGTTTTATAGTTCATTTTTCTTTTCAGTCCAGAGCTTTATGGTTCAATTGAAATCAATAGAAGACAATAAAACGGAAGGCTGCTGAGAAGTGCAAAATGTCATCAGCAAGCGTTTCGCATTGATGTAATGTTTTGGTGAAAGCTCTTTATATCTTGGATTATGTTCCAATAAACTCTTTCTTGTATTAGCAAATTAGTAGTTGGAGAGGTAGACAAAAGTTACTTTTCTAAGGTGTTATTTTCCTCCACTCGCAAGAGTTTGTTGATAGGTTCATGTGAAAATTCTGATTCTGGGTTCTATTTAGAATTTTATGTAAAGGTTTAGCCATTTGATTTCTGCTAGCATAATCAACCAAACACATAATTAAGAAAATTAAATAAAAGAACGTCACGAAATTACATGGTTCGGTGTTAAGCCCTACTTCTAAAAGCAGGCACAATCAAATCTTCCACTATATCAAGTAATGGGCAGCGAGAATCATCCCAGAAAAATATCAATCAAATTGAAGAGTGTTAGTAATTTGATTATCCTGATGGTTTTTGTGTTATCATTTGATATAAATGACTTGGGAAGCGCTGTTCCTTACATATATGACTTATAGACTAAGGTTTTTTTTTGGGTCAATGACTTATAGACTAAGTTGGGTAAACTTTCATGCCGATAAAAAAGAGGACGGCCTTTGGACTTAATTTAAGTAACTTTGAAGCATGAATTGTTGTTGGAAGCACTGAAATAAATATTGATGTCTCCAGCCCAGCCTTCAGAAAACTCATGCTCACACCAGTGAACATTTCCTCTTATCTTTCCCCATTTGTGGGCAGCTTTAGTTGAGTAATCGCCCATAAGATCTTGTCTCCTCTGTTGCAGTTCCTTTACGTCTATGTTATTTAGATGCCTATCTAAAGCTTTCTCGGTGTAATATAGAAGTGAGCAAGAATTTAAAAACTCTCTGAATTGGTAAATTTTTTGATGTGTACGTCTGGAGCTGTGAACAGCTTAATCCTATTAAAAGACGTGACGTTCATCGAAATTGTTTCCGGTTTAGGAGCTGAGTTTCATTTTTATAGCTATGTTTTCCAAGACTTGGGTGGCAGAGAGATTGAAGCAGAGGAGAGCCGTGATGAAGTTCTTGTGGGTGCTTGGTCTTGTAACAGCACTTGTTTTCAGCAAATGGGTTGACGGGTTTCTGAAGAAGAGTCTTAATAAGACAGAGCCGTCTTTGTTGGAGACCTATGGAGGCTCCAATGCTGCAAATAACACATTAATGGTAGAGTTGACCCTCATTGAAGGAGCTGGTGCTAAAGGAGCAGGTATACATTTTCTAAGTCTTGTCTTAATTCTTCTTTCTTAATGATAGTGACTTCAGATAATTAATGGTTTTTATTTGAGCTCGGTCTTATATTTGTTTTGGCCTAATTTTACCTACTTGTGAATTTGGCTCTTGCAGTCTGCTTGGATGGAACATTACCTGCTTATCATTTGCATCCTGGACATGGATCAGGTGCAAATAGTTGGCTCATTCACTTGGAGGTTTGTGAGTAAATCAGAAACAATGACATCTTTTCATATGTTAAGTACATCTTAAAGACGGTTTCAGGAAACTTACATTTCAGAGCATGATGTAACTGAAACTATCAGATGACAAGTTACATGTTTCCTTTTAGTTATCTTTGTTTTCAGTTGATTGATCGCCAAACAAAGCCTCTAAGTCCTTCTTGTGGCAGGGAGGAGCATGGTGTAACGACACCCGGAGTTGTTCTAACCGCAAAAATTCAGCATATGGATCTTCATCACTCATGGAAAAAGAGAGGGCATTTACTGGAATACTAAGCAATGAAGCTGAAGATAATCCTGGTTTTCCCCTCAAACTTAATGCTAAACACCTGCATCTGCCTTTTGTCCTGGGTTGGCCGTCTTGACCCTTATCATATCACATATGGGATTGCAGAGTTTTTCAACTGGAATAGAGTAATGCTTCGCTATTGCGATGGTGCTTCTTTTTCTGGGGACAGTGAAAACAAGGTCAGTAGGATGTTCTCGCCTTTTACATTTTCCCACCAATTGTTGGTACTGGTTATAACTTGGCTTTGAGCAATGAAGATGCATATTTAGGATCTCACAAGCATTGTCTCAGCTTTATATCGTTGATTAGGCAGTACATTGGTGCTTTCCTATAGAAATTAAGATTGACTTTCTAGTTTTTATTTTAGAGTTGCACAAAGTTACACTATGAGAAGAGTATATCAAATACTAAATTCAACATGAATCTGCTAGTGCTACAAGGTACCTCAACTATTTCTGTTGATATGTGTATATCAAATGCTAAAACGTAGCGGTCCTGGTTTTAGGAAGCAAACCTGCAATTTAGAGGACAACGTATATGGTTGTCTGCAATGGAAGATTTGATGTCGAAGGGCATGCGCTATGCCAATCAGGTACACCATTTCTTCTTGCTCAAGATCTATTCTTTTTCCCTTCTTATGGCACTTCTTGCAACATATTGTTTTAGGCTCTTCTTACTGGTGGCTCTGCTGGCGGTCTGGCATCCATTTTGCACTGTGACGAGTTTTGGGGCTTATTTCCCACAACTACAAAAGTGAAGTGCATGAGTGATGCTGGATTTTTTCTTGACGCGTGAGTACTATTAGTAATGCTCTTACTCTTCGCTGCATTTTTTATATGCAGACATGTTCCTAGCTAGTTATTAACACTTCAATTTTCATTGGCGATCCTGCATGGAATTGTAGGGTTGATATTTCTGGTGGACGCACACTCAGGAATTTATATACTGGTGTTGTAGGCTTGCAGGTATTGACCTTACCAGATTTGCAACCAACCTCCAAACCCTTTTTTCTTCATATGAAAGAAACACACGTACATTATGTCTTCTGCATACAGAGTGATAAACTGAGAATTCTATGATTGTTGTCCCAGGGGGTGCAAGAGAATCTGCCACATTACTGCACTAGCCACCTCGATCCTACTTCGGTAATCAAATTTTTCTCTCTCTTCTCTTGCAGTTTTTGATTCGAAGATAGGTGGAAAAATAAAATAAGTTGTACGCTTGTTCTTGCTCTTAAACTGAAGCAAATTCCAACCTTTCTTGCATTGCAGTGCTTCTTCCCTGAGAACTTAATCGCCAACATCACAACCCCGCTATTTATACTCAACGCAGCATATGATTCATGGCAGGTAAGTGTTCATTTTAGTAGGGTCTTACTCTTATCTGAGAATTACTAATGGATGGACTTTTTCTGAAATAATGGATTGAATTGTATTTTCCCACTTCAAATCAGATACAAAACAGTTTAGCTCCTTTATCAGCAGATCCCCACGGCGACTGGAACGGTTGCAGATTAAACCTTGCAAGTTGTTCTCCATTCCAGATGCAATTTCTGCAAGGTGACAGGCATCCCATATATGAGGACTTGTTTGAGCTCTTAAAACTTGTAGCAGCTTCAGAAACAAAGTAACTAAAACCTGTAAATATTATGACATTGTTTTTCTTGAAACAGGATTTAGGAACCAAATGTTGGATGCATTAAAACAATTCTCAATGTCTGATCAAAATGGGATGTTCATAAATTCATGTTATGTGCACGGTCAAACGGGGCAAGGTGCATGGTTTGCTCCTGATTCTCCTGCTGTTGGAAACAAGGTGAGCCTGTTCTTCCATTCCAACACAAACACATGTATACATAGATAGAGTTTCAAGACATGATCCTAATGTTATGTTTCAAGATGTTGCAGACGATTGCAGAAGCAGTTGGAGATTGGTATTTTGACCGAGCAGAAGTTAAGGTTGTTGATGAAAATTGCCGCCATCTGGTTCCTCCAGTGACAGCCTAGTTATATCAATTGGCTCATTTCCATGGTCATCCTATTATTGAGTTATTATCCCCTGTGCTTAATAAAACAACTTTGTAATGCAATTGAAATCAATGGAATTCTTTGTACGATGAACATTGAAAATTAACACTACCTAGACTAGATGTTTGCATATGTGGGCTTTATAACACTTCAGTCAAAATGCTAAAGCCCAGTACTATTCAAACCCATCTAAGCATAAGTGGGCTTTTCAGACCTCAATCAAAATTTTAAAGCCGAATGTTATGTCGAAAACCAGTCTCGCCAGCCCAATTAGCATATCCATGTCGGGTTACTGTGGTTTAATGCATCGCACAGTATTTTGTGAGAGTTGAACATAGAACTACTCCATACAGTACAGATTAAACAATTCTACCCTTTACACTATATCAAAAGCAAAAAGAAGAAAAAAAATCACTGCAAATTGCCGCCGTACAACCCGTGGTGATTTGTATTTTACAAAGAACATCATCAACCCTGCAAAGCTAGCCTATGAACTATGAGATAAATAGTTTTAATCTTCCTCCGTCTGATAAGTAGGGATCAATTGGTATCTTTCTTCAACAACAACAACCAAGACTCAGAGACTTCTCTTTGTATGTATCTTTATATTCTCTCTCTCTCTCTCTCTACATATATATAAAAATATACAAGTCTTCTCTGCTTTGTTGTATCCTATTTGCTTTAACTGCTTCTCTGCTCTGTGTTCTGATTATAAAAATATACATGGTTCGAAACCAGACAAAGAGAGTTGATTTAATTTGTGATATGTGTTGCATTAATGATCCTAATGCCATGTTACCCTTCATAATTTGCAGCATATTATAATTATTGTTAGCTAGAGCCTAGAGAAAGGTCTTGTGTGTAGGAATCAAATTGCTCTCAGTTCATATTTTGGGGAGTTGAAAATTAACAATCATCAATGATTGTGCCAAGATTTGAGACTTCCTCTAGAATTATTGGGATTATGATTAATTATAAGATTCCTTATCATTAACCCCTTGATTGTCTGCAGGGATGAACAAAAGCTCATGAATAATGTAAGTCTATATTGTATTGCTCTCCGGGGCCAAAGTCTTTTTGGTGTTTTCTGATGCTTTCAAGTTTCAATCCATATAAAATAATCTGTACATTTGAATATAAACGGTGGTGGTTTAATTAATACTTAGCTTTAATTTAAAAATCAAAGTAATATCAAGTACTTAAAATAAAGTACTTCCCATGATATTAACAATTAACAATTTGCCAGTTGGTAAGGAACTATATTAACAAAACCACAAAGTCATGGGAGGAGGTAATGTATATATATATAGAGAGTTCTCCCATGTTCCCAAGGCACATAAATAAATAAATAGATGACTTTGTGCATGCTTGTACTTGACATGAGATTTCTGCTACCAGTGGGGCTCATAGTTCCACTGTTAAACCTTTGTCTTTATAAGAATAAATTGTTACCGGAACAAAAACTAAATGGCCACAAAAGAATATTTATTAGATGGTTCATCAATAATTCTTTGAAAACTATAGGGACCCAAATCAACTTAGGGAACAAGCTACAAGAAATGGGCTCATTCTAGCAAGTATTTTGAATTTATCCGTGGTTTATATGGAGCTTTTCTAGTAGCGAATAGCCGTGCTCTTAACTCAAAGATTTATGCATTTCATTTGGCATTGATGTTTAGGCCGTGCACTAGCATATTGTCAAAATGAGAGACAAGATGCTGGTTTTTTCTGTGCTGCAGATTCTTCGATCGAATCTCTGCCAACAAAGAAGAGCCAATTATTTTTAATCTTTTTTAATCTCCTTCTGAACCTCAAAGTGTTTAGGTGAAGAACATTCCATGAAAGTTGATTCTAATACAAGAAACATATTTAACTTTGTTTATTATGTTTTTGTCAACTTGTAGAGTTTAAGAAACCACAATTCCCCTACTGATTTCAAGACCCTTTTTTTTCCTGACTTACTTGTGCCTGAATTCTTGTTCATCTTGATTTCTCTGTGCATACATGGATTATATGTGGTAGCTTTGAGATATATAAATCTTTGCAGCAGAACAAAATCTTCTGACAAATAATATTTTACATAAAATCATCATCTCCTCCACAGAGCAGAACTCATCATTGGGTTAATGATTATGAACACATTCATCTCATCAGTTGATAGAAAGTATTAAGCCTTAATACTTTAGAAAAAAGAAAAGTAAGGATTCCAATTAAATTAAATTAAATTAAATTAAAACATTGGGTTATCTTGGTGTTTTAAGATTTTAAAAAAAGCAAAGAAATCAAATTTGGCAACTGCATTACTGTAATCCCATCTTCTCCTCTCTCCGTCTGGCCAATATTTGCAATGCTTTTTGTTCTTTACCAACACTCTTTAATTTGTAGGGCCCCAACAGATAGACCCAATAATTTGGTTCACATGCATGTATATATATAAACCATACATATAACATTTATATATTGCCCTGAAATAAAGAAAAAAATTATTCGAATAAATAAAAATAAAAGACTTAGACATATTCCACGAGGGAAACTGTACAATGATGTATGTGTGCATGGACGAACAAAATGGTGCCTGTCGTGTATTTGAGAGGAGGAAAGGCGTGGCCTTTTTACATTAATAGGCTTTCCTTGAAATATACCCCAAACCCAACCCATGCTCTATTGTCATCTCTTCTTTTTTCCTTTTTGGTATGAAATGTTTTCAAATTTTGCCGACGGGGTCTGATCTTGTGGAAAAAGGTCTCTGTAGTGTGTGTGTAAGAAACTCTCATCTTTTCGTAGTTTAGGCTATGGCTTATATTCAAAAAAAAAGTTTCAAAGTTTATCAGGTAATTCCAAGGCCAGAACAGTCAATGGATACATAGAGTAAAATATCATGATTTTACAGGCATGCATGCACATTGTTTCTCTTTTCTGTGTTTTTATTCTTTAACTAACTTTAATTCTCCCATGTACCATTGGGTTGTCCCCGAATTGTCAATTATGAATTCATATACATTTATATATGTTTTCCCTATCTGTTTTCATTCCCTAGAGCAAGATTTACCCTTGTCTTGCTCCATAAGGGGAAGATGCTTGGTGATGAATTCACCTCTCTTTCTTTTGGACCCTCACTCACTCACTCACTGTTATGAATTTTCCTCTGATGAGCCTGCACTGCACAGAGTCTTTTCTGTTATCTTTTTTCTACACATCCCACTGAAAACTCTCTCTCTCTCTCCTTACTTCTTTTCTTGAAGTTTCAGCATCTTGGAGGGACCCAATTCTGTGGTTCCTCACAGAAGTAGTAAAAGTATAGGCCCACCCTAGGGACACCGCACACGGTATGCTCTTGTCTTGTGATATATTATAGTACGAAAAATTATAGCTAGCTTTGTCACAATATGTCACCTCCCTCCTCCTCCACCTCAATGCCACTGTACACTTAAATATCCTCCTCATTTTTCTTTTGTACTTAATGGGAAATTTTCTTCAGCTCTCATGTCTTGAAGATAATAATCTTTAGTCTATTTGCCACCCAAGAAAAACAATCAGACAAGAATTTATGGCCGTTGTTGCATTGCAAGTCATTTCTCATATATATTTTTTCCTTCACCAGTACTAGCAGGTGGATTTCTATGAACATATGATGTGGGAATCTTGCCTTGCCTCCCTCATTATTTTTATTTATTTATGCTTGGCACACCATGAACTTTATCAGCTTGTAGTAAAAGGAAGACAACCATTATTTCATGTCTTCATCAGCCATTGAGTCTTGGAGGGAGAGGAAGTGACTTAAAGACTGTTAAAAACATGAAAAGTGAAAAACATCTCCATCTCTAGGAGACATTGATAGACATCCATTTAAGAAAAATGCCCGCTTGAATTTCTGCACTGGAAAATATAATTTTTCTCTATCCATATTATTTAAATGTGAAAAGGATCAGGAAAGAAAGTGATGTGTATATATAAACAATATATATAACATCTAAATATAAATTTAAAAAAAAATGGATCCCAGGAAACCAAATATACTTGGATATCTTGCAGACGGAGTCACAATCACCTCTGGACTTCAGATTTGAAAAGGTGAAGGCGAAAGTGAAAGTAATGATACTGGTTGTGGTTGAAACTTTGTATATTTGGAAAAACTTAATTTTATTACTTACATAATTCTTGTACTGTATGACCTATGCTGGTGTGACAAGAATCACATGACATTCCACGTCAGTAGAATATTTCTCCGAAGAAAAAAAGGGGGGGGGGGGGGGGGGGGGGGGGGGGGGGGGGGGGGAAAAAAAGCATATACAACCACTATTGAATTTTCATCCACCACACATTGAACCCCAATAAATGTTTTTTGCTGTTTTCAATTAAATCTTCAATAATTGAATGAAGAACATGAAATATATATTTCATGCACAAACCTAAGCATTTGGATGAACATAAACCTCAGATGAAGATATCACAATATATATGGTGATTAACAATGAAAATATAAAGGCTGATAAATTTGGTATTGGACGCATTTACAAAAAAAAATAAAAATAAAAATCTATAAGCACACACCTGTAAATTGTAAAACCAGAAGAAGTCTTACTTCCAAGCCCTCTCTCTCTCTCTCTCTCTCTCAAACTGACAACTTCTGATGATGATGTTGAAATTTTTTGTTCTCAAAGTTAGCTAGATAGAGTAGGTTGTCCTGCACCTGATGATTTTGAATGATAATAAAAACTAAAGGGTCTGTCCAAAAGCTACAGCAAGTCTCTGAAGATCCTTTGTACACATCTCTGAAGCTTGAAAAGCTTGTTGGTTCTGATGGTGCCAAGTCGAAGTTGTTGTTGTTGCACTTGAACTGTTTGACAAAAACTGCGACGTTTCTGGTTTGACCTGATCATGAGTGTATGTATTATTATGTTGAAAGGCTTGATGATGGTTTTGTATAGCGGTTGTTGTTGTTCCCATCAGAAATGGACTGTGGAGATATTCAGACCATTTTATCTCTTCTGCATCGTCAGATTTTACAGGCTCTGGCAGGCCCCAAGAAAAAGCTGCAGCGCTGCTGTCAAAGAAGCTGTTGCTGCTGTTGTTGTTGTTGTTGTTGTTGCTTTGCAGTTCCATGTTGCTGCTGCTGCTCCTGTTGCCATTGTTGCTGAAGGTGTTTGAATCCCAAGTGGATGAATTATCAGAGGGGAGGCTGATGGAAGGCTTCACACGTGTGGGGGGAGTTGTGAAGATTGATGAGCTTGATGACATGGTTGGAAGAAGACTTGGTGTCATGCTAGAACTGAAGTCTACCGGTAGCATCTCAGAAGACCTTGGATTTTGATTGAGGAAGCTGAAAGTGGTATTTGGATTTACTGCTAGCCCCATATCTGATCCATAATTGGATTGGTTTTGATGAAAAGAGAAATACCCCACCAAATCATAGGGCCTGCAACTGCTGGTGGAGCCTTCATGTGAGGTGGTACAAGCTCTGTCCAGGAAGAACTCTTGGGTGGGTGGATTAACAGCAGTCAAATTCTTGCTGCTGCTGCTGCTGCCATTGTTACTGTTGTTGTTGAGGACCTTGGAGCTGGAAGAAACCTCAACCGGGTACCGGTTTTCGGAGACTGCAGGTGGCTTTGAATTCACTGCCTCAGCAAGATTGAGTTCATTTGATCCCACAGAGGCTTTCTCATTGCTTCTGTAGGTTGGGGAGAGCTTGCTAATCTCTTTGTCATCTTGATCAAGTGCCTCTGAGAGTGGTTTGTGAGTGTTGGGGTCAATGCCTCTCTGTCTCAGCTTCTTCTTAATGCAGGAATTCCATAAATTCTTTATCTCATTATCTGTCCTTCCAGGTAACTGAGCAGCAATCTGAGACCATCTGACATGTAGCAGCAGAATTGATTTTATTAATTGCCCAGAAGATTAATTGAAGAAGGAAAAAGAAAAACCAAGTTAACATAAAGTACCTGTTTCCAAGAACTGCATGAAGTTCTATTATCAAATTCTCTTCTTGCTGTGAGAATGGCCCTCTCTTCAAATCAGGCCTCAGGTAATTTATCCACCTTAACCTGCAACTCTTCCCACACCTCTGTAGACCTGCCAATATATCATACCACATGTCACATAAAGAGAAAGACCTGTAATTTTGTTCCCTTAATTTGCAAATTAAAAGACAAATTAGAGTACCTGCTAGCTTAGGCACTGAGCTCCAGCAGCCATGACCATGCTTGGTGATGTAATTGAGAAGCTTATCATCCTCCTCAGGAGACCAGAGGCCTTTCCTTAGCTTCTGCTTGTAGCAACAAGAGTGCCTCCCCATGTGGAGTCCAAGACACCTGCAATGCTGGCAGAAACTTTATAAAAGTGGCTAAGTTTTTTGTATGGAGACCCTGATGTGAATTTGTCAGCAACAGGAGAGGAGGCTTTGATATGTATGCTTTCTAGGAAGTGAAGTGGTGGAATTTGAGAACAGAGAGAGAGGACAGAGAGAGAGAGATGATAAGGAGTTAAGAAAATGAAATGGCAGCCTGGTAGGGAATCAATTTAATAGGAGGAGCCTCAAAGAGAGAAGTCACATTCATGAAGGTGATTGGAGATTGTAGTTTGAAAATTAGTGAAATTGGCTAAAATAGCCTCTCTCTTTTTTCACAATTTCTATTCTAAAATAGTCTCCCTTGCATTAAAGAGACACTATAGGAACGACAAAAAGACACTATATGAGACGGGGCTATTATAGAATAAAAGTTGTAAAAAAGGGCTATTTTAGCACAAACCCCTTTGAATTAACATTTCATTTTTCTTGAGTTGGGTTCCTCTACTTTCTACTGCGGGGTCCAAGTCAGCTTCTTGACCTACACACGGTGGGCTCCACCGCTATCCGACGGTCCAGATTGCAACTGAAAGTGCCTAGTTGATGGATAGGATCATATGAGTGAGATGGAGCTCCAATTATTTGACTTCGATAAGTCTCATCAAGGTTTGAGAATTTAAGAATTTGGCTTCACTTCTTGAGCATTTGTTGAAAGATATATAATCCGTCCATGGAAAAGCTTGGACTAGGAAAAAAAATAGTCTTAGAAGCGCGTGTTAATTAAGGTTTTAGGTGATGAAAATGAACCAGTCTACAAAACATATTTGGTAAAAATGGAAAATGACAACTCTTTAGTTCGTATTGAGTTTTAAGCAATACCCTATTTCATCAAAACTCTATCCAAAGATTCTTAACACAAAAACAGCCACGTGAATTGGAAAAGGGAAAATTTCTCTTGAAAAGAAATCTCCATGACTAGTATCCTTTGCTAATATAAGCTAGTGTAATAAATGATTGATAACTAAGGCTCAGTGTATCCGTTATTTAGAAACATCTTTTACGCTTGTAAACCGTTTCATATGTTGTGTTGTTAGATTGTTAATTTGAATGGTTGATCAAGTAAATTCTTGCGTATGATTTAATCCTTATTTATCATAAGATTATGTATGATAAATATTTTTTTTAATTATATGTATTATTAAAAGTAGAATACTCCATTGCTACACACCCCTTTATTGACTAACTTTTCTGTGAGATACTTCTCGTATATTATATTGACCTCCTTTTTTTTTCCCTATTTGCTTTTTGGGTAATTTCCCCAAATCATGATTACTTTGAAAAGTTTCATAATTGATTGCAAAAGAATGAAATATTTCCAAGATATAGCTAAGAAATTGGGGTCTATTTATGCTTTCCTAGAAAATCACTCAAATCCTGCCAAGTCCTCTGTCATGCATCTCTTGTTTTCCAATTTACCTCTTAATTTTCTTTCCATTTCATTCAGTCTTCTGACCTCATTGGCAACTTGTATGACTATGTGTAATGCCAATTAAGGGTATGAAAATATGAAAGAAGTAACTACTAATTACAGGCACATTCTTTTTATATTGAAAATGACAATAAATAATGACAAAGGCATAGCTGTCCTTTATTAAGTATTTTGAAATCTGAATGAAGACAAATTGGTTGAATTATTAAAATTATTTGCATCAGATGAGCTCTCACAACAATATATCAGTTCATTTAAGACAATTTGTTTTTACCATTCTGTATGAGTTTGTCTATATGGGCAAAAACATAAGAAAAAGACCTACAACTTTTGTTGGCAGAGGCTTCTATTGGACAATATTGGTATTATGAATGATACAGTTGCATTATTTTTCTTTAGTATAAGAGATTGGGGGAGGGGGGTGTCTCTGGGTTTCGAACTTCCGCCCACATGGGTGGAGGTGGAAGAGCTCAACCAACTGAGCTATCCCCACCGGCATACAATTGCATTATTGAAGTGAAGCAAAATATACAGTGGCAAATGTTGTACGCTAGGACCTTAAAATGGTATATGAACAAATTAAATTAATCTTCTTTATAATAGTACAGATAAGCTAAATTAATGTAAAAACCAGAAAAAGAAAAAAGCAAAAGCCAAAATAAGGTGACGACTAAAGCATGTATATGTCTCCTTTTATAGTTCTGGATGGCAGAATATTCTATGTGCAGAGTATGCATGGCATACAAACATCCAAACAGGTGAATAATAAATAATTTTCCCAAATAAATTAACAATTTCCTTAAACACATTCCAAATTTTTAGAAAGAGGTTTAATCTAATAATAACTTCGTCCTTTTTTTTCTGTGATAGCGTGTCAAGTTGTTCTTGTATTATGAAGCTTCCCTTGACCTTAGCAATGTCTGAATTCAGAACATCCTGCTGTGAATTGAATATTAAAAATGGTTCACAGACCCCATGAGAAGATGCTTGTAATCTCCATGCCTCATCATGAACCATATGAGCTGTTCTTACGAAGTCAACTATTGTTACATGTTTATTCCCTTGTTCTTTTTGCTTGATATTATATCATATGTTTATTAATCTGTCGGCTTTGCTGTCATTTCTATGCTTTCACTTTTATTTAATCAATTAATTATCTGCATATTGAAACTGGTTTTATCTGTGTGTTTACTTCCTAACTTATAATAATTTTTATCTTTTTGACCCTCCATTCTAGGGAATGAAAATCTCTGTCTTCTGTCCTCAAATGATTGGCAGGTTTTTAAAATTTCATAGGCCCATGTACATGTAACTTCTTTCATCTTGGTTAAATTAATGGGGCAACTGAGGAGTAATTTTTCGATGCGACCGTAACACTACAAAATCTTGTAAACAAGTTTGTTCATGTTGACATTGATGAAAATAGTGATTTGTTAACGGAGTAATTTTTCGATGAAACCGTAACACCGCAAAAACAGGTGAACAGACTTATTCAAGTTGATATTGATGAAGATGGTGTTTACATTACTGTGCAGTCGTCACCAAGAACAAGAGGTGCGTATTAAGGGGTGTCTCTTAAGCACTTTAAGTAATCATGGCCAGACAAAGCTTGGGACAGATCTAATCCAAAATCGCTTCGAGAAATTAATGTGCATTTGTATATTACAAGTTGCTGAGCTGGATTTTGGCTAGAGAAGGTTGAATTGAATGAATATACTCGAGAACTTAACCATATGAAGGCAAAACATTGGTCCCCCAAGTTTAGCAGTTGCAAGGAAGAACACATCAAAATTGAACTTGCATTAAGAAAAAGGGTTGTTGTGGGGCTTTGCTAATCAATATTTCTGCCCTTTAATTAATCTTAGTTTATTATATTGGTCCACAGGAGAAAAAGAGAACCGTTGAGTAGAAGAAGGCCTAATCTGCAAGCCTTTTGCAGCAGAGAGAGTTGTGTGGTGATGTGATGTAAAATCAATAATTTATTATTTATAATTTATAATTTTTAATTTTTAATTTTTTTCATAGGGGGAGACAGTGAATTTGTTTATTCAACAGTCATCACAACACCATCATTGTGTTGAGAGCTTTCCCCTAAACTCAATGCATTTTTCTCTTTCTTTTTTCTTTGTTTTCTCATCTTTTTGCATGTTTCTAAATCTGTATTAATTAATTAAATTACCCTCTATAAGTGTGTCATGGTTTCGCTGTTGATTTGAAGTCATTAGCATTGAGTCATAATTTCGACCAAGTGAAAAAGATCAGTGAACAGTTTTTGGTGCATCAGCATTGTGTCACAAGTTAAGTTTCACATCAGGTAAGAATGAGTTTGATCTTGTGGTAATGATGGTGTAGGCCGGAAGCATCACCTAACATGCTAGTCTTTCGGGTCGGATGACAAGCCCCCAGCTTGTGACTAACGGTATCAGAGGAGACCTAAATCCGTTAGGCGGAGTCACGCAACTTGTTTTTGTGATCTAGCTAGACAGAAAAGTGATATGTAACAACGTTAACAACTTAACATAAATGTAGTTGGTTTATCTACTCTCATTATTTTCTTCATTCTGTAAAAGATAAAGCCCTTTTGTACCAGTTGATTCTTGTGAGCTCACTTTACAGAAATCTTCCACTCAAGGGTTTTCCAGAATTCAGACTACTTGAGGCACATATATATATTCTGTGGAAAGAAGATTAGCTAGTCTTATCAAATTTAGTTCTCTGTATCTTAGACAAAGTGTGAGTCATCAAGTGGGCAGGCTTTGATAACTATTGGCACTACTTTAACAAATTCATCATTTAAGCAAGTGTAAATTATACCATCTAATTAAGTAAAGAAAAGGCACTGATGCAAAAGGCCTGGTTGATGGGAAATTTGTAAATGAAATTCATGGAAAGAAAGATTTGGAAGATCATAATTAGAAAAGAAAGTCATTGAAATGGAGGGAGACACAATCCATACGCCCTTGAAAGATGGAGATGCCCTCTTTTGCATTATCCCGGAAGCCATCTTTTCATAAGCTTAATTCAAAAACAGACAACTAATTGACAGTCAAGAAGAGCAACCCGTGCTCCATATACCACAGAATGACACCTTATATTCCTAAATAAATTCTTTTTAACTACAGATGTTTATTTCCATCCACTCAAATTAAGGCAGCAGCCAATCTTCTGCCCACATTTTCTCTGCTAAAGTCTGCAAAACCAGGACAGCAGCCGAATTTTTCCAGATTCTTGGGATTTTTGTTGAGTTTTTTGTGATTAAGCATGTTTCTGCATTAAGATTTTGAGTGAGGACATATCTTTTTCAGCCATTGCCCGAACTTTATGGCTAGAAATTGGTACAACATGGAAAACACAGGTGAGAAGGAAAAAGAAAATGTGGGGAAACACTCCACATTGTGTTGCTGGGCAAATGGATCTAATAGAGCCTTGAAAGGTTACATTTGAGATGACCTTAATGTATCTACTCAATTGGCCCATTAGCGCCAGTTGGAAACATAGGCACATGGCTATCTCATGAGATTTAGTTAAATCACAACTAAACTTAATTATCTTGTCAGAGAGTGTGATGATGATGATAGAAACATGAGCATCAGCATCATGAGCCATGACGTTTTCTTGATTGCCGTATAGGGAAGCTTAAGATCTCAAAAACAATCATGATTAAGTAAAAATGCCACTGTTCTTTCCCATTAATCCCCGTGTATTAGTTTTTTTAATAGCTTATTAGCAACACTTAATCATGCAGAAAAGGGGTGTAGCCCTTGATTTGTGTCAAGTTAAATTACAGAGTACATTGGGCAATTGACTTTAACAAGAAGGCAACATTATAAGAAGTGTGTTTGAAAGCCATTTAATTAATCCCATCAATTATCAAAAAGCTTTGTCTGGTTGAAATGCTCCTCTTTGTACCCCATCCTTGAATAATTACATCTTTGCTTTTGCTTTATAGTGGGAAATGATAGTCAACTTTCTTGCCTCAGTTACATCATTACTTCTAATTTTGGGGGAGAGCCCCTGCCCTTAATGAACTGTTTGAGATTCTAATGGGAATGCTATGAGAAATTGAGCCTTCTCAATCAGTGTGCTTTTGAGAACTGATGGCATACTCTCATTGGTGCTTTCCTTAACAGATTTTGATTAAAGGTGTCTAATCAAATTTATTATGAAAAAAAAAGGAGAAATAGGAGGTCCATGACAGATTGTTCAAAATCTAATCCATCACAGTACTAGGACCTAATTGGTAAATACCTATATCTCATTGGCAAACATTTGATAGCTATAGTAGGTGGCGGCTAGCCGTTAGTATACATGAATTCTACTATAAATGCATATGAACGGTTGACAATCATTCACACACGCGCATGAATGAATGTATCTAGCATTCGCCTCAATATTATTATTTTCCCTTGACCACCCTTCACATGTACCATTTGCCCAACATGGCATGACCCTTTCATTAGCACAGCCTACTTAGAAACTGACGCTTGGTTAGGGCTTCCTCACTTTTTTGGCCTTGGTTTACACTCTAGAAGTACCAGCATTATGCTTAAAGTTACACTTGGTGCGTGTCAGTAGAAAACCCATTGTTAAGCAGATTCAGGGCTAGCGTTTGAATCTTGTTATCCAGCATGCAATTTTATAGGTTAAGAAATTACATTTTGAAAGGTTTTCTAAGTTCAAAGATAATGGAATCAATGGACTGTTTGAACTTTGAAACAAACCATCTAATGGTGATGAGGACCTCATCTAAGGCCCTCACTATAGAATTCTACCCTAATGGTGTAGTCGGAACACCCAAAAATTACTCCATGGTGATATCAATCAGGTCTCTTCTTAGAGTCTTGGTCTGCATCTTGGTTTACACAAAAATAAAAAGAAAAAGAGAGAAGAAAACATCATGGATATAAAGTCTCTCAAACGCAAAAATCGAGATGAAAACAAAAAGGCCCAAACCCAAATTCCTAACAATTTTAGACTTGCAGAAGTTCTAAATGCTACACTCGTCTTTTATTTTTGGGAAGGAAGAAAAGCCTCATGGCTATGAAGCTTGCCATGCCATGTGATGCCCTCAAACAACTTCTGGGCTTTTGGTCTACGAGGCTCATACTTCTTGTGAAATGAAAAAGCGAACGCTCATCAGCGTGAAGCTTTTGCATCTGAGGCCCACAGTTCTTTTTCTTTTTAAATTTGGTGAGCTCAGTTGTTAGCCACATGCTTCACTTTTTCCTTTTTTCTTCTTTTTCTCTCTCTTTTGTTCTTTTGCATATGAAAGGTTAATAAAAAGTTTACCAACAAAGTCTAAAAAATGTGATTGGGACTTGTAATTTTCTTCAGATTCGACCATAACATGATAGTATGCACTATCCACTTCCTCATATGTCATGATAAAAGAAAATTCAAATTAGAAAAATAACGCACGGATAGAAATAAAATCAAAAGATACATAAAGATGCAAAAATTTCGTCTAAATGCATTTTCGTAATCGCAATCAAGCGATCCTCAAGTCAAAACTTCAATAAAAATATGTGAAAAATACCTGCGATCGAGTTTATAAGTCTTCCTAGTCCTCGCTACCTATATTTAAATACTACATTTCTGATAATAATAAAAATATCTGTATTTCTTCAACTAGTTCTCCATAGACTAAAAAAAATATGCATAAGTTACACGTAGTGGATCCCAGCTGCATGGGATTGATTGGTGCTGTGCATGGCCGCCATGGCCCAACATGGACGCATAACTTGTTCTTGACCCAAAAATAATTTTCAGACCGTTAAAACGCAGGAGGCTCTGGTGCCGTCCACGCCCAACTGTGGCTGTCACTCGCTCCATTTATATATATATATATATATATTTTTTTTTTTAATTTTTTTAATTTTTAATTTTTTCTGTTGATAAACAAAAAGTAATTAGTTTTCCAAGCCTAATCATTGCCAGTGTTGCCAGGACCATGTGATGTGGCCTGCCAATTGACAACCTGTTTTTCATTTGTGTGTGGTAGCTCTTCATCTTCTTCTACTTCCCATAACTTCACTTGGCTTTTTTTGGGTCGTTCGTTGCCAACAGTCTTGTTCTTCCTTTCCTTTCCCTTTTCTTTTTATTTATTTATTGCCTCTGCTTTTCACTTGAACATCTTAATTCCTGCTGCTTGGTACAAGTGTTAAGCTTGCTCTTGATCCTCTCATGGCTACAGAAACTGCTGCATCACATCATGTTCCTACCACTGATGACGAGGTTAGTTCCTTCAGTGATCAAGTATGATCCTCCTTTCAGGGATTTCAAAGTTCATATGATCCAGAGTTGATTTTATGTTTTGTATTGTCTTATGTTTTGTGAGCTATAATCCATCAAAACCCAGTTATGATTATGCTTTAATTTGTTACATTTTTCATGTTATTGGGTATTAATTGATATTTTTCATGAATACCAACTTGGAGCATCATGCAAGTAACCTTGTCATTCCATGTTTGTGATTTGGAGGTGTCCTGCTTTTTACTTATATTCATATTGGATATATATATATATATATATATATATGTATACCTTCTCAGATAAGAATATATAGGTACGCAACTTTCAAAGTAGGGGTTTCAAAATCTATCCATCTCATGAATAGCCTGAAGAAGATGATAGGTGATATGTGTTTTAGATTTTCAACAAGTGATATATTTTGAAATTTTTACCATGAAAATAATTCAAAACAAGTAGAGATATGAATAACACATAAAGGGCACCATCTTCTGTTTAGCAGAGGATGCCACAGATATCTTATTCAATATGAGGCAGAGCTTTTTAAACCCAAAAAAAAAGTTTCCAAGTTCTACAGATATGTGGTTGGCTTTCTTATTTGAATTGGACACAGAGATCTCAGTAACTAGTTCTTATCAAATTTATTTTTGGATGAGATTATAGATGCCCGAAGAGATTAAAAGCAATGCTTGTAGTGCTCTTATTGCCAGTTTCTTTACTTGATCTCTTTTGTGTATGTTTGATTAATAACTATGCACCTAGCAATACTTGGCTAGGTTGCTTATTTCTATGTGAAGCCCTCTTCCTCAATGGATTTATTTATTTTACTGCTGATCATCTTTTAATCACTGCAGCAAGTTGAAAAGAAGGTGAGTGAAGAAGAAAAGGCTTTTGAAAAAGAAAATGTTTCTTTACCGCAAGGAAGTGAAGAAATAATCAAAACTGAGGATGCAGCAAGTCTAGCAACACCAGCTGAGTCTGAAGGTGTTGATCATAAGAAGATTGAGCCTCCTGTAGTTGAGGCCGAGAAGACTAATGGTGCTCCTGTGCCAGATGTTAAGGTGGAAAATGAATCCATTCCTGATTCACAAACACCCGCTATTCCAAAGCAAGTGGCTGATGCTGCTGAGAGCCCAATAGAGGTTAAGACAAACATTGACTCTGTAGTAGGAGAAGCACCAAAAGAACCATCAGTAGGTATCATTGAAATAGGCCAAGTGGAGCAACCAGAGATAGTTGATGCTCCTCAATCATCAGTTGAAGCCGTTGAGAAAACAAAGGAGTCAGTAGCAACAGTCCTAAAAGAGATTAAAGACTCAGAGCCAGAGCTTGCTATTGCAAAAGTGGAGGAAAAACCAAAAGACCAATCTGAATTTTCTCAAGTAGAGAAAAAACATGATGAGGAGCCTGAAGAGCGCATGCAGGATGCAACGGTGAAAGATGAAGGGCCTGTAGCTGACAAGGTTGAGCATATCACATTCTTGGAGCAAGGGAAAATTGAAACAGTCGATACACCTAGTCTAGCAGTGGAGGAAGAACCAGAACAACCTAAACTTACAGCAGAAGAGAAGAAATATGATGAAGTTGAGCCTGGGAAAAGTGTGGAGGATGAAAGAGTAAAAGATGAAGGATCTTTGATTGGTAAGGTTGAGGAGCCCACATTCCTGGAAGAAGGGAAAACTGATAAAGACGATAAGCCTAGTCTAATCGGAAGTCCAGAAGAGGCTTCACTTAGTCGGGAGGCTCAAATCAAGCTACAAGATGAAGGGGATTCTTCTCTACCTGAAGTCACAGAAAAGATCACTACTGAGGACCAAAAGAAAGAATCAAGTGGGGTTGATGTGGTTGAGAAGCTAGCAGAAGAGGCAGCAGTGGAGACTGAAAAGGTTGGAAAAGAGAACGTGGAGACAGGAAAGGTTGAAAGGGAGAATGTGGAAACTGAAGATTCAACTCAACCAATTAAAGAAGACCAAAAGAAGGAAATAAGTGGGGTTGATGTGGTTGAGAAGTTAGCGGAAAAGGCAGTGGAATTGGACACGGTTGGAGAAAAGGAGGTGGAGACTGAAGAGGATGTAAAGGAAACTATAGAGGATGAAAAGAAAGAATTAAATGGGGCTGATGTAATTGACAAGCAAACAGAAGAGGCAGAGGTGAAGTTCGAAAAGGTTGAAGGAGAGAATGTGGCAAAGAATGTTGAAACTGAAGATAATGAAAAGAGGAATGTTATAAGTGAGGATTCAGCTAAACCGATTAAAGAGGAAGAAAAGAAAGAAGTTGGTGGGGTTGATGTGGTTGGGAAGCTAGCAGAAGTGGCGGCAGTGAAGTTGGAAAATGTAGAGAATGTTATAAGTGAGGATTCAAGTCAACCAATTGAAGAGGAACAAAAGAAAGAAGTGGGTGGGGTTGGTGTGGTTGAGAAGCTAGCAGAAGTGGCAGCAGTAAAGTTGGAACATGTAGGGGAAGAGAAGGTGGAAAAGAATGATGTAATTGAAGAGAATGAAAAGATAAATGTGATAACTGAGGATTCAACTCAACCAATTCAAGAGGACCTAATGAAAGAATTAAGTGGGGTTGATGTGGTTGAGAAGCTAGCAGGAGAGGCAGTGGTGGAAATAGAAAAGTCTGGAGAAGAGAATGAAACAAAGAATGTGAAACTTGAAGAAAACGAAAACAGAAATGTGATTAACGAGGTTTCAACACAACCACTTGAAGAGGAGGTCAAGAGCTCTATTTCTCCCCCTGAAGTTATAGAAAAATCATTTGAGGAAGCTGAGAAATATGTTGAACCTGCAGTGGAAAATGAAAGAGCAGAACAGATAAAAGATGAGACTCCAGCTAAAGTTGAAACCAAGAAAGATGAGAGTGTGGAGGAAAAGCAAGATGAAGTTACTAGAGCTGTTGATGAACCACTTAAAGATTCCAAGCAATCTGAGTCAGAAGTAAAGGGAGAGGATAAATTGGAGGAAAAGCAGGATGAAACAGATGCTGGTAAATTGGAAAAAGTCGATGATGATGTTGCAAAATCTAAACAGAATATAGAGCCTCCTCCCACCAAGGATGGTGATCAAACAAAACCCTCCCAGGACCTGCCAAAAGAAGTTCCAGTTAAGCCCTCTCAGAAACAGTCAAATACCATTTTGTCGAAGGTAAAGCAGTCACTGGTGAAGGCAAAGAAGGCAATCATTGGGAAATCTCCAAGCTCCAAAAACCATGCCTCTGGAACCAAGGATGATATTAAAGTCAAATAATGAGATGGAATATTAGTTTGCATATATCACTTATTGTCTCTTCCCTCATTCTTGTGATGTTTATATGATTGTAGGTTCCCTCCCTGGTGTTGCTGCTCACTCTCAGCCCATGGCTTGTGTTTTGATGGTAAAAGAATGTGTGCATATAGAACATATAGGCTCCTGCCAGACTCAGTAGTGTAAAGTGGTGTATATTGTTAGTATCTTCCCCTCTTGACACTGTTGATTTGAGTTGTAAATTGTAAGTACTGTCTCTGTGTTGGTGCTTGATTGTTGTCAGTTATCGCCAAGAAAGAAGTTTAATATTGTGAAAAATGGAATGTGGATTTATGTTCAAGTTTCAATCATCATTTTCATCCAAATACCATTTACTTTTGCCAATAGCTTGCATTTCAGTTGAAAACAAAATAAGATTGCAAGCCCAGTCAAGATCTATGAAGAATTGGTCGAAATTGGGAAACACGACGTTTGCTAGCAACAACTAGGAACAAGCAAATGAACATGGAACCATCCGAATAGCCAACAATCCTTGTTAAAGATTGTACCATATTTAACCAAAATGGCTTCAGAGAAAGAGAGAGAGTACAACATATGTATTATTAAGACATTACTCTCATTGTCATTAATTCAAAGAATTGTTATAATATGTCCAAAAACACACATTTGATACATATATTTCCGGTATATTCAACTCTTATACTTTGCTGCATTACCTCACCGGCTACAAAGTGAATGTACAAAAGCTAGAAGGGACTTCAAGTCTTCTCAAGGTACCAAAATCTGTGCAACATGTAATCGTGCTCTCCTGAAATTATAATTCAGATGGTTATTGCAAAGGTTCAAGATCGACTCAGAGGTGCTTTGTACTTTAAATTGTATCTACCCGGATCTGAAACAAGCAAAAGATCCAATCTCAAGATGCTGCATCATGGATTTCTCTCCTCCAACCACAGATAGAAGTAGAACTGCTTAACCTGAATGTACAAGTGGAGATAAGTTCATACTTCGTCCAAGAAAATGAAGTATTACTCTGTTGTGTATGTGAATATAAAAATTTGTGTATACGAGAATGTCCTTGTACACTCACTAGCTGTTCTACTAAGCACAACGTCATTTCCGTTAGAAGATCTGTTAGCTCTGTTGTTATCGACATCGGCCGCTTGAACATTATTTCGCACCAAAGCAGGCTGTCCAAAGCCCTCATTAGTTGCTTGGCACTGGCAACACCAAAGAACAATAAAAACTTGATTTAGGCATGGAAAGAACACAAACTCCAAAGGTCTAAACAATTATATAAATCCTAGGGACTTGTCCACCTATTACCAATTGTTTTTGGATTAGATGCTCCAACTTTAACATTGTGTCAAGGCAGGAGATTGTTTGGCTCAATGTGGTCATATGTCAAGAGGGGCATGTTGAAAATATAGAATCCAACATTGGGAATTTCAAAACTTGCATCTCAGCATACAAAATCTTGGGGTCTTTTCACCCATTGTTAATTTATTTGGATTGGATGCTCCTACGTAAGTGCAAAGAATCCCAATAAACATGCAGCATCAATTAAACAACCAAACTCTCAATCATTATCATATATTTTTACAAAAAAAAGTTCAGTTCATAGTAAATGCACAAACCTGACTAGATGTCTGATTCATAGAGCTATTGGCATTGGTGTTCTGCACGACTTGAGAGTTCATGTTCTGAACTGAATCCTTTGAACCAGAAACTGGAGCTGATTCCGCATTTTCCATAGGGCCTCCTGCACCACATGCATTTAGTCCTACAGATGACTTCATAAAGGGACCTCCTGATGAAGGAACTAAGGGCGGCCGTTGCATCGGCATGGGAACTCCTTGACCAGGAAGCCCAAACATCTGAAGGTTAGATCCTACCATCCCATTGAAGGCAGGATGCCCTGCCATAGGTGAATTAGGGAAATGTGCTCCTTGCATGGGGGGCACCTGAAGCATAGGGTAACTAGAAGATCCACCATTCATGTCGGGCATACCCATCCCAAAACCCATGCCTAATCCCATCCCCATCCCCATTCCCATTCCAAGACCCATGGGCGAGAAATGAGCCATACGGGGTGCATGCATGTGCTGCATTCCTGCTGGAAACATCATTGGTGGCATATACAAACCAGCTCCCATTGACATAATCTGCAACGAGATTGAAATAATACCATGTTATACTTGAATATCCAATTTCTTAGACATTAACATGAAAGATGAATAAACTAAGGAGTGAGAGAATAAGTTTACCTGTACTTGGAGCTGAAGTGTCTTCAAATATTCAATAGCCTCATCGAGCATTGAAGCTTTGTCCACCTTATTTTCCATAAAGAAATGTCAGCATAACCAAATTACAGAAGAAGATATTAACAAAAAACAGGTTATGCTTAAACTTCCATGACTATCAGTAACATTCATTATAACAAACAACTAACAAAGTTTCATAAAGAAAGAAAAAAAAGTTCGAAAGACTGGACGTACATTTCAGATTTTAATTGATAGGCTTCCCTAGACATGGATACTATTTTAAAAATCGTTTTCACTTCCAAAAGTGTTCAAATTAGGTCATTGATTAACACCAAAACTGTAAACTTCTAAAGTCCATCAAACATCACAAGCAAATGTCTGGCAAGACTAAAAACCTTTAAGGGAAAAAAATCCAACCTTATTGCAATTGGGTATGAGTTCTTGTAGAGCACGCATCTTCTCATTGATTCTATCCCTTCGCCTCTGTTCACAGAAATCCAGAATGAGTACAGTTAAATAATCTTAGAGTTTACAAACAGCGCTATGGAAAGAGCTAACATGTTCTCTGTCATGAATACTATTGATGATTGGTTTTGCTCACCCTTTCTGATAAATTATGCACTTCTGCTGCTCTGCTTCTCTTGGAACCCATGCCCCGAGCATGAGCTATTTTTTTCACACCCACAGATTCTTCCTCCACATCCTGCACATGAGGAGGTTTTCTTGGTTTATGGAGGGAAAGGAAACAGTAAGGAACTCCAAGAAATATTGACTACCAACTTTCAACTTACGTCACTATGGCATTCAGACTCGTCAGTATCACGAGATTTTCTCTTCAAAGCATGTGTTGGGTCATCTGAAGCTCTCTCTACACTATTGCCTGAGCAAACAGATGAAGCAACGACAGGCTCCAAAGTTTTTTCACCATCCCGAAGTACCCTATTTGCACTTTCACAAGGAATATGATTGGTGTTTGTGTCATTCTTAGAGGCATCCTCTTGGCTTGCCGCCTCAGACTGTTTAGCAGCACATGATTCCTCAAGAGGCTTAGCTTCTGTTGGTTTCAATTCAACATTGGATGTCACTGTAATATGTTGGCATTGTGAATTTGACTCCTTTGGTAAACCGCTGCTTGTATCGATTAGAGTTGACTCAGGAGGTTTGTTACTAGTTGCAGCTGAAACCTTGCCCTTATTTCCAATCCTTTCCACGCTTGATAAACCTGAGCCAGCCACCACACCAATGCTCTGAAGATTAGATTTCACAAGAGCAGCTGGTCGTGAGAAATGGGAAAAGTTCACTACGGATGAATTATTATTACTAGGCATTACTGGATCTTGCCTCTGCATTTTTATGCCAGGAAAAACACCTGCAGATGAAACCTGAGTTGAATTCTTGCAAACAGTAGGATGGGTGGCACTACCCGTATTATCACCAACAATATCCGAAACCCTTGATCTGAAAGATGGAAATAATGATTGGGATTGCTGTGATGATAATGGGTACAATTGACTGGTACCAGTTCTAGGTCTGCTAACATCAGCACCATCTACTGAAGTAACCTTTGGCGCATTCCTTTGCTCCAAATAAGCACCTTCATGTGCAGAGTTGGTATTGGAGTCCCTATATACCTGACTAGAACTACTCCTTTTATCCACTGAGGCAAGATTGCTATTGCTGGAAATCTCATTTGCAGTGACAGTGGATAATTCGGGCAAAAATTCATGACAGTATTCATGATGTAAAGGTTCATCAATGGAATAATTCAACCAAGGCAACATTTCATCATCTTCACTCAAACCCATTTCGGAAGATGGCACCGACAACGGAATTTCATCCAATACAGACTCCACCGATCCAAACTTCCCTGTCTTCGCAATGTTGCCATTTCCTACATCTTTATCTCGATTCTTGGGGGTGTAAGATGGTAAGCTATTATTACAAGTTGGACTCTTTCTAGTTCTACTAGACTGGCCTTGCATCATAATTTGACCATTTTCCCATACTAGCTCAACAAAGTCATTTACAGGTCTGCATTAAATCCCACAAGGTGGAAAAGTGGGGAAAAGAAGAAAAATTTCCGCAAATGTTAAATGGGAAAACAGAACACATCTCAATGACACACAAAAAAAAAAAGAGGTAAGAGTGCAAAGATGGTAAAAATGTGAAACAGAACTTACTCAAAATCTTCACTTGAATCAACCCTCCCGGCCATCCGATAAAGTTCGGACAAAGGCATGGTGAAGAGCTGTAAAGCACTGTGTTATTCTGAATTGCCACAAAGCTTCAAGAACATAGCCATTATTGGTAGCTTCTACACAGTAGGCTTGATCTAGGTGTCGAGTTCAAAGCACCATAAATAAGTATATATTATGTATATATATATAGAATGCCAAGAGGCAAGAGTGTTTGAAGACGTAAACTCCCAACCAAAACCCCACTATAAGACAGTCCCAGTTCAACTTATAGTGGGGAAAAAGAAAAAGAAAAAATTATATTCCTTGCAGTTATAATTTACAGAATAAAATCTTTCTTTAAATACTAAAGTCTCTATCAGTAAGTAAAATAAAATATACAACTTAGTTTTAAAAACATAAAAGTGAGCAGTCAAAGTAGTTCTTTAATGGCTGCCAAAGATCCCTAAAAAACCTCTAATTTGAGCTCCTTTGAGTTAAAAATTAGTTCTTTTCACTTTTTTTAGTCATTAAACGAAAAACCCAGAAAAGAGATTACATCTCCTTAAATTAATCAACAATCTTAAGCAAAACCCCAACTACCCAACAATCTAAACTTGAAGAACAGCCGAAAATCTGCACTACCCAATAATACCCATCTAGAAATATAATCATATACACGTAGGGCATTAACAAAAGGGATACAAGAAACTTGATTTTGGGGAAATCAGAGTTCCTCGAACTAGTCAAATTACACCAATCCACATGGTAAATCAGAAAAAGCTCTTAAGAGTTAGTAAAACTGAGCTCGAACAAAGAGAATCCATGATTTCACAGAGAGAGAGAGAGAGAGAATCCAAGTGGACGGTGGACGTAGAAGGCGGCGAAAGGCTTGCAGACTTGCAGGGGGACCAATGCGCAGAGAGAGAAAAAGAGAGAGGGAGAGAGAGAGTGGGGAGAGAGGTACAAAGTTTCAACTTTCAACTACCAAAATTTAGCTGACGCCATTTGTGATGTTAACCATGGTCAAACTTCTTATCATGTTATAACCTATTTACCTTTGAATTTTGTTTCCGGTACTAATCTTTAAAATATATATATATAAAAGTAACATTGAGGGATGTAAAAATCGAACATCTTGTTAAACGATAAATACTCTTAATTACTTCAACTACAAACTCATTACATATCACTAATTAGGTTTGTTTGTACTATAAAGAAAATCATATTACTCAATACACCCATCCAAACCAAACTCAAATTGTAACCTTAAGTTTCTTCCTTTTTTGGTCGTAGTAGATAGGTGATGATAACTGCCACCACTAAGCCATAGTCTTGTCAACTTGTCATCACCAAATCCGATCACGATCTTTGCTACTGGCTACCTAAAACATGGTGCTGCCATGACTTCGATGATCATTATTTTCTAAACCCCTTTTTGTTAACTTAAAGATAGACACATTTATAATAAAACTAAAATGGGGGAACAAGAGATAAAATCAAGTTAATTTGACTCTGGTTTAGTTCCGTTGTAGATTACACTAGAATTATTTGTATGTACTTGGTGTGGTGAGCCCTTCTTCCCTATCCTTTGAATTGATTTCCTGATCTGCTTTGATCATGGAAGAAAGGCCCACAGCTGGGTAGGTTTGTTTTTGGTGTCTCTGTTCTCTGTACTCGAATAGAATAGAGAGCATATTATCCTTTTGGTATTTCTATATGTTATCTTATCGAAATTGTAGTTGTGGACTTTATGCCTGGATTTTTAATACACCAACAACAACATCATTATCATACGTACATGATACATCCATCGTTATAAGTATAACCTTGTTTGGCTGGTGACCCTACTTTTTACCTTTTCAAATTTCAACATATAAAATTACATTAACAACTACGGTTTAAAGTCATAATAAATAAGTCTTTGACTTGCCCATGATGGGTTTTTAAAATCTGCCTCCCCTTCATTTTGGGAGAGACTTTCTTGGGTATATATTCACTTTTAGTGCTGGGATGTAGCATTCGCGGTGCTGCTGTAATAAGCTCAGGTTTACTTGTGCAAAATAATTTAGATTTTTGTTTTGTTTTAGTCCTATTAATATGAATGGGATTTGTGCACTATGAACTAGAATAATAATCCTTGTTTATGAAGCCGACACCATATTGTAGGAACTCAAAAATCTACAGTTTATAATCGTCGCGTGAGTGTCTGTGTTCAGATTAAACAAAACATGTAAATCATTGTTTTAAATAAATATTTAAAAAATAATAATAAAAAGGTTAAGATTAAAGAAGGATTGAGCTTTATAACGTCATCTTATCCAAAACAATTGGTCTCAATTGCTTTTGAATGAAAATCATGATCCAGTCTCATTGAATAATTGAGTCTTATTGTGCAATCCCTTGATTAAGGTAAACAAAATGCCACACTTGCCCTTCAATCCACCAAAGCATAAAAATTTATATCAAGGACATGATTGCCTTTTCCAATTGATGTAGGACGTATAATAAAGCCAGCAATTAGGGGACACCAAAATCCCAAACTTTATACTCTTTGATTATAGGCAGGACCCCCGCCAAATTGTAAAGTAAAAAACATATAATACAAGTTCAACAAAGTGATAAGACAATCTGGAAATAAAGTTTGTAAAATCTATTAAAAACTGAATCTAAGCCAAATTTTGAAATGGATTGTATCCTTTAAAATGTTCAATGAAAAAAGAAAAAGGGAAAAGGTGATAAGATGTTTTACATGAAAGATTAAAAAAAAATAAAGTGATAAGATATGTAGTTTGTATCTGTCATTTGTGACTAATGATTTTTTTAGCTGAATTATAAATGTAATTGTTGAATTTCTCAAAAATAGTGAGCCGATTGATTGGATGGGTTTGGATGTCTTCAATGAAGAAGACGATTTGTCCTTTCATTTTTGCTTTGCTTCATATGACAAGAAAATGTTTATCCAACATGTGCTTGCTTACTACCGTTACATTTACATTTACAGTAGAGGTTGAAATTTGAGAAATCCACAAAATTAGGGTTTGTGATTCAATGTGGACCACCACACTGGGCCCCAAGCATGGGTGATATGGGCAATGTCCACGTGGACCCTTTCCTGACCCAACAATTGGATTTGGCACCTTCCATGGTGGACCCAATTTTGTGTAGCATCTTTCTCTCATCTGCTGTTTGGTTCATGCACCATTATTAATCAGAAATGAGATTGTGATATGGTTTTTTTTTAATTATAAATTTTCCAGAGATTAAAAGATTTGAGGTCCTACAATTGACTGATCAGAGAGAGTTGGCTGGACGCTGGAGGTTTTGGAGGTGGAAATTGACTTGGAGAGCAGGAAAGAGATTTGGAGGGCGTGGAAATTCACGTGCATGTGTGAACTTCACGTGACACTGTTTCCATGTCCGTAGAATTTGGTATCCAGCAGCATAGAGCCTTTGCTAACATGAGCCCACTGGGTCTGTGATTTGCATGACATTGCATGGTAGGGTCTCTAGGTTTCTTCCACGTGTTCAGCCAACCAAGATGTCAAAACCCACAAATTATTTCTCAACTTCCTTGCCTCCGTTTCATTGCCCTATTGTTTCTATTTCTCCTTATGTCACTTATTAGAGAATGAGAGAAAATAAAGAGCGGGACAATGAAGCGGAAATAGAGAAGTATTTCGTGTAAGGACTGGAACTCATGATTGATATTGCAGTCATGGGAGCCACATATCCATTTTATGATAATGGATTTAAGTGGGTTAAATTTACATCTAATTATCTTTCTTTAATTTAAAGCACATGGATTACAAAAATTAAAACAGTACTTAGATATGTGGACAGAGATTCATGGGAAGAAAATGACAAATTGGGTTTGCCTAAACATGTTGTAAATGGCATGCATGAAGATCCCAAGTAAGAAAATTATGAGAGAAAGAGACAGAGATGGTAAAGAAAATATATACAGCGTGGTACAGGGTGCAAAGATGTGGGAAAACCAGAGGATAATATAAGAAAATAAAAATTATGAGGCTTCATGGGATTATAGAAGAAACCAGTGACCTCTAAATAAATATAAATGCATGCCTTCTTGGCTGCGGAGCCAAGATTTTAAATGGACCCAAAACATGGATCATGCTTTATCAACACTAGCAGTTTCTGCTGGCCATTGTCTGTGCCTCCCCTGCAATCTGCACATGACCACCAGACCCATATATATATATATATATATATATATATGTGTGTGTGTGTGTGTTTTATTTATTGTGACTGAAATATTTGATTGCTATGAATGAATGAATTTAAGGAAATGCAGAAGCACAGTGCCTGCATGCAGGGTGCTGTTGAAAACAAAGACCAGCTGCCTGCTTTTATTTTTTCTCTTGTTTTCTGGTTTCACCGTTATCTGAGATTCATGCAAATTGCTTCTGCTAGTCTTATCAAAAAAGGGCCTTCACATAGCATTTGCAGAGCTAAAATAATATTTTAAAAGCATGGTTCCAATTATGTTGTTGACTGTGCTGATAAGAAAATCAAGGGAGGTGATTTTTTCACTCCTGTTTTTTTTTTCGCTTACACTCTTTTTTGCTTTTTAATATTTTTTTAATTAATTTTGTTCTTTTTTGTTCTTTTTTGTTCTTTCTCTTTCCTATTCTACATTTACCCTACAATTTCCTTTAATAAGAAGACATGTACAATCACTTACTAATATTATGAAAGAATAAAATATGAGATTATTATGCGTACCTTGCTCTCTACATATTTAAGCTCCTAATGACAGTTTGGTTAGTAGCATTATTTGGTTCTTCGACTTGCTAAAAATTTATTATCTATTAATTACAACAAAGATAAATAGTACTCACATACTTGATAATAAAAAAAACAAAGAATTTGGCGTACAAATATCTATTTCCAATTTATTTTATTTTTTTGTTAACTTTTCTTAAATTTAGTTATGAAAACCTTGATGTAGGATAAAGGTAGAATTGGAAAGAGAAAGAACCAAAAAGAACAATATTAATTAAAAAAGTATTAAAAAGCAAAAGATAGTGTAAGTGGAGAAAAT